CCGGGCGTGGTTGGGCTTAGTAGCCAGACAAAGACAAGAGGCCAAAGGGTGAAAAACTGGACCCATAAGCGAACAAAAGACCACCGCCGCGACGGTGCTTGGGTTTCGCAGTCTTTCGCTTGGAAGAATGTCCCAAGATTTTGGACGTTTTCACTCATGCTCCCACACTTGCATAAAAGCGAAACACTTGCCACGCGGCCACGTTTTTTTTTCTTCGTTTTCAGTCGTCCAGAAATGCCCCCAAGAAAGTTTTTCCCACTCTCAAAAGCTGACCCCCTTAACAGCAGAAACGAGCCCGAGCATGTGCCAGGAGTTTAATCCGAGTTAGGGTAGGAGTTAAAACGCGAAACGCAACCGCTGGGGGGGCTCTAAAGACTGGGGAGTGAAGTTTTCTCACAAGAAAGGGGAAAGCAAGTCATCTTCTTCAAGCAATTCATCTGGGGTAAGTGGCTGGTCTTATAGCGAAGTTGCCGCAGCGCTTACCGATGAAGCGGCCGAAGTGCTGAAAAAACTGGCTGGAGTGGAGACACGGTTGAAGACGCAAAAAACAGACATCAGGCATTTGGTTGAGGAGGCTGAATCCATGGCACAAGGGGAGTTTTCTGCTTTCAGATGCTTGCGGAATAGCATAGAGAAGCTGGCGATGGGAACGGCTTATCAGCACGAACAAGCCAACACGATAAGGAGCGTCATCCGCGAGGTAGGTGACGTGATCACCACCTTTCAGGCAAGGTCTTTCATCAGATTCAAGTCGTTAGGCGTGTCCGGTTCTCCTATTGAGTTTTTAACTAGTACTACAGCTTCAGCCGAATTTTGGAAATCATCTAGTAAAAGCACTACTGCAGGCCAGGTCGGCAAGCTTTCTAGATCAGGCGACGCCATTGCGATGAAAAACGTGCCGACTTCGGACAATCCTAAGGAGATCGAGGAGGTGTTTGGTGTAGAAAAAACTAGGAAGCTTTTGCTTCAGATTGGTCAGATGAGGTTAGCCTCGGTCGCAGTCACCACGCAATCCAGCTACGAGAGCATTTTGCGCTCAGCGGTAGAATTGTTAGGCGGTTCACATGCAGCAATGTTTCCCATCATATCAGCAGATCAGTGGGAACTTTTTGTTTTCGGGGTGTTTGCCGCTTGCAGATCACAGAAGAAGCACGTGCAGGAGGGTGGACCACACGACGGGAAGGTGAAGTGGTCTCTCATCAACAAAGTCACTTCCGCCCTTAGTTGGTATCATGAGTCAGCATGTACGCACGTGGACTACGCGGGTATCGCGCGCGCGGCGTCTCCAATGAGGCTAAGAGAAGCACTGAAAAAGGCTTGCGTACATCTGGTGGAGGAAAAAAAGAACGAAATCTCATTCGGGCAACTAGTCCTAATCAACGACTACTTGTTTGCGAAGATTGAAAAATTTTTCTCCTACTCCGAGGCGAAAAAAGATCACATCTTCATAGGCATGCAGCGCGCTGAGCATTTAGGGTTGTCCACCAAGGTGAAGAGCAAAAACGAGCTTTCTTCCTTCTTGTGCATCCTCAGAACAATGTTCATGCTGCGGGTAGGAGTGTTGGCCGAACGCAGGAAGAGCGACATCATAGAATTGGAGTGGGACAGAATTTCCGTGGGTGAAGGCAGAAGTCTGGTGCTGCATCTAGTGAAAACCAAGATGGACAGACTGGCTCTTGGATGCAAGACGGTGGTGCCGCATCTCGATCGTTTGAAGATTTCGCCACAGGAAATTATGGAAACTCTAACTTTTTTCCGCAGCTACCTGGTTGAAGAAAAGCGATGGGCCAGGCCTAAGGTCCTTGCGGCTTCAGACGGACCCTCGCCGGTCATTGCGACCGATCACAGGGCGGTAGAGGTAGTAAAAGACTACTGCGTGGTGACATACGACTCGGCAAGGCAACGAATGTCCAAGATGTCTAGTAGCAACTTCAATCCCTATATGATGAAATGTATTTTGGAAGTGCCAGGCATGAAGGACAACCTTACAGAAAAAACCAAGAAGAACAACGTCCGCGCCGTCGGCCTTCGGAAGTCCGGCGTGACGTTGTATTCGAGGTACAACAGGGACCTAGCGCTCAACCTTGGGGGCCTTAGTGCAAAATCCAACACCATGGAAATTCATTATGCCCAATACACGATTGAGCAGTGGCAGAGAGCGACGACGAATACGCTGCTGGATGCGGAGTCAACCTTGAAAATTGACTCGGTCATGGCGTTGTTTGGAGGTAACTCTAGTGTAAGCAATATCATCAGTACCCTACGAGACAAGTCAAGAAGTGTTAGACTAGACATCTTGCTTAAACGTATTGGCGTCTTACATCACGCCTGTAACCCAGCGGCTAGACGTATGCTACGTGAAGTTAAGTGGAATGATGTTTACCAGGCTGCTAAGAAGAACAAGTTTACCACAACGTTTTTTAGTGACGAGGACATGAAGAATGTTTGTACTACTTTGGCTGAGTTAAAACGTGACAAGTTGTTAGACTAATTTGACTACGTACACCCACCTGGCCGGCTTACGGCGGTTGTCTTTGGAAAGTAGTGGTATCACAGGTTTATTCTAGACACTTTTGTTGACACAGAACAGGCAGATCAGGCACCCAGGCCTCAGATTGGTTTTTAGGCCAGGCTCCTCCAGTTTAGAATTGTGACAGTTTCTTACGATCAGTCTCACCGACCCAGAAGTACACACGATAGTGTGGGTGGCACGCCGGCGCAAGAAAAAGCATTTCCTCAGGAGAGCAGCGGCTGAGCGATTACGAGAAACCTTTGAGAAGGTGAATGAGAGCAGAAAAATTGGAACACGAGTAAACGGGCACGTTACGCACAAAGCCAGGCAAGCTACGGGCTAACTTATCAATATTATTTATGCATTTGGATTCATACGGCACTGGTTCTCTGTTTATGGATTTGCTTGTACTAGTGTAAATGCTAATTGGATGCTTACTTCTGATTATTGCCTGCTTAAGTGGTTGAATAATGTGGAACGTCCTGCGGGATTAATTTCTGACTAATTGAGTAAGGTATTGTATGACATGAAAGGTCAGAAAAAACATGCTTCGGATCTTTCCGTCCCGCAGTGGGATCGGGAAGTTCAACAGGAAATGCAGCAGTATTTCATGCAGCTTCCGAGGCAGCCGCCTAGATTCATGCCGGGGCAGAAGCTGCCCATACCTAGGACGAAAGGCGAAGTCCTACCGTATCTACGGAGCCAGCCAGGGCCGGTAGACGCGTATAGGAGACGAGAAGACGAGGCCACTGCGGCGGCTTTGTCGATATCTCCCGAAGCGGCCGATAGACTTCACATTCCAGACAGTATCAGGCACTCCTGGTTCGCAGGTTACGACCTTCCTTGTAAGGAAGAGAAGGACGTCGAGCGCATGCGAGAGCTGCGAAGGCAGGGGAAGCCGTTTTTTCACCAGCCGGATTTCCCCAAGATCGACGAATACAAAGATACGGCGGCGAAAGAGGTGCAGAGGCTAATAGACAATGGCAAGGCCATTAGTTGGGGCTTGGACAAACCGCCGGGCCTGTCCAAAGCTCCGGGCAACATAGTGCTGAAAGCACATCGCTCCCGCCTCATCACGGATGGGAGCATAGTCGGTCTCAACGACTTACTTCGGAACTTCGACACGGCCTATTCCTCGATCATGGCCTTTATAGCGGTCATGTCAATAGGAGTGCTAGTATGGGGAGCGGACGTAATAGACGCCTTTTTCCTTTGGGCACTAAGCCCCGAATTCAGGAGACTTGCGGGGTGGAGCGATTTTCGAACCGAGGACGCTTCCGAAGTGTGTCTCCTATTTTTGTCGATGGGTTTAGCGATTAGCCCAGGAGCTAACGACGAGAGCCTGAAGGCTTGCTTTGCAGCAATCAAGAGACTGTTTCCGAATATAGTCATTTTAGACTACGTAGACGACTTGCGGGGTTTTAGTGCAAAAAACTCTGATTGTTTTGAGACCGTGTACAAAGACATGATGAGGGCCAGACTGCTGCTGCAGTATTTAGGTGTAAAACTACACAACTTCAGGCCAGACAAGCTGGATAAGATGATCTTTCCAACCTCTAGGTTCCCTTGGATTGGATTTATCGTTGACACGGTGAATTTAGTCATAGAAGTAGACGAAGAGAAGGCTTGCGCGTTTGTTGCCGCGATTCGAGAATTTCTTGCCGCAGCAAAAATCGACATGGCCTACGCAAAGGACCTGGCTAGCGTAGTGGGGAAGTTGGGCTTTACTACCTTGGTGGTTAGGATGGGTCACATCTTCTTGCGAGAAGGCTATGACACATTAGGTGCAGCAGGGGTGCCAAAGCAGTGGGCAGCAGGCAGCAAGCGTTTCAGCCCTAAAGTAAAGGTTAGTGACAAGTTAACTCGCGACTTACTTTGGTGGATTGACGTCCTACTTGACAAACCGAAAATCAAGATTTTTCAGACACCTGTAACCAAGAAGTGTTTCCTCTTTACTCCTGAACTAATCGAGCGTACTGATGTCATCGAGGAATTGGACGAAAACCAGTTTACGTTACTAACAGGGGACGCTTCTAGGTTAGGTTGGGGGATGCACGTCAACGGGGATCAATTCAGGGCAGCAGCCAATTTTTCCTTGTTCGACGGTGCTCAGGCTAGTAGCAACAAAAGGGAGCTAGGGCTAGTCTTGGAATTCCTTTTGGCGCATCCTGATAAAGTGGCAGATAAGCTAGTCCTCTACAGGTCAGACAACAGCACCACTAAGCACTACGTCAACTTTGCGGTTGGTCGTATACCAGAACTGTCAGCTTTAGGAAAAAAGATCGCCCAGGAAGCAGCTAGGCTTCGTTGCGTTTTGATCTGTAGCCATTTGAAAGGTGCCACTAACATCATCGCGGACATGTTGTCTAGGTTGACGCTTAACGCCACACTCAACGACAACTATCCCCACAAGTGGATCAGGCGTAGAACTAGGCTTGCCCTTTGGGCTAGGTTAGGAGGCTCGCCCTCTATTGATCTTTGCTGTAACGACAAAGGTAGCAACGCAGTCCTTCCTAGGTTCGTAACCTACAGGGAGGATTTTTTCACTTGGCCGGTCGAGAGGTACGAGGGTGAGGTCGCTTGGGCGCATCTCACATTAGACTTGCTAGCTCCTGCTCTAAAGAAGTACTTTTGTCCTATGATGCAGCTCTCACCAGAATCGCGACCTGCAGTACTTATCCTCGTGCCGAAGTATAAAAGTAGGCTTGCCTATTTATACGCTAGGTTCTTTAGAGTAGCTAAGCTTAAAGCTCATACTCAACCGTTTAGCCTCTGGGATAATCAAGAGGAGTTTGCACTACCAAAAGCAGAGACTCCTTACTTAGTGCTGTCTACCTTGCCCTCGGACCTCCTACGCGCGCGTCTACAATCCTTGAAGAAGCAAACGTAATCTACTCAACTAATCCTACACTTGGTCTGCTTGGAAGTTTGGGAATTGCGGTGAAATTGGCAAATAGGTCTTGACCAGAATAGAAGAGAATAAGACGAAGTTTGGTCATCGTGTCGATCCCGGACTTGTCTTGGACTATCTAGATGCTGTCGGCGTCTTCGTGGACGCAGGACATTCAACAAGAATTCCGTCGGTCACGCCAGGTGATCGACTCTATTCCACATGAATGTTGCCAGGGCTCGCCTTCATTCCTCATTCAAAGAATCCACCAGAGATGCGCATTGAATGATAATGATGGCTGAGCACGATCGAAAGGATTCATCTCAGAATATTTGCTGCCCGGTGTGCTCGTGATCGTCGCGTGTTCGTGGGGGTAGCCCACTACAATGCGACTAGTGCGAGAATTAGAACATCCCACCCGCCGCGCCCTGGTAAGTGGTGTATGCATCTTAGGCAAGTGAAGGAGCTTGTTTGATTACAATTTGACAAGCTGGCACTTGGTAGGACTCAGAATGGTGACATTGGGTTTTGGTCTTGCTTGCTAGGCTCAGTTGCAGGTGCGCTCCAGGCCTGCGCTCCACCAACCTCGCCCAGCACTAGAAGATCTGGTCGAGAATAAGACGAAGTTTGGTCATCGTGTCGATCCCGGACTTGTCTTGGACTAGATGCTGTCGGCGTCTTCGTGGACGCAGGACATTCAACAAGAATTCCGTCGGTCACGCCAGGTGATCGACTCTATTCCACATGAATGTTGCCAGGGCTCGCCTTCATTTTGTAATCAAGGTAGGGAACGGTGTAAATGTAGTGTAGAGGTGTAGATATTATACTTATATGGTTCAGCAGGGCTGGACGGTACTCGCCCCTGTGGTCTGGTCTGTGGTGGCGCATATATAGACATCTTCACAGGATGTAGAGACATCTTCACTGGTCACGGAGGACTACTTACACCCACCACAAGGGTGTGATTTTTTTCGGACAAGTAGAAAAAACATCTATGCTATGAATCTTCACAATCTTCGATTGTGATTGATTATTCTGCGATTCTCTGGTTAGCCTGGAAACACATGCTGGTTCCGCTGAAAGGGAGTCTCTTTTTTATCTTTGGTTGTTTATCAGATCTTCTCTACTGCCGCATGAATGGGTACAAAGAAGAAGACTATTAATCTTTACTACAGTGAGATCCATCATCAAGCTGTAAGCATGTCTTTGATGAGGACATAATATTAATATATCATTACGAGGACTTATATTAGAAACGATTATTAAGCAACAAGTATTACTAATATTTTGAATTTTTATTTAACCGAGCAGGAAAGTAAGAAATTGATCAAGGGGCGTGAGCACGAGCAGGCGTGTTCAGCACACGACCGGGGGCGACACATTGTTCATATAAGTGTGACTCGCGCGTGATTGATGATTGACGAATTTACACCCAGTACTACCAATAAGTACACCAACATCGTCCACTGAATTTCCATGATCATTCTTATGTTATATTACATGTGATTCGATTAGTACCGTTACCGATCACCCCTGAACTCGAACCTGTTCTCTAATACTGCGAGTTAGAAGTCATCTTCAAGTAGTACTAGTTGTATCTTCTGCTCTATTTCTTGTGTTTGAAGGGAAGAGCTACATTTTCTTCTTGGAGGAAGTGTGGGTAAGAAGTGTGTGAATATGCTGAAGCCTCTACCAGGCTACGTGTCTAGCAGCTCCTCTAGCGCGGCGGCGCGTGGAGGTGATCTGATGGAGGATCTTCACACCAAGGGGAGGAGCAAATCTTCGTTTTCAGCACATCAACAAATGAAGGGGTTGCAGGGGCACAAGGACAAACACCACTACAACGGGAGCAAAGGCGGCAAGAGAAGCTCGACAAATGATGGCATCACTTACTCATCTATATCGACTTGTGTCGCGTCTTCAGGTGGCCCAAGCCGGCGCCAACTGTTAAGTTCTCCTGGCTTTCCGCAAGTAAAAATGGGGCACAAGAACAGTGGCACGAAGACTCAAATACCGCCACCATTGCAGCAGCACGTCGAACAACAGTACGACGATCGCTACTACGGAAGAAACGCGAGGAGATCTTCATACGATCTTCACGTCGTGAAGAACAGCTCTCCCTCTAGTACAACTTCCAGTCGCAACATGTTGATCCTCTCGAATGACGATTACTATGGCGGAGGGCACCACGACGACCTCGTGGGAGGACAACATCAATTTCAATGCGTCGAGCAACAACTACAACTACATCACCAGCCGCGACAGGAGGAGCCTGGGCGGTCTTCACGACCGCCTTTTTGCGAGCAACGAGGTCGCGAAGGGTTCCGACTGGGAACACATCTACGTGAAAGTCCTCCGGCAAAGGGATATCAGCCGAGGCCCCAGCCGAGTCCACCACGCCGCGAATTTTTTGCTGACGGCTTCTACGGCGCGACTACACAACATGATCAAGAACGACTCATGCCGCCGCTGCACTCGCGCCAGCACGATGGATCACCTATGTCAAGGATGAATGCGAATGCGAACGTTGCAGCTACGATGGACTCCGAGCAGAATGCCGAAGCTTTGCAGCGAGAGCTCGAAGACCTGTTTCTCTATATCATGAACCGCCAGGGAGAAGAGGCTCTTGGCCTGTCGCGCGTTGAGGAAACCCCCGAGGAACACATTCACATGCTCGACTCGAGCAGTAAAAGTATTACGAGAGCAGCAGAGCACGAGCAGCACCATCTCTGTGGAGGTGCAGGTAGAGATCCAGATCCACCGCACTTCCATCGCAATAGGAGTAGGGACCACCAGATCATGCGTACTAGCAAACCACACCGTAAGTCTACTTCTGGAGTCGGTGCTCCTTCGAGCAACAGTACAATTCTTCATCAGCTGGGTATCTTCAGCAAAGACGTGCAGCCGCCGACACATGGAGACCATGCTCCTGGATGCAGCAACACTCCTTCAACTGCGAAACGAAGCCTCTACGAGCCCCAGATGCAGCAGGAACAGATCAATGAGCAGTTGGGAGCACGACCTAGTGTGCCACAGCAATTTGAGAATATGAGTACTAGACACGAATGTAATTATTTGCAGGGTCACCAAGGAAAAGCGGGTCCACCAGCTGCGTATGAACAGCATGAGGAGGTGCGAAAGCCAAAGCCATCGCGAAGGTCACCACCACGAAGACACTTGTCCTCTGACGAAGATGATGTAATTCAGTTTCGGCTCGTGGCGCCACTCGCGAACAGATTGATTTCAACTCCTGAGGTGTCTGGAGTAGATGCTTCTCCCGCTACTGGCATGACCACGTTTAATTCGCAGGAGCAAGCGTGGCGGGCTGGAGTGGCCGCGGTGGCAGCCGCTGAAAAGGACGAGGTAGCCTCTTTTGACCGTGGCAGCTATGATCCATCTAGTGCCGGATCGCATATGGTCCCTGTCATGTCGAATTTCAACCAGCACCCTAGTTACGCACATCAAAACAAGATGGGAGTTGTGGGAAACAGTGCTGGCGGAAACAGTGGTGAAAATAGCAGTGGAAACGGCAGTGGTGAGAACAGCACCTCGTTGAGCGGTGCAGGCAACAGTGGCGGCAACAGCGGAAATAACAGCAACAGCGAAGTACCAAACTGTAGTCGCAAGAAGAACTCGTCTCTTCTTGCATCGACCACCGCCGGCGGGGGCAGCGGCAACGGCAGTGGCGCCGTCTCTTGGAACCACTCCGCACAGCAGCACCATAGTACCTCCGGAGCAGTATGTGCAGGATCAGCGTCTTTTGGTCCTGCATCTCCTACAAGCGCGCATCGCCGGATGGTTGCTGCTGCGGGGGCATCCTCTTTCTCCACGACAACCGAGTGTGGGGGCCCCGCTGCAGCGGGGGAGGCGTCACCAGGCTGCGGATCGAGACGAGGACTGCAGGATGCCAGCGCTTCATCGGTACTATTGCGTGAGCACGCAGCTAAGGGAGGCATCTGCACGATGGGCATGGGCCGGTCCTTTAGTCATCGAGGCATGGGCCCCGTCCGCCAGCTCCAGAATCTAGGAGCAACGGCTTACGAGCACCAGCAAGAGGAGCAAGAATCTTCCTCTCCTAGAGGAGGAACGCCAGCCATGTCCAGCAAACCGGTGACAACACCCTCCGTGACGCTCTTCTCTGCGCGTAGTCATCACTTACCCGAAGAACACCTGATGCGAGACTGGTTTTTCGAGGACGCGCAGGGTGTGGATCATCTGAAACGCGTGCTCCAAGAGCCGCCTAATCTGAACGCGATGTCGTCCTCCACTCCAGGACGAGAGGACACTAGAAGCAGTGGCGGAGCTCCTACGAGTAGCAACTCTCCTAAGGAGCGTGGGTTCGTACCTCGTCCAGCAGTTGCTGAACGCGAAGTCTTTGCTGGGGGCAGTAAAATATATGCTACACCTCCTAGTAATGCTCCAGCACCTCCTGGAGCAGGCTTCCAGAAGGCCAATACGTCTACTGTTGCTGCTGCGCGAGGACATGATGAACGGCACCAGAGGATGCATGGTGGATATCTACGCGCCAATCATGGGCAGGAGGAACAACATCCAATAGTGGAAGATGATTTTCTTGACGAAACGGCTGTCGCCAGTAGTTTCATAACGGAAATGCTCGCGCATACGTCTCAAGAGTCGGCTCCAGACGACGGGCGGAAGGGTCCGTTCTTGCAGCCAAAGCACTCTCCGCCGCGGTCTTCCAAGGAACCGCCAGGGCTCGAGGGAAAGGCGGGTGGCACGCCACTCCGGCGATCTGGTGAGGTGAAAGCCCCTTCGTCTTTTACTTTCGGAGATGAGTACTCTTGTCCTTGGCAGCAGCAACACAGTAAAGCAACAAATCATCAACGGATGTTGAGCAGGACAATGAAAATAATCGATTGTAATACCGACGCCCCACCTCCGGGTTTGGAAGCGCTGGGTGGAGGACAGCAGCAGCTTGCTACAACGGGAGATTTTCGTCCTCTGAGTACGAACAGCAGCTACGGTTCTAGCAACTTCGGCAAGGACCCTTTCTATCTCGATGAAGTATCTAGTGCTGCAGGAGCTCCCGCATCCTCATACAACCAACAGATGATGACATCAACTATTAAGGGGCACCACCAGCAACAAGACTTTGTATCCAGCAACAGAACCAGCAAAGCCACATCTTCCAAGTACAGCACTGGCGTCGGAGGTAAAGGCCACGCTGGCGGTGCTTCTGCAGCTTACAGCAGCTACGTCGCGGGTGGTAGTGCGCCGTCCACTGGCGCGCACTATCGGGATATTAACAGCGCTTCGGCGAAGGGGGCGCACGGAAAGAATGTTGGTGCACCTGGCACTAGTGTGGTTTCCAGTGGAAAGTACGGAGGAGCAGGTGCCTATCGATATCCATCGACGGGAAAGAGTTCCGCTGACGCAACCCTACATGTGCATCTAGATGCGAACGCGGTCGACTACACAACATCTGGCATGATTAGTGGGAATAAAAATAGGAGTAGTGAACAACAAGTAGCTGCACAACTAGGTAAGTACAGCACCTACTCCAAGACTGTCGGCCACGGTAATCGTAAGGGGGGCGCGGCTGCAGAACCGACCTACAACCAGCAGTATCGTGGAGCCAGCGTCTTCGATAGAAATTTGACGTCGCACCAGGAGCCTTTATCTGAAGACTCCACCAACGTGTTGCATACTACGCCGGGCACAGCAAGTATGAATAAGAACTACAACAAAGGTGGCACCAATACTTCTACAAGTAATAACAAAGATATTAACACTAAAAACAACACTTATGTCGATCTCAGGGCTACCGGTTCGACGAAGAATACCAGCAATAATATTAAGGGTGGAGGAGGTCCTCGTGGTTCCGAACGTGATGCCAGTAATCTGAATATGTGTCGACACTTCATGGCGGGTCGTTGCTTCGTCAACCACTGTCGCTTTGCCCACATTACTTTCGGCGCAGACACTACTTCAGTCGCACCATCCCGAACGTCGAGCGCAGTCAAGGGTGACCGCAACTCCCTCGCATGCCAGTACTACAAAACTCTTCCTCATTTATTATGGTTATAGTGTCGATTCTGAAGAAGGAGTAGACTACTCTACTGGAAAAGAATTCAGCTAAGAACTGCAAAAATCCGGACAATATTCAACCTTGCCGGGCATGATAGGAGTCCCAAAAACACGGGCCGCCTATTCTGCTGCCTCAGCGAAAACCCCCCAACAATTGCCAGCGAAGGCCTCGGGCGTGGCGAGTCCCCGCGCCCCTCCAGAATCTCCCAGCACACGCGCGCCGCCTATTGTGGTGGATTCTGGGCGGAGGGGCGTGGGGGAACACAGAAAGCAAAAACAAGAGACAAACGAAACCGAAAAAAGACAAGGGAGAGCCATCACTAAGCAAAGCACTCTCGCGACAGTATGGGGGGAATATTGGCCTTCTTTGTGCAGTGCTTAGGTGACTTTTCGCCATTGCATGTAAATAGTTATACTATATATGCTTAGACACTCGTCCTTCTTGCATTGGTTTTGGCTGTTGTTCGTCTTGTCTTTGTTATTTTTTGACTGATCGTCATACTTGCACTAGCCTCCACAAGCTCCGCCCGGCTTCGGGTTTAGCTTTAGCAGTTCGCCGCCACGGGCTACCGCTAGAGACAGCCCGCGGGCTAGCTAGAGATAGCGACGAGAGTGCCGGCGCTAACTGACTTAGACACGTTGATCCCTGGGCAGATGTGTCGACTGCCTGTGGTTTTTTATTGGACTGCCCGCCGGGGGGGTCACGCAAATTCTTAAGAATTTGCAAGACCCCCACGGCAGTCCAGCAAAAAAACCTGAAACGCACCATCGTACACGCATAAGGACCCGCAGGCCCCCGCGCTTATATATAGCCGGGCCGGCCGCGGTGGCAGGTCAAGAAAAAAAGCGCATACTTAGATAAGCGCACTGGTTTGGGCCTCTCTACGTACAGCTGACAGGGTATCTTGCTTCGTCGGACGCCTTTGGAATTGGATGGCTGGGCGTCTTTCGACGTCCAAACGATCGAAGTGCGTCTGTCGCCCAAGGTATGTTTTTCGTGGGGCTGACGTCTGACTTCTGTCGGGCCGACGTCTTTCGTCAGACCGAGTCCTTTCGTCAGGCTGACGCCCTTCGTCGGGCTGGCGTCTTTTGTCAAACGGGTGCTTCTCGTCAGACTGATGCCTACCGTCGGGCGCATGTCTTGCGTCGGTCTGACGTCTATCGTCCGACTGATGTCTTTCGTCGGACGTCCTGCGTCAGATTGACGCCTTTCGCCCGCTGTCTTTCGTCAGGTGTTTTCCTTATTCTTCTCTGAAAGGCAGATGCCAGTCTGGCGCCAGACGTCGGTCTCGCTTTCGTCAGATGTCTTGCGTCAGATGTCTTTCGTCATTTGTCGATGCGTTTCGTCGGATGTTTTTCGTCAGATGTGTTTCGTCGTGCGTCTCTCCCCAGACGTGGCTCGCCAGGTTAGCTTCGACGTCTCTCGTCGGGCGTCTTTCGTCTGACGTCTTACTTTCGTCTGATGTCTTGCGCCAGACGTCTTCCGCCCGACGTCGGTCTTCCGTGAGGTGTCTTTGCTTCGCCAGCAGGCGTCTTTCGTGGGGCGTCTTGTGTGAAATGCGAATGTCTTTCGTCGGATGTCCGTCGCCAGGCGTCTTTCGTGAGGTGTCTCCTGTGAAAGGTCTAGCCTGCGTCGGGTGTCTTCCGTCTGGTGTCAGTCTTTCGCCGGACGTTTTTCGTTTCGTCGGTCAGTGTCAGATGTCTTTCGTCAGCCTTCTTTCGTCGGACTACTTCTATCCCCAAGTGGCGCCTCTACCCTCGTCGGAAATTTTTCTGGCTTCTTTTCTGGAAGTATGCCCGGGGGCTTTCTCATAAGTTCCCGCAAGAAAACGGTCGGAGACTACCGGGGCTGGGGCTGGGGGAGAAGGGGCCGGAGACTATAGGCAAGGACCTCGAGGAAGATGCGGACCCATCTCCGGCGGGGTAGGGGGGGAGTTTCGTGGCGGTGATCAGTGGGCTGATTAACATAGATCACGAGTGTAGATTATTTAAGAGTAAAGATATAAATATAGTCTTTGCAATGTTTTAGGACTTTATATATGATCCAGGGCGCGGGGCGACGGTGCTCCCCTAGCGTAGGGGGGGGGCACCGTGCGCCCCGGACCCCTTTGGAAGGCGTCTGCTGGGGGTGGGAGGCCTCAAAAGGGGGCCAAGTTACCTCCTCGGCCTCCCTCCAGCTGCCTGGCTGTCCTTTGCAGGCCTCTGATCTAGGCGGGAGGCTTCAAAAGGGGCCCGAGGGACCGCCTGCGCCCCTTTCCAGGTGCTTGCCTGTGCCCCAAGTGCCTCCGAGGTGCTTCGCCGGTTATTTTGGGAGGCCTCTGAAGGCGGCAAAAGGCGAGGGGCTGGACCCGCTGAGCCGTGCGGCCTCTACCCTCTGGGCCCTTGGTCATCGGCTTGCTGGCTCTTGCGACCTTGGCTGCCTTCGGCGGCCTTTCACCCCGGAGGCCTCTCGCCTGCGGGGGTCAGCAGGGGCCACGAGTTCCCTGAGGAACCCGCAGAGAGGCGCAGGGGACCGCCTGCGCCAAGTTTTGACGCCTCTCACCACTAGAGCCCGCGGAAATCAGCGCGGAAAAGCGCGCTCGTGCGCCACCACAGACCAGACCACAGGGGGGGGGGCGCTGTGCAGCCCTACAACATATATCCTAACTTTGAAAACGGTTCGATCTTGGTTCCTTTTTCCAATGTTGTAATTTATATTTTGCTTTCTGTTGCGCAGCGATGTTGCTCAGCTCTGCTATCATGTGTTGTATTCAATATGTATGTTCAGAAAAAGCAGCTGCAAACCATCGACCACGCTGCTACTTTTACATCGGTGAAACACAATCATAAATCACGACTCTGTTCGTAACACTAACAACTGCTTACTAGTATGTCGAAAAAAAAATTATTTTTTATCAAATTTTAGACTCGTTACAGCGGCGACGTCGGCCGCCCCTGGTCCGAACCTCCTGGGAGGACTTCAGCCTGCTGATAACGTGGATGCTTGCATCCATTTCCTTGGGGATCGATGCTTTGTCGCGGATTGTCGCTTTCCGCATATTCGCTCTACGGACTTGGCGGCATACAAGCGGGCTCGCGACTCGGGCAAGACCGCTGATTTCTTGGCCGTATTTGACCAGCGCAAGGGCCCCACCACACTGCGCAGACGCCAAAGTACTTACCCTCATAAGATATTAGAAGTGACGTTTAAGAATAGACTACCTTAATGCAGGGTAAGCGAAGTTAAACAACCTAGAATCTAGTCCACTCACCATCATCATCATCGGCATCATCATCATCATCATCGGCATCATCATCATCAGCGGCATCATATTAGTGACTTCAGCAATATGGCCAAGAATGGATCGCCTCACAAGGTGATAGATGATAGTAACTAGTTGATATCAACCGGCTTAAGAATGGACGAGGACATGGTGATGGTGTTGAAAATGAAGCAAAGTCAACAATTGATTCCTATGGTCCATTGGAGGACTCGGTGCATAATTAGAGTGCTTGCTTTTATACCTCTAGACTGAGTGGGTACACTACAACTACTACTACTGGGCTCGCTTCGCTATAAACGACACCTCACGATGAACAAGTAAGTGAGTGACTGAATGAATGTGAAAAAAACACTAACCCTACTTCAGTTCGTCCGGAAATGACTCCGCAAGAGGAGCGGACGAAGGGTAGTCTGTGGGATGTGATTGAGGTAAACGATTGGTTAGTTACCGTTGTGAAGAAGTACAATTAAGGGTTGGAAGTTGGCCTCATCTCTATGAACAACATCGCTATGGCAGGCTTCTACTTCTTCAAATAGCAGGAAAGCCATAGATATGCGAGCTAGAGCGGTCAACTTTCCACTTCTAATACAATCTGCGGGTGGCCTCGCCCGCGGTGTGGTCGAACATCGTGAAAGGCATGTGCCAGCAGCGCAACGTGCGCGAGCAGCAGAAGATGGTGCGCGTCTTCGAAGTCTTCGCGGACGCATCGACGCGTGAACCCTACTGCTTGACCCACGTATGCGACTCGAATCTAACTCCACGTAGTGTAACTAAGCAGGTGGTCAAACATCGCACCACGACGAGTTCAATCCAGCAAGGCGCGACGTCGGACAACAAAAAAAGTGCCTTGTCGTCCTCTTACATGGACGGCAGCGGCGCGAGCTCCACTTCCAACACTTCGCTGCAACATGCGACGACCGCCAGCCTGGGCGACGACAACGCTAATGGTACCCGAACGCGCACGAGTGACCCGAGTTCGGGTTCGCAGAAGGACGAGGCGGACGAGCGCGGCAGCGGTACCAGCGACACCAGCCGTCCAGGCAAGGATGCATCTTCGGGAACGTTGCTGGGGAAACCAGGCTCCGTGGAGGTCCGGAATGGCACCAACCCAGCTTCCGCCTCCAGTACCGGCACACAGCAGCAGGTGAAACACCGGAGGTGGAGCAAGCGATCGCAGGGCCGTGCGGGCATGCGCAGGCGTCCTTCCGCCATATACGGCGACCAGGAGCTACACGAAGATGCACCTTACGAGTCCTTTGCCGAGTGGCTGGAAGCGAACGACGTGGCAGGTGCGAGCTGGGTCTGCGAAGAGATGTACCAAAGCTGCCGCCTCTACATGACCTCGGGTGGCAAGATGAAGTCTCTCGGTAGTGCGTCCGATGACGACGCCAGCGTGAACAACCTGCTCCGGGATGGCGCCGATTCTAAGGGAGATCTTGACGAAGAGGAAGACCGAGCAAGCAAAAAGCAAAAGGCAACATCAGCGAGAGGAGCGTCCTCCAAGCAGGCAAGAGACAACAACCTGATTTCCGGCGACATTAGCGACGATGGAGGAGATTTGGTTCCAGCTGCTGGAGCGACCGAACGAGCCCGAAGCAAGAACAGTGCGGCCACCGAGGCAACGGGTAAAACGCGTGCTGCTGGCAAGCTAAAACACGAGGACGAAGACAGGGTCAGGGATGGCGACTTGAACGACGTCTCTGCCACAGAGGATGCGACCGCGGGGGTTTCGAACGACAAGAAAGCTAGCAAGAGGAGCAGCGACGCAGCACCGCCTGCTTCCTCCTCACAGAAAGCTACATCCTCTACAAGCGGAAGCAAGGAGGCCGCGGGCCGTAAAAACTACGACGACGAAATCGCGAGACAGTCCGTTTCGTTCGCCTGGGTTCAGTCCGAACGTGAGCGCACCCCACCGGCTGTTGAGGTCGATCAAAAGATGTCCAATGAGTGGGCAGCGAAGCACCAAGTGGAGGATCCTCGCACGGGGCGTCTCTTCACCGGGCTTGGTGGTAACAAGAAGGTCGCTGCTCCGTCCGCTGTTGCAGCTCCTGCGCCTGTCACGACCAGTAGTACCGTGGTCGCCGTTGCGGGCCCCGCCAGCGTGATCCGTCCTGCGCCCGCAACACTGCCTCCTGCATCAAGTGCTACTTTGACTCCCAGAGATGGTATGATGGCCGGAGCGAGCAGCACCGTGGTGCCTGTTCCACTGTTATTGTCGTCCCCCGCCCGTGCGACAAACGGCGACTCCGACGCTGGCGCGACCCCGAGGCAGCAACAGCACATCATCGGTTACGAGGAGGACGATCCGGTGAACAACAGTCGGCGACAGGTCCTCTACCGCAATGAGGGAGGGAACGTCACGGTCCACATGAAGGCAACGCAGTACTCGCCCACGGGTGCCGTGCAGCAAAGTACGGAATCTATCACGCAAATGAAGTTTGTCGACGAGGACGTTATCCAGCACGACGTGTGCGAGATCGTGAGCGGGTCCGTGAACGGCAATTCGACGATGACGCGCGAAACGTTCACGACCTCTGCTGCGGGTGAACTTCTTTCGCCGAACAACGCTTCAGAAGAAATTGTTCAGGGAGCGACGATCGAGGAGATCCTGGACAACGAAGTAAAAAGCGCGAACATCAAAGATCATGTGGAACAACTACAAATTCCCAGGTCCACCAGGAGTTCGGACTTGGTGCACCAGTCCAGTGCGACTTCTCTTGCGGCAGATCGACGACCACAGACCAGTGCTTCTAGTTCTTCGTGGCTTCCCTCTGATCAGAAGACGCTCAGCATCCCAGAGGACCGACCGCTGTGGTACGGTCCGGTCCTGCCGGCGCGTGCGCGAAAGGAGAATTGTGGCGACACTTCGCGCGGGAAGCACCCGAACGTGCTGGCTGTATTCGGTGATGCTTGGGCCAAGATGTGCGGCATCGACCGGCCCGAAGACGTGCCCGACTGCGTGGCGAATCGCGGAAGCAGGCGCGCGGAAGACTTGCAGGCAGACAGTAGCAGCGCTGGCGCAGGCGACGGCAAAGACAGCGCCAGGTGCCGTGCAAAGTGGGGAGGCAATGACGACACTGACGCCGCTTCGGCCGCAGCCGACGGAATCCAAGTCAATAACGAAAGCTCTTCCCACAAGTTCGATATCGCGCGAGTGCTCAACCAAGTGCCAGGCTCTTTTTTGACGTTCCATAAGGACCCTCCACGTGCCGAGGACCTCTCGGAGGCGGCAACTCAGCTTCCGAATTCCACCGGTGAGAGCAGTTCCTCTTCAACATCGCTCGCGCCGCTTTCGTCTGAATCGGAGAACCAGTCCCCCTTACCCTTTCAAGGCACAGTTGGCGATTCGCATTCGGCCACGAAGCAGCGCTGCCGCTGCGGCACCTCCACCACGCGCAATTTGCAGGGTGGCGCGGAAGGGCCCGCAGTAAATAAGGCTTTCGAGGAGGCAGTTACTCTTTCTCTTGCGGATCGTGCTGGCGGCGCTGACCACTGTGACGAAGCAGTGGTGGTGGATCAGGCAGACGAGCCCGCGAGCAAAGACGATGGCAAGAAGAATCATGTCGCTGCAACGAGCAGGAAGCGCAAATCCACCACGAGAGACCCTAAGGCTTCATCTACTCTAGTGCGCGTGAAGAGCAAGGATAAGGATCATGCAACTTCTACTTCTTCGAGTAAAAAGACACCAGCGGACCAAGTTGCCGCGGACACAACCAGCTCCACCGTTCTGTGCAAAAAGGTTACCTCACCGTCCGCTAAGAAGGGTCCTGGAGGCGTCCTGGCAAACGCGGCCACTGCTCCTGCTGCTATTTCTACGAGCGTTGGCACTGTTCCAGGGCAGCGGCAGCGCGCGGACACCTGTTCGTGCGGAAGTCGTTTTCTCTTCCTGCCGCCGGCGATGCGTCGACCGGGGAAGAAGAATGGGCGTCGCGTACTGCCGCAGACCTTCCTCGCGGATACTTGGGACCACTTAGTGAACCGGCTGCCAGATCTCTACGAAGTCGCAAAGCTGTCCTCTCGTGTAGGCGATTCCGAGAATGGCGTCGTGCACGCACAAAAGCCGCACACCAAGAGCAATAATATGCCAAGTAATATATGTAGTGCAGACTCAACTTCTGTAGGAACACCAGGAAGAACCCCAACTTCTGAGGCAAACGGCGCTGTCAGAAACAATGGCCCAGGTCCGGCGACTGGTAGTAATTCTACCACGACATGCAGTTGTTGCAAGAAAAAGGGACAGGATGATCTCCTTGGTGAGTACAAGAAAATGAAGAGCAGCAAGGCAACACCAACCTCCTCCGCAGGAGGCGCAGGGAGTCCCGCTTTGTCGAGCCAGCATGGCGTTCCCAGTGAAGAACCTTCTTTGGATACTACAAAACAAACGTCGTCGGTGAATGACGAAGCCCGGGAATGGACCGAACAAGAAGGCACCAGCGGAAGCGAGAAGATGATAGCAGCTAGGGGGTCCTCTAGCGGCGATGCGAAGAGTTCGAAGGCCCGTTCGGTGCGCAGCCACCAGCGCACCTTTGTGGAAACCAGTGAGCAAGAGATTGGTGGCGCGCCCAGCAGCGCCGGGATGAAGGCCGACCAGGAAAGCTCGAGTGTGAGCTCGAACAAGGGCAGTCAGGAGTCGTGGCTTCGCAAGGAGAAGCAGCGACGGGGCTTCGTGACGGAAGGCGAGAAGGACTCCAGCTCGCAAGACCAAGACGTGGAGGACAGCACGAACTCGAACGAGGACACGAACAGCACTTCGCAACTGGAACTGCTGCACGTCTCGAACTGCCCCTACTACACGGCGCTCGCAAGCGGCAACGGGAGCTACTGTTCCTCCAGGTATGAGCTGGGACATCTGGATCTGTTGGAGAGCACCACCACCAACTCACTCTCGGGAGGCTCTTATCAGCCCGCCACGCGGGGACACGACAATGGGCGGGATGTCTCGGAGAACTCGGCGGCAGGACGCTCCTCTTCCACGCATGAGAACACTCTCTCCAGCAGCAGCAAAAGCAATGTTGACGAGGCCGTTGTTCAGCAGGACAAAACCTTTGCGCTCTCTCTTTCCGTCGGAGAGGGGGGCCGCTATTGTCGGGAAGTGCAGCGCAAAGAGCAGGAAGAGGCTAACGCCGCTAAAAAAGAGGCAAAACTCTGCAAAAAGCTTCGGAAGGCTGCGTCCTCGCCACATTACTATGAGCCCGAAAATGCGACCCCCAAGAACATCCTCGCACGACAAGAGCAGGTACTCACAAATTATAAGTGTATGGTTCCTAGTTTTAGTTTTTCACCTCTGAAGTTCTAAGGTTATCCCATGAAACAATAAGTATATAGTAGTTTCTAGTTATTGTGCGTGTGACAGTGTCGTGGTAGTGAAGTGACTGGTTGTGCTGAATTCTCAATTTGAATATTTAGTTATTTGGGAAGTAGAGTTTTTACTTACTTACACGGTAATCTGGTGTTCCTTTCTAACATGGATGAATTCGTGATGTTTTTACCCAATAATTGCGGACTATGACGAGGAGCACATGAGTAAATTAGTGACCGCCCGCCCCTGCTTCTTCTATAGATATATTAATTTTTGTGCATTTCAGGCTGGCGCTGTGTGACTTCGTAGACTACGTCCATTAGGAGACACGAAGCTCGCGAGACGAATTGAAAAAAATAATAATACACAGACCTCTATTTTTCACTGAGTATTTTTTTATTTCGTCTTGCTTCAGGCGAAGAGCGGCATCAACGAGAAAGGAGATGACGGATGCGACAAGAAGACGGATCAGACAAGTTTTGAGGGTATGTTTCAGCCCTTCGGATGCTGCGTTGTGCGGCTACCAGCGCGAGACATGCGACCAACGGCGCAGATGATCTCCGTGGCACACCTGCTGACCTCTCGCTGTCTGAAGAACAGGAAGCGCCTGCATCCGGTGCTAACCTTAGCTCGTATCGACAGACTCTACACACCCAGTTTGGGGTACTGATAAAGTAGCTGCAGATACTGGGGTGGAACAACGCACGTGGAAGAGGACTATTTTCGTGTATGAAGTTTAAGTCTTGTTCACAAGGATAAGTAAGAACAAACAGAAATAAGATTAAGACGTTCGGTTTCAACTTCAAGGAGAAAACGGCAATTCATGTCGTGTTCTCTCCATTTCCTCGGTATAGAAACTATAATATGGTAGTTGGTATTTCCTCCTTGCAAGAAAATCAAGAAGAGATTTCTCATTTTCAGAACTAATCAAAATTTTCAGCACCGGTCAGTACAAGTAGTTAGAAGAATATTGGAAAATCGTTGCTGGAGCAGGAAGTCATACTAGTGGAGTAATGTAGTTGTAAAGGTAGCTAGATCATGATTCCTAGTTCAACAATGTTATCAAGAATTTTGATGAGGAGAATTATGAAGATCGTAAGAATCCTGAACAATGAAAAACTTACGAATTATATATGTTCCAGGGGTGGAGGCTCTCCCCCTGGTTGCCTATCGAACAGGAACAACACCAACAAAGGGTGGACGAGGTGCAGTTGGGGATGCTGCACCTACAGGCTTTGGGTGTTGAGGTGCTTACGTGCTGGTATTGCGAACCGCCTGGTCTTTGATCTTGTTTAATCATGTCGTAGTATCAGTCATATCACCGACCATGATGTTACAGGCACCAGGTTTTAACGTCGTGTTTGAGCGGTCAGACATGCTCAGGCGACGCATGATCAATCTATCTCAGACTCAGCCGGGCGGGAGTAGTTATTACGAAGATTTACGGTCGCTTTTTCTTCTAAAAACAAGATCAAGATTTTCATGCCACTGAATGCACGCTCTCTAATTAGATCTTTCCTACCCCGCGATTGGGTAGGCTACTACTACTACCCGCAACAACTCTTCCACCTCTCCACCTAAGTGCTCCTAATCAATGTGTAATTGTTACCATTACCATGGTGGGAGAGGGAGACTTCTAATGTTCATATCTCCTGCGCGAATTGTTGAACCTCCAAAACCAAATAGAGAAGTAGCCAACTTCTACACCATAGTTATATATAGTTTCAACATACGATAAGCAAGAACGTGATGATCCATATTTTCCCTATTTGGAAGAAGTCCTAGTTGTAGTATATTTTTCCTGTATCTACTTCTATTTTCTATTCATGACATCAAGACTCAAACTGATAGGTTGTATATGTGCCAGGGGCCAGGGGCCAAGGCTCCCCCCCGATCTAACTTTTTGAGGGGGAGGCCTCCCGCCCCTGACCCTTTTTCCTGAGGGACGGCCGGGGGGGAAGGCCTCCAAAAACCCACCTCCGACCCCTTCCCGCTTCTTGCCTGGACCCTACAGAGCCCCCACCCTTGTGGCCGTTGGAGCACCGAAGGCCGGGGGTGCAAGGCTTCCGAAGGTGGCAAAGGTGGCAAGGCTGGGCCCCCTTTGGCTTGTTGCGGCTTGTTGCATGTACCCTACAGGTCTCCAGGGTGCGGGCTCCTCACTGGGGGAGTCTCTTGGGAGGTGAAAGGCCTCCGAGGGAAGCAGGTGGCAAGGCTTGACCTCTTTCGCCGTGCTGCATGCATCTGACAGAACCCAGGCGGGCACGCCTTGCTCCCACTCCTCCCCGCCTTTGGTCTTCAACTCCCCGGGCGTCTGGTGGTGGTGGCGGACGAGGGCCAAAGGGGCCAGGCCCCGCGACCGTGGCCGCCTTCGGCGGCCTTGTTCCCCCGGGGGCCGTCCCCTTGATAAAGAAAAGTCCAAGAGTCGGCACACGCGGAGAGCCGCCAGGAGCCTCCGGCTTCGCCTTTTGAGGCCTTGGCCCCTGGAGGTCCTTGCCTGTCACGTGGCATCAAAAAAGGGCGCGCGGACGCCACCGATGCTCCATCCACAGGAGGGGAGTCGCCACCCCTGGAGCGTACGTATATTGTTTTAATTTGTTCTTTACGTTGACTACATCCTTTGTATTTCGGTGGCCCTACCCTATCTCTTCTAAATAATAATCCAGATAATTCTGACAAAATATAAATGGACCCTCCCGGCTGGCGGCAGCGACAGTGGGTCATTAGAGTACTTACTTAGTCAATCTCAATCCTGACATATTCATTACACGAAATCTCCATGATCGATATGTTAGCTTCTACTCAGAACAGATGAATCAATCGAAAGTAGATGAGTTTTTAGCAAACGATATGCATTTTGCTTTCTACTCATCACGTTTTCTCTTTCCGTGATTTTTATAATCAGTGAAGATGAGTTTGGATTTGTTCAGGGGGCGGGCGGTGGTCTTCAATGACACAGGTGGAGTATGTGATAATCTTCATCACAACGGAAAAGAACTACATCTACGTCAGCTGCTAAAGATGTTGTGCCGTGGTAGGTTTTGGTCAGAGAGTTTTCCTCAAATTCATTACCACTCAATGACTTAGCGGCTTCCTGACATTGTCAGGCAGCTCAATGACCTAGTCACTGAGTCACTGAACTCATTAACCTCACTCACGTTACCACCCAATGACTTAAGTTAGGTGTCGCGGTAGGTTTTGCTCAGAATGACTTAGAAGAGGCTTCCTCAAATTCACTACCACTCAATGACGAGCAGAAATTCATCCACGACACGAACTCCTTGCTAACTCGTTTTTCAGACATCAGCTTTAGTACTGGTACAGATAAAGAGTATTTCAGCAAATTTTTATGTCCTCGAATATGAATCTCGTTCAAATAGCATTCCTTCGATCATGTTCATGTCCTTAACATCTTCTGTAATTGCACGAATTGAAATGGCACTGATTGTTCCCGCTTTCTTGTGTGTACGGCACTGCCGAACGTTGTTAAAATTGCGAGCTTAGGAATCACGTTCCAAGCCCATTTCGTCTTGCTGGTGATTTGGTGCAATCACTTGGGACGTGATGGATGAATGTGAGGACCGCCGAGTCGATGGCGACTCCTCTCACGATCTCACGCCTTGTTGCGGAAGAACAATAAGGGTAGTCTCGAGCGTTGAAGGATTTTATATGTGTGTAGTCTAGGAGGTCCTCTTTCCTTTCTACAAGTTTTGCGCAATTTAACTGGCGTTAGAGTTTAAAAAAAGTTGAAAGTTTGGATCTTGTTTGAGGAGGAGTCGCATTCTGTTTCCTACCTGCGTTTTGCTTATGTTGCTGAGTGTGATAAAGATGACTACTTGATCCACGAGGGCGCCCCCTCGCTCTCCTGCAGACAGGTCCTTTTACCTCCCGCCCGCTCTTAGCAGAGAAGTGGCTTGCAGGCATAAGGTGGCCCCTGTGGTAGGAGTAAGCCCTGCAGTTTTTAAGAAAGTGAATAAAGTACTAGTGACTTGGCACTTTTTGTTGACGACGAGTCTAGATGAAAGCTCTACTAACTTCTCCGTCGTCGACGAGAACAAGTAGAGCCGGATTCCGAAGTCCGATATTTAGACCCGAGACAACAAAAAGAATTGATAGAAAGATGTGCTGGAAGCTGTGGTGGAATTTTTTTTATCATTGCAATATGATCATGGAAGAACACGAACAAGTGAAGACGTTGAGTAACTAGAAGTAGCAGTCATTGTACTAACTGGCAGTAGTTGGCGATGACTTTCGAATGTACAACTAGTGTCTGGCAAAAATGTCCAACTCGTTATTAACATCATTAACTACCACTTGAATGCGGTGCCATGGTTGGGCGAGGATCAGGATGTGCCGTAGTTTCTTTTCAAAATAGCTAACGCTACCGTGTCTTAACTCGTGGCCGATCAGTGGCAGATGGAATTGGTGAAAGCATTTATTCGTTTGATATTTTCGATCTACAAAGCCGGGACTATAATTAAGCAGTAGTAGTTGTAGATCGTATCTATATATCTTCACATATTCTTAGTCATCGATTAGTAGTATAATGACAAGCCCCAAACTTGTCCGCGTTCGTCGTGTGAGCTTCTTCTTGTCAACATCATTACGCATCCTGCATAGTCATAGAAGTGCATCAACTACGACGTCGAGCCAAAAGATTACTACGAGGCTAGTAAGAATAGCTGGCAGGAGTGTGTTGGTCCTATATTGATGAAGAGACGAGTCTTCCAGACGTAATATTTGTCCTCGTGATAATGAATTCAGAACAAAAAACTTAGTACATCAACTAGTGACTAGTTCTAGTGCATGATGATGATCTCCCTCTCGGATTAAGATGCAGAACAAGCCGAAGCAAGTCTATGGCCATTCAGTTCTTGTAGAAGGGTGGCAGGGAGGGCGTCGGCTGTGACTCATTTGTAGCTTTGATGCCCCAGGTTCGTCCTCCAAGTTCTTATTTGTGCCTCGTTGCAGATGAAGTCAGTTTGTCGTCTGTGCGTGACAGACTTATTTCTGCAACGTCTATCTAAAAACTACAATTTAGTACTATGCTCGATATTCTTCATACAAAGCTATAACGAACCGGAACCCTGTCCCGGTGGTCCCATTTTAGAAGAAGTCGAGGAGGACGACGACGACGAGGACGACGGACGAGAACTTACTACAAGAGGAGGTGGCCAAAAGGCGTGATCGACGGAGAAGTGTGAAATGTTTGCTTTCTCTGCGCCCACCACTGCTGGTGCGTCGAACTCTTCGAAATCACGGAGCGCGAGTAAGTAGGCCTATCGTCATTATATTCCCGGCAGCGTCTGTTGAGTTGAGAAGGTCGCAATTTCTGTCTGAGGATTGCAAGCTGCAGCCCTTTGCTGAGCGTAGTCTGATTTTCAAAGTAGACCACCCCGGTCTCTTTGCCCGCGTCGCCCCCCATGATATTCTCTCAGTGGACTTCATGCGAAGCCCGTGTTTGCGCTGTAATCTTTTTTTTTTTGTATAACTACCAAAAGATCTTAAGCTTCTACTAAGATCAGACTGTGTGTTTAGTTTTCGTATGTTTGTAACGATCGAACAGCCTAGGGCCGCCACTTGATGAGTTAGCGCAATTCATGAGATTCAAAATGCAGGCAGCTTCCTGCGATCTCAAAAATGACAAAAATGCGCATAATCAGAGGCAGACAGCTTTCTGCAAGCTCTTAGTGTCGATCATTTTAAAATCGATGGTGCAAAGTATGTAAGTAGCGTTTAGTATAGGAGGTTAATGCACTCCCACCATCGCCGGGCAGCATCCTGGAAAACACGTGGGTCATACTAATTTTTTTCAGTATACCGCCCGCCATAAAAAAAAAAAAAAAAATTCGAAAAACTTGTAATTGTAATTGTAATGTCCATTAGTAGGAAAGAGTGTTGCTACCCGTCGTATCTATTGATGGCTGCTATCAATCTTGTTAGAGCGTAGCTTTAGGTGCCTGGCTGTCGTGCTTCAGGCTTCTCGCTGGGTAATTAAGTGGAATTATAGCGAGAAAAGTAGACCCAGGCAACAAAAAGCAATCCTATTGGTTGCAGAGTGAGTGAACGAATGAAAGACTTGACCGGGGCGGAGGGCTACACATTAAATACATGACCTTGATGACCGAGGAATGAGATACTCGAGGAAGTGCACCGAGCATGGCCCTCCCGACCCCATTCTCGATGAATACGAATGGGTTGCGATAAGAGTCTTTATAATATATGATGTAGATGTATGTTTACTTCATTATGAAAGACCGTCTAGGTCTAGTTTCAACCGATCTATTTTGTGTCTTTGCAGCACTTCTAAAATGAATCTGTATCCGAGGATGGTCCGAAAATCTACTCGTATTATTTATCATTTTTTCAGCTTCGTCAGGCAGTATTTCTCAGGTCCTCGCACCTCTCTTTTTAGTCCACGTCGTCGAAAACGTTTCCCGCTATATGATTCGAGCAGTTAATTAATAAAGAACGAGAACAAGAAGATGGAAGATTGAGAACAAGCACAAGTAGTAGAAGGCCGCGTTGCAAGAGCTAGTACGAGTTCTACTAGTTTTGGCGTAGTCTAGAAGAAGAGTATGCCTTTCTTCTTGGAATATTACTAATATCGAACAAAAGTAGAAGTACTTAATATTACTAGTTTTTACCATAATAAACACGTAGAAGACCGACGTACAAGATTACCATGCCCCACACATCCATCATCTCTCCACGATCTTCTACTCTATGATGGAAGCAAGAACAGAATTGCGAGCATTTATGACAAATAAGTGGACAACATCGAATGCGCATCTCGCTGTGAAGTCAATGTTTCACGACCCAGTGCCCTCGATCCAAGTCATAAGAATCAAATGTCGACCTCGACGGCCGCCGCTGTGATACGGGGCGAGTTCTTTTAGATTCTCGTGGTCCCTTGTCACTGTCATCGTTGTGTTTTACTGAGTTACCTGGCAAAGTGTTCGAGTCGTGCTGATGATCATCAAAATCATGAAGATGGAGCGGTTAGGCGTGTATAAGAAAGAACCTTGTTGATGTCTTTGCAATTGTATAAAAATGTGTTCAAGAGGTAGTACTTACGATCGGTGGACTGATGAAAACAAAAGAGAGAGGAGAGTAGATGCGCAAAGTGATGATTTGAGAACGATCTCTTGCTAGGTAAATGAATGAATGAATGAATGAGAGATGACGAATATCATCATGAGAGCACTAGCCTCCACAAGCTTCGCCCGGCTTCAGGTTAGTTTAGCACTTTTCTGCGGCCTCCCACGGGCTACAGCCGCTAGAGTAGAGACAGCCGGCGGGTGAGCTGATGCACCTTACGAATTGACTACGACAAGAGCCGAGTGCCGGCGGTGGCCGACTCAGATGCGTCGACTCATGTGCAGGGCATTGCGCTGCCTTCGGTTTTTTTTTTGAGATTGCCGGGCGGGTCATGCAAATTCTTAAGAATTTGCAAGACCCCCACGGCAGTCCAACAAAAAAACCAGAAGAGAGCCACCAGACACGCACAAGAATCCGCAAGCCCCAACGCACGCAAGCGCCTCGCGGTGGCGCCAGGCAAGAACGAGGGGCGACCTTGATGGGCCAAACAAGACAAAGCAACGCAGGGCCGCGCTGCTTGGGTCTCTCTACGCGCTTACACCTGGCGGGGCTTCTTTGTTTCGTCAGATGTCTCTCGTCAGAAACAGGCGGGCGCACTTCGCGGGGCCGTGCGGCGTCGCGCTTCGGGCTGTGGCTGAAGCCTCTCGGCTGGCTGACGTCTTTCACCAAGCTGGAGACTAAGGCTCTCCATCAGGCTGATGCCGTTCGTCAGCCCAACGCTCTGCGCCAGGCTGGCGGCGTTCGTCGGGCAGGCCGGCGCCCCTCGGCAGGCGTCTTGGGTCAGGCTGAGGCTTTTCGTCAGGGTCGGGCGACGTCTCTCGTCAGGCTGAAGCGCTTCGCCTGGCTGACATTCCTCGCCGGGCCGAGACTCACGCCTTTGGTCAGGTTGATGGCTTGCTTCAGCTCGGCGCCGTTCGTCAGGCTGATGCACTCGCCAGCCAGGTGAGGCCTCTCTCCAGACCGGCGCAATGCTTCGCCAGGCGTCTGCCTTGCGTCGGAGGGAACAGGCTGAGCGGGGCCTTTCTTCGGGCTGCGGATGTCTTTCCTTCGTAAGATTGACCCCGTTCTTTCGTCGGACTGACGTGCTTCGCCAGATTGACCGCGTTCGCCGGACTGACGTCCTTCGCGAAAGGTCTTCGCTATCTTCAAGGGCCTCGCGCCACAGGGAGGCCTCGCGTCAGTTTTTCTGGTGGAGGTCGTTCGTCAGATGTCTGCTGTCGCGGGTCTCACTCTTGTCGTGTCGGAGGTCTTGGGCCCAAAGGTCGTCTTTGGTCCACGCACAGGTCGCCGGTGGTCCACAGTCAGGCCGCCTGTGGCCCAAAGGTCGTCTTCGGTCCAAAGGTCGGCTTTGGTCCAGAGGTCGTCTGTGGTCCAGAGGTCGCTTTTGGTCCAGCGGCCGTCTTTGGTCCAAAGGTCGCCTTACTTTGGTCCAAAGGTCGCCCTACTTTGGTCCAAAGGTCGCCCTACTTTGGTCCAGAGGTCGAAGGGTCGCCTTACTTTGGTCCAAAAGTCGCCCTACTTTGGTCCAGAGGTCGGCGCACTTTGGTCCAAAGGTCGGCTTACTTTGGTCCAAAGGTCGGCTTACTTTGGTCCAAAGGTCGCCTTACTTTGGTCTAAAGTTCGCCTTACTTTGGTCCAAAGGTCACCCTACTTTGGTCCAGAGGTCGTCGCACTTTGGTCCAGAGGTCGCCTGTGGTCCCGCGGTCGTCTTCGGTCCCAAGGTCGTCTTTGGTTTCAAGGTCGTCTTTGGTCCCAGTGTCGTCTTAAGTCCCAAGGTCTCCTTTGGTCCAGAGGTCGCCTGTGGTCCAAAGGTCGCCCCTGGGTCAAAGATCGCCTTTGGGCCAAAGATCGTCTTTGGGTCAGAGATCGCCTGTGCTCCAGAGGTCGTCTTTGGTCCAAAGGTCGCCTTTAGTCCGAGGATCGCCCTTGGTCCAACGGTCGCCCTTCGTCCAAAGCTCGTCTTTGGTCCAAAGATCGGCTTTGGTCCATCTGTCTTTGGTCCAAGGTCTTTGCCCTTTCGGTGGGCGGTCTTTCGTTGGCTGTCTCTCTTTGGACTTTTCTCCCCAGCTTGCGCCCCCACCCCCGTCGGCCATTTTTCTGCCTTCTTTTCTGGTGGTCTGCCACGGGGCCGCAACGTAAATCCCAACAAGGAAACGGCCGGAGGCTATCGGGCTTGAGACTGAGGGGAAAGGGCAGGAGACTATGGGCAATAGCTTCGCGAAAGAAGCCGACTAATCTCCGGTGGGTTAGGCGGGGAGTTTTATGGCGGCGATCAATAATATAGATTAATAATATAGATTAATAATATAGATTAATAATATAGATTAATAATATAGATTAATAATATAGATTAATAATATAGATTTTTTTTTTGTTATGTTTTTTATCTATCAACTTATAATAATTTTTTACCAGCTGCTGTTAGGCTTAGGCACTCGCACTCACGGTGCTTAGCAAGTTGTTCAAAAACACTAGCAATAGGATTTCTAATTTTTTGTTCGACATGATTCTTCTACAAGTGTTCTCAACGTGCGAGGCAAATTATAATTCTCTAGTACATTTATTCTATTTCTTCTCATTGGTGCTAGTTGTCTACTAAGTTAGGGAGCTTCCTGCTCTATCTTCTACATGCAACTTCAGTGTCTTTCAGTTTGTCAGTTAGGTTTTGCTTTGATCCTTGTTTCTATAAAACTAGGTCGTCTTCTTGCGCCTTGCCTCCCGGACAGGTAAACGAGCGGAAGAATGGATGAATCGTTGTACATCTTCAAGCGATTCACACTTTTCTTTACCGTCCCTCCCTGTAGTAGATGTAAGTAGATGTTGTTTAGCCTGTAGTTTACGTCGTGTACTGCTCGTCTGCTGGTGCAACCCAGCAAACTGAGTTGTAATCTTGCGAAAGCTTCTAAGCAACTTTCGCTTTCTACTATAACTAGCATTGGTAACCAAAGAGCAGCACGAGGAAGTTAAGTAACAGTAAGTTTTGTACCGAAAAACGAAACACAAGAAATGTTAGTCTATAATTATGTACTTAGTCATTTCTTATTGTAATTTTGGAGGGAGACTTTCACATTAAAATCTGAATTCGACGATACTTTTGGGAGTACTTACAGCACTTCAAGAGATAATTATTTGAAGAGGAGCGAGGGCGCGTTTCATTTCTAAGGCTAACGAAGTGATTGTGATTAAGCGATGAGACTCTCCTCGTCTCATGATTCTATCTTTTCGATGTCTCCGTCCTGTCACAAGTTCAAGGTCTAGTGGTACTAAAAAGGTATATTTTGACGAGATTATAATTTCTCAAAAGTGAGGAAGGTAAGTAAAGGTAGAGCAGATATTGGACGATGACGAAGTCTTCTCCGTATTTTTAATATTAATATCATGTTCTCTACTTTGTAAGAATATGACCAAGAAAATGGCGAGGATGTTGAATTGGAAGATGTTTTCTTGGGTGCTAGTAGGCATCTTCACGACAGGATGGGTGAAGATTGCCGTCGGCCAAGAGGCGTGTGATATCTTTCTGACGCCAACGCAGATTATGACCGGCGAGTTGGATTCGGGAGCTCGGGTACCGTTCTTTTGCATTAGGATTAGAAGATAATTTTTGTTGTCAACGCAACAGCTGGACCGTCAGGAAGGTCCCTTCCCTAGCGCCCTTACATCGATCTCCTCATTGGCAGATGGTAGGTGCGCGGAACGTGTGCTGCGATAGGGTCGCGCGCGGACATAATTAAGGAAACCCGTCGCGCGCGCGTGGGGGAGGGTCTTCCTGTTTACTGCGTTGACAGCTCCGAAAAAAGTCCCAAAAAACCGCCACCGCAAAAGCAATCGGGTGGAAGAAGTCCAAAAACCTGCAAAAGACGCCCCCGCCCAAACGGTACGAAAAACTGCAAGGAGGCCGTTGCTGTGTCGGGGTGTTTCGGATGGCTCTTTGTGGTGTTTTGTGTATTCACCGCCCACGGGCCCGGCTTTTGCGTGCCTGCTTGTTGTGTCTCTCTTCTCCGGCGGCTGTGTGTTGGTTCGCTTGCGTGGTTTGTGCCTGTCCGCTTGCTCCTGGCGCCCGAGGATCTGGCTGCCCGTTTTTTCTGTCTGTGTGTCTTCTTTATCTTCTCACGAGTCGCGACGGCATGGCGCTGGCCAGGTCTGTGGAAGTGTCGCCGGCAATGTGGCTTCTGCGCCTGGGGATCTGGCTGCCCGTCTTTTCTGTCTGTGTGTCTTCTTCTCATGAATCGCGACGGCATGGCGCTGGCCAGGCTTGTGGAGGCGGGTCTGGCAATGTGGCCTCGGCGCCCGAGGGTCTGGCTGCTTGTTTTGTTTGTGTGTCTTCTTCTCATGAATCGCGACGGAATGTTGGGGCTGGCCATGTCTGTGCCTGGAGTGTCGTATTGCTGCGCCTGAGGGTCTGGCGGAAGTTCTTCGGCTCTTCGTCTCCGTTGGTCGTTTGTTGTCGCTGGGTCTCTTTCTTGGCTGTTTGCGTGTAGGCTACAGAACAAGGCAGCCTTTTGCTTAGACACTTGGCGCGGGTTTGGGACTCGCAGGCGCCTCGCCAGTCTAGTCGGACAGGCGTGGCTTGTCTGGGCCTGAAGTGCGTGGGGAGTGCGCTGCGCGTCGTCGTGGGCAGGGAAAGCGAGGGCGCTTGCGTAGTTAGTATTTATATATTATCATGAACATGAAGACAGTCAGACGGCAGAAGGCGTGCATTGTTAGCCGGCGGGCGTTGGGTGTTTCCGTGTGCCATCTGACACCTTATGCGCCTTGCTTTCTGTCGGTAGCGTGGGCGCGTCACGGCAGTGCCGTCGGGGCTGCGAGTGGTCTTCCTTCTTCCTTTTGCTTGACGGGTTTCCTTTTACTGGCCGCCAACGCCAGGGACGTAATAATAAGAAGAGCAACATTCATCATCGTCATGGTCAATATAATCAACAACATCATTGGCATAGGATTATTTAGATTTTGATTGAGAGTTAGGATTAATTTAGATTTTTGAAACGAGTCAGTCTGCTCAGTACAACAAGACTCGATTATAAAATTCAAATTTTTCTGTTCTTCAGGTGGTGACATACACGAATTTGCGAGTGACATGCAAGCGATTCTATCGAAAGGGTGGGGCTTCTCAAGTACGTCAGGACGCCGCGTCGGTACCGCTCCTCCGCTGTCGGAGCTACATCGATTCTTAATGATGATCCAACTACTTACCTACGTGACTTTCTTTTATTATACCTCTAGACTGGATACGCCACTACTACTACTTACACACAATCTTGGAAAGACGAAGTAGAAGCAAATGAACCAAGAACAAGATGAAGAACTTATTTTACTTGACTGGTGGTGGTCACCTGATTCTGATATAATTCATCTTGTTGGATAGGCGTAGGAAATTGTAGAAGAGGAGATTGAAATCGATGTGCTCTGTGCGGCAGGCAGTGAACGGTCCTGAGGTGGCTTACATTTTGGATGATCAATTAGAATTCTATTTTAGAAAATGAAAACGATAAGAATTGTCGTGATTGTCGTTGTCTAGACCTGCTAGTTGTTCTCATCATTTACATTCATTCTGTATGCTTGATTGCTCTAATTTTTTGTTCCATGTGTGCTTATGGTGCGTCAGCTTTAGCATCTTCTCGGAGTTGTACACGTACGTACCTACGTAGGTGGTGAATGTTGTAATTGTGATGATCATCTGCAGGAGTGGTCGTCGTAGCTTCATAATTCTAAGCTTCTAGTTTCTATTTTGGAGAAGAATAAATGCAATACGAACACCTGTTTTCCTTTTCAGAGGACATGATTATTTAATAAGATTTGGTACTAGTCCCTCTGTGGCTGCACACATTCGCTCGAGGATACAGGTCAAACTGTGGACGGCGAATCCTATCCTATCCTATCCTACACCTGTTTTATGCACCTCGTCATCACTCACGCACTCACTCACTCAGGTGGCGCGGGTCGATGCTCCACTGTATTATAGGAAGTGCAGCGACAGCAACACGCGGTATGACGAAGCTTCTGGCACGTGTGTCGAAATGGTCTGTCCGCAACCGTGCAGTTTGTGGGACCCTCATTGCCTTGCGTCGCGAACCGACGATAACTTCGTGGCTGCCAACGTTACTCAGTGGGGTTCGAACTTAAGTTGCTCTTACACTACTTCTAACTTTACTGATGAAAGGAGCTATAACAAAACGTATTAAATAAAACTACTTTCGATTTTCACCACAATCCACCACTAATAAATATGACTAGAATTATCAATTACTTATGTTGTACTAATATTCGTAATAATTGGAAACAAGAACAACTCCATTCAACCATTTTTTCACCGTCTAATGACGTTTGCGCAGCGCGCGGCAGAGGTGCAGGCGCAGGGTAAGGCTGGTTACGAAGCCATGCGATCACTGATAGAATCGGAAAAGCACAATTTTGGTGGTTATTGGTGGGCATGGGACCCCACACGCTACGAGGTGGCACATCGCGGCTTCGAGTGGTGCGGGCATCACTTAAGGCTCCTCCTGATTGAGGCCTGCATAACTCTCCTTACATCCGACCTTGGGTAAATTAGAATTTTTAGATAAAATAAAATTAGATAAATATATATTCCATATAGCGTGTAGCCCTTCAAAGAATAGATATATATATTCCATATTTCAATTTCTCACTTAACTACAAGTTCAAGTACTAGCGGTGGAATTCATTCCCCAACGAGTGCCTGGACATGCTAAAAAGGGACTCTTCCCTCAATGACCTTTGATTTTTACCTCGTCTACAACAAGTTAGTACTTTGTTAGAAGATACAACTACCTGCTCACCAGAGGTAGCAGGAGTATTTCAATTATTACCTGCTGCTCAAGGAAAGAATTGATTACTATCTAATGAAAGCCACTTCCATCTAGACAATTCCATCATCCTTCTTATTACCTGCTGCAGCTCATCGTCATTTTCGAGGAGTTTGACAGTGAAAGCCGCCACCTCCTTTTGAAGATTTTGAAGGGGCTCTTAGTCCTAGTCCTTCTACCTCGTTAATAGTCGTCTAAGTCAGCATGACTGGGAATCGGATACCCACGATATGACCCAGTGTCGTTGCGGGTTTGTCGAGTTGATTCGTGCAAAGGATCCAAATAATCGATTCGAGCATGATTGGCCTCCCCATGGAAAGTCCAGGACCGATGACTATTACATGTGGCGACACCGCGATATCAATTTTCCTTCGGTGCCCAAGTCAGCAGCTGATTATGGTGAACAAGGAAATCAAAGTGTTCATCTTATAGAAGAAGTAGACTATTAATATTTGAACTTGAACAAGTCTCCTTCTTCATCAATCAGCTTCTAAACACAATACTAGCGATGCCTCCTCCTCTTTATTAGTGATTTGGATTTTTTTGAAACTATACCGGTTAATTTCCACACGATACTTCACCTTAATATCCAACAAGCTACTCTCTCGACCTCGGCGCCTCTAGTCATTTACATTCTGGCACTTCTTGTTATCTCACGCTAAATATTAAATTGTAGTTACTTACTCATTTCTTCTACTTCTTCTAACGTGTTTGCTTGCCGGAGAGTGTAAAACGAGACCGTTGGATGCAGATTTTCCCAGATTTTGCGCAGCCGTGGGCCGCACCCGATAAAGATCGTTGGTATCATCATGCCACTATTAAGGCTCAACTTTCATTGATCATTTATTGAGGTTGGTCTACTGTCACTGAGAAGATCGGAGAGGGGCCCCCGTGAAAGAGCAGGGCTGGTTCCGTCTCCGTATCAAACAAGTAGACGAGAGGTGTGTAGTAGGGGGTCTTGTCCGTTCAGAATTATCAGTGACCAATGAAAGAGTGGCGACCTTTAACACTACCACGCAACCTTCACGAACGGAACATCTCCGCGGCCGTAATAGCCTGCAGGAGATGACATGCGACGCACTCACTGGACACGACCCGCACCACCATGACCCAGCATATACCCAAACCCCAGAAGTTATGGCTACATTCTGATTTTTGTATTTTATTGCTTTTTCACGACCTCACAGTTATAATAAACTATTATAATATGGTCGTCTAGTAGTCTAGTACATGATGTTGAATGTGATACTTAGAAGTACTGCCGGGAGTTAGTTTTCCCTTGTAGTAAACCTTACTTTTCCAGTTCCACTTCCACCTTCTATGATACTCTTCACTCTTCTAACAACAAGGAGACATATTGGGCCGACATGCGTTCTTGGTGTAGCAACTGGATAAAGGAGAATAAGGGACCGCTCATGTTCGGGCATCGATTCCATCATTTCCTGAGCGACCACCAAATGGATCGCGTCCTTCCAGGCCCTAGCCCATCAGGACCGTTTAACGTGGATGCGGACGGCATCCGAAGCATGTGTGCCGAAAGGCATGACATGTTGGAGCTGTGGATGGTTTACAATGGTGTCTGGACTCCAAGCGTTACCGATCATACACTGTATTTAAGGCTGGTACAAGAAATCCATCTTGTTCCACAGCATCCTGTTCCTTCGTTCCCGTTTCTCAAACGGGCACAAATAAGCAGCTTTGCAGGATGGATTTAGTCGAGGTCTAATCTCTGACATTGATTACGGACAAAAGATGAATGAACCTGGAGGCTTCAGTGACTGGTGCGTGGCCAAGCTGTCAGAGCTCTACGGCCGTATTGCAGGTCTGCCGCGACAAGTCGACCAACAGCACGGACAGAAAACTCCCGGAGCAGTCAGCTGGCGTGCCACACAAGCTGGAGTATTGACTTATAATCTTTATCTTATAAAATTATGTATGAATATATAATATTGTAGATGGACCTAGAACTAGCTGTAGATGCCTCACGATTTCGATTGTTGACGTTAGTCACGAGAACCTTCATGATCTGGAGATGGGTGAAAAAGGTGTGAAGTGCAGACATTGCGACAAAGCAGGGTGGAACTATAAAACGGCAAAAGTGCAAGCAAAAGCGACTGTAGTTGGAAAATGGAGAAAACACGAAGAAAGACGTCAAGGAGGAAAAATATAATTAAAGATGCACGTCCGTCAATTAAATGGCTGGGTATATCATCATCATCATCATCATCGTCATCTTGTCGTGCTTGTAGTTGTGCAACTTATTGATCTGATGCTTGCACTCGTTCAGGTACTGAACACGATGCGGGACATCCTAGACAATGCGTACGTGAAAAAGTTATGACCTTCGCCCAAGAGGACTCCTTCAAAATCTTAAAATCGTTGTTCATTTCTAGTAGCAGTACTTGTAGTACCAGTAACAGTATTAATAGCGCTAAGAACTTGAAGTTCGTTTTCACATGTTTTATACTTTGTTGTATTCAACATCAACAAGATGAAAAGAAGAAGAGCAGTATTTTAATATTTTGAAGAAAAGAATGGAAAAGTGGTATCGAAAAGAAAAACCTTAACCTCATTTTGTTTTGTTTTTAGTAAGTACTTCTAGTTCTAGACGACAAGAACAACACAGAAATAGGAAGATTTGTGGTGGAGTCCTCTTTCACAAAACGCGAATGGGGAGATCGGCGCCCGCCACGATCCTTTCAACGATCATGGCAGTGAAGTAATGCTGCCAATCAAGGATGGCAACGCAGTGAACAATCATCCGCGTGGGCATCTATTCTTAAGGCTTCCTCTAATCCATCTCTAGCGTAGCTATCGCTCAAGCATATACATCCCGATACTTACAAGGGGAACAGATACCGCAGCAACGCATCTCAGAGAAACTCTCTTGAGGGATTTCCACAGGAATGATGAAATAACAGGAAGAGGTCTAATATTCCCGAAGCTGAAACTTCCTCCGAAGTTCGGTAGCCCTTGCTTTAGCTACGTGGAGTACGCGGAGACCATTCAGAATTATCAGCATTATGGCCCCATTTATAGTACTTATTTTATATATGAGAATATTAGTAGTTCTAGTTACTTAGTACTTCATCATGTCAATTATAGGTTCTTGGTTAGCCCCGCCACTTAAAAGAAGAAGTACTTGGCAATAACAAGAATAGGCTCTTCTTAGTGATTTAGCACTGACACTTCCTTGTCAATTGTTGTACTAGGTTGCTTGCTGTTGAGGAAGATCCTTTTGTAGCAAACTGTTTCTCCTTGTTCTTTTAGGTTGCTTGCTGTTGAGGAAGATCCTTTTGTAGCATCTTGTTTCTCCTTGTTCTTTTAGGTTGCTTGCTGCTGAGGAAGATCCTTTTGTAGCATCTTGTTCTTCTTGTGAAGACAAGAACCTGTTAGTTTTTCGTGGCTCAAGTTGCATCAAAGGTGTAGGCTTTGCTGGCTGACCTCATCAGTAGTCACGTGCAACTACAAACGAGGTTCCATGACATGACTTCTTCATCCCTGTTCTACTGTAGAAGAACACCTATTGCGTGAAGAACCTCCACATTGTCTAAGAGTAGCGCGAGCACGAGGGTTTCCCAGGGATCATCAAACCAGAGTGGAAGTGCACAGACGGCGTGTCTATCACCGAAAACATTATCAAGTTCGTTAAGGCCTTAATATAATACTTCTTGCTACATTCTTCATTCAATCAATGCTCATCTTCCGTAGAAGTTCTTGATTGCTCGGTTTCTTCATCTTCAGGTTTTGGTTAATATTCAAAGCTATGACAATATAGGAAAACCAATCACTACAACTACTAGTACTAGAAGTGAGATCAAAAAGTATTTCTTTATCCTTGCACTCCTTTTTCCAGCATGACTCTCTCCGAGAATAATACATTTAATCCAGATGTGGTGGCTCCTCAGTACAAACTGATGCATAACTTGTTAATTTTTCCCTCATCGTTCTAGGTAGTTAGTCCCTTCAAACAACATACTGTTCCGTCTTGCCGCTACTAGTTTAGGATTACTACTTGAGAAAAAAACATCTAATTTTGCACCGCCAACCGACGATGCTGCGCATACAATGCTGCGTTTTTTGTCGCGAAAAAGCGTGGAGACGCAATTGGACATCTTAGAGTTATGGAAATGATTATCAATGAAAAAGCGTGGAGAGGACGCAAGAACTGGACATCAATTGTGGAAATCAATGAAGATTAATAGTGCTCCCACTTCGTGCACGCGGGGGCTGCACGGTGCACCCCAACGATACTATTAAAGAAGAGTTCCATAGAAGAACGACAGGAACTCTTCTTTACTAGCATAGAAGACGACTATACTGCTAGAAGAACGACAGGAACTCTTCTTTACTAGCATAGAAGAGACTATGCTGCTAGAAGAACGACAGGAACTTTAATAGCAGTTCTGTGCTAGAAGTACACAGGACAATGCGAGTTCCTGTGCTAGAAGTAGGACGATAGTGGCATCAAGCTGTTCTTGTGCTAGAAGTAGAAAATAATTGAATTGGAGGTCGTCGGACCAGAAGTAAAGAGAGTGGCTGTTTCATCTTTTACACCTCTAATGCAAAGCGTGGACATCAAAGCAGGCCGAGTCAATATCTTCATCCTGGATCAGTCCGAAACTGGGGGACAGACGCGTAAAGAGGGACCAAGCCTCGCCGAACTGCGTCAAAGTTGCTCTGTGCGTTTGAATTTATGATCTTACATAGGAACAGAATCTTGGTCGTCGTCGCGGGAGGTTCTTGCTGTATCTCTTTCTGTGAACAGATACTAGTTATAATAGATATATACATATAATTAGTGGTACTTCAAGCTTGTAGTTCTAATGTCGATGTATTTCGACTCTGAGGGTCGCCAGTCCGTTGCAGCGAACTCGTGGATCCCTCTCGGGAATTTGACCCAGGCTCCCGCGAACTGTGATGCGGATGTTATGGCTCGCTCTTATTTTTCAAATACTGTGACGAGTAGACCTGGGCTCCTGAGTGATTCAACAATTTTTGCATCATACATACTTGTTAGAACACTGAAAACCTAGAAAACTAGACCCGCAGGGGAGTCAAGTTGGAAACAGTATCCCCTTCCTGGTTCTACCTTGAACTTCTCGGCTAGCTTCTTGATGGACTGTTCTGCGTCGAGTTTCATCTCCTTCGACTCTCTGGTGTACGATAGTCGCACCCCCAAGATATCGCGGATTTGAGTTCTCTTGTCGGCAGACCATTCAGCATCAATTACTTTACCATCGAAATGCGCCAGGATTTCCTTGATCACTTGGTCTACTTCCTCCTGTGTGTTGGCACTAACTAGGGAGTCATCAACGTAGATGGCTATAGTTACACCTTTGCGCCGGAAGAGACCGGGCTCATTGGGACATCTTTCCCAACCTGTTTTCAGTAGGAAGTTAGAGTAGCAATCATACCACTTTCTAGGGGCTATCTTCAGTCCGTAAAGGCTTTTCAATAGTCTCACAACGTCCCCACGCGGGTCCGCAGACCAATGCTTTGGAAGTCTAATGAACACGCGCTCATCATCCCCCAGCTCGCTCCTAACGAATGCGTTGGAGATGTCAAACTGGCCTAAGGCTTTGCCATTGGCAGCCGCATCAACTAACAACACCCTGTTAGCCGCGTGTGAGACTGTTGGTGAGAAGATTTCGGCCTTACTAACTTTCGTCTGCCTATTGCCTAAAGCAACGCAGCGAGCCTTGTATCTACCACATCGCTTCTTTGTGTATATGACAACACACGGGACAATCTCATCATCATCCGTGAGTTCACCATCATGCAGAGCTCGCCAAACATTACAGCTTTCTAGCTGCAACTTTTCAAGGTTGTCAGCCTCCATGAATTTCACAGAGTCAGGACCCTTCATGGCTTCTGCACGAGTAACCTGAACAGTAAAGGACATTGCCACTTCCTGTTCCTCAAGATCCAACATAGGACCCCCAAAAGCTGTAAACGCACTTGCGATGTTAGCTTCTGCTATGTCATCCTGCGGAAGTTCTTGCTGAATTCCTTTTCCCTTTTTCTTCTTTCGACCACTGGTTTTCCAGTGCGGACACTGTTCTTTTGTCAGGCCCGTAGGACGACCTCGCCTAAGCCGTACTTTGATCATCGTTCCGCCACGATTGACCATTTTGAAGGGATTCAGATCGTCATCTATTAGATGTGAACAATCTGGGGAATCCGTCGCAGGACCTCCCTGAGGCTGTTGCGCGTCGACTAGGACCTTGTCCCACGCATGAAACTTACTTGAATCAGGTTGCCCTGCTCCTAAGCGTTCCACTTCTTTCTCTGTTTTGCCTCTTTCGACAGGAATTTCAGTCGACCCATTTGGATTCGGCTGTTGGTTGATCGGTCCCACCGCCGGTGGCTGACCGTCAGCTGATGAAGACGACGATGGACTTCCATCTGTCGGCTGATCACCAGGGACTGTTTGTTTTGCTGTGCCTTTGCCAGCATCAGTCACTTTGTTTCCTGAAGAACCATCTGTGCCTGATGGGTTCTCCGTTTTCCTTCTCTTGGCCTCCGGGCTATCCGCCCCCTCTGAAGTTTGCGATCGCTCATCGCCGCTCCCTCCGAGTGCTGCACAGAGGTCGCGACTCCTCCTTACAACATCGGCAGGATCAGCTATGCGCAATTTCCGCTTCATAGGCAACGGATCGCCATCGGTCCTAAGAGAATCTATATCATCAATGAGACAATCTTCCATGAACTTCACGGAAGCATTCTCGATGACCTCAAACTTTTCTTTTCCATTGACGTCTTTACGCCATACGCCTACAAGATACGCGGAATTCTCTCTAGAATACCCGAGAAAGATCCCCTTTTCGAATCTGTCCTCCAGCTTTGTTAGCTGCGTATGGATTTTGGCGTAGCACATGCAGCCAAACCTCCTGAGATGTTTAAGGGATGCCTGATTGTTGAACCTTTGCTGATAGGCACTTGGCTTGTCTTTCCTCCTCTGTAGACGGTTAAACACGTACGCAACGTAGCGCGCGCACCAGTCCCAGACGGCTGGGTCTACTCCTTGGATATTCGCCCGAATGGCATCTGCCATCGTGCGCATCCAACGTTCGACTTTGCCATTCTGTTGAGGTTCGTAGGGAACTGAATGCGTGGGATGGATATCCAATTCCGCACATGTCAGTTTCCATTTACTGCCAGGCCCTTTTAGTGTAGGCTCATTATCAGTGCGAACCCTTTTGGGTTTGCTGCCCATCTCACGGCAGTATTGCTTTAGAGCTGCACCACAGTCAGACTTTTGCGCTATGGCATACACTTCAACCCAATCCGTATGAGAGTCTATCATGGCAAAGGCGTACTCTTTACCTAAGTGACTCGCTGGCAGCGGTCCCATGAAGTCACAATCGACCTGATCATGCCAGTTCTCGACGATGTAACTTGGGTCACGCTGTTTCTTGTGAGACACTTGGCCATACGTTTTAGCCTTACTTAGCACAATCCGGACAAGGAACCACTTGGCCCCAGACGTTGAAGTGCGCTAATCTCTGATGCAGTCTTAGCTTGTTTTGTGGGTTTGACACACTTGAGATAAATGAACTGTGCGCTGACGCTTCTGTTTCAAATGAAACAGTTGCCATCGGCACTCCGTTCTGAAGCTCAGCGATGTGCCTTTCACCCGAAGGATCATAGACAATCCGTGAGTTCTTTGCGTAACGAAGCTCACCTCCCGCTTGCGTTAGCTCTTCCACAGAGATGAGCTGCTGACGCAAATCAGGATGATAAAGCCCCATCACCAAACCCAGGCTGTTAGCCTTAAAGTACCCAACTCGGGCCCTTGTTTTACAAGGTCCGTCTGCTGTGCTCAGGGGAAGCGTCACACCTGTGAACTTCTTGAACGCAGATTTGTCACCCGTCATGTGATGGGATGCCCCTGTGTCAACAATCCACTTGGACTGCCGGCCCCCCTCTGAAGGGTTACTTACTTTGCTATTTGCACTAGCGCCAGCATTCCCGAAGGCTTGCTTGTGACGTAGTGTCGTGCGCGCTTGCCCACCTACAAATGCAGGATTAGCTTGCGCCCCGAAGCTATTCTTCCAGCTCCTACTTTTGTTTACCGAAACTACCGCGACCGACGAAGATGAACTGCTTGAACTTGTACCCGTGTACAAGTCCGACCTTGTCCTTACCGACTCACGTGAGACCGATGAGCTTTGTTGTCTTAGGCTTGTGCCAAGGTCGTTTTGTTTGGACAAGATTTCCCCCGCAAAGGTGCCCTCTACCGACTCACATGAGACCGATTGGCACTCATCCAAAGTCCGAAAATACGACTCGGAAACCGACGAGGAATCACTTGATTCTTCCTTTTCTTGTTCTGTCGCTCTGGTTTGCTGTTGCCCTTTGAACACATGCTCAATAGGCTGAAAATTTGACGCATTACCTAGTACGTCTGCGGAAAATACCTCAGCACCAGTCACAGAAGAACAATACAAAGTAGGTTCAGCAGGGACAGACATCTCGATGTCACCTGTAGTATCCGCCATCGAAGATTTGTCTTCTTCGTCTTCGTTGGGAAGTAGGAAGGTAACCTTCTTGCCCTCCTTTTCTTTGTTGTAAAGCTCCAGCTCCACCTCCTTCAGAACCTTCATGCGCATCTTCTCGGTCTCCTCAGACTTGAACTTCATGTGAGCCAAGTCACCCGGAGAACAAGCAAGAACGCGCTTCAGCTCTTGAATCTTGGTAGGATCTTCACTCTGTTCTTCAGCGTTGGGAGTCATGTCAGCGTCTTCTTGATGGTCTCCGGCCTGAACGGAGTCAACATCACCGACAATGACTGAATTTCCCTCAGCTTTCTTCTTGTTTAGTTTGTCCCGCAAGCTCTTGGGAGCTTTGCTTGGATCTTTTGCCCAGCACCCAGATTCAAGATGTCCGGATTTGTTGCAGTGCGAGCACCACTTCTCATCCTTCTTCACCTTCTTCTTGTGCGGGTCTTTGCCCTTTCCTTTTCCTTTACCCTTGTGGGCAAGTTTATCCTTCAAGGATTGGACTTGTTTCTTCAGGCTTACTACTGCATGTGCAGCAGCGTCCTGTTCGTGGTCACCTCCTTTGAGGTCCTGCAGAGCCGCGAATTCGCGCAGAGCAGGTTTGATGACATCAAGTGATGTCTCTTGGCGTGCCAACATGGAAGACGATACGACATCGAACTTCTTATCAGCGCCAATGAGGACGCACGCGGCCAAGAACTCTTTAGCATCGATTTTATTCTGCAGAGTTTCAGCCATGACGACCTCTTTTCCTTCGATCCAGCTGATGATATCCGTACCCGAAGGCTGAGGATCCATCATCTGCTTGTACCCGGAGAAACGAGTACTGGTTTCTTGACTTGCATACTTTTGACACAAGGAAGCCAGGATCGAAAGAACGTGCTGAGGAGAGGCCATTTTAGCCACAGCCAAAGCCGGCGAGCCACCCGGCAGAGCGTTCAAAACAACAGTCTTGACCTTCTTTAGATGCTTACCCGCGGCCTGTACTGCATCTAGTGCAAGTACCTCCTCAACTTTCTTCTTCTTTTCCAGAATGTCCTTAAGGTGGACATCCATGCTTGCTTCTTCCAGCAGAGAATAGACCTTGTAGAGCCAATCCCCGAAGCGAGGCAAGTCTTTGCTACTGCCCGAGAATTCCTCGAGGCGAGTAGTGTTCTTATCTTCGGCGCCCATTTTGAATCTACAAAAGAACGGTGAAGGATTTAATTATTCAGGCTATGCAAATGCAAACTGGTGAGGCTATAAAAAATTTTATGTTTTCCCTGAAGCTAATGGCCTCTAAGGTATAGAATGTTAGAACACTGAAAACCGAGAAAACTAGACCCGCAGGGGAGTCAAGTTGGAAACAGTATCCCCTTCACTATACCTGCGAAGGTTGGAGCAAGTCCATTCAGTTTGATGATTCTCATGCAGTTTCAAAGTGTGCTTGTTCATGTCAATGAGTACCAAACTACTTGCCACGCTAGGGATCTCGGTGCTGATGTTCTCGATCCCGATAGTATTCCACTCCTATGGTGATCATCCTGATGGTGATCCCCTTGGTGTGGTCTTGTTGATCTTTCTATTGGTGTGATTCTGATCCTGTAACCATTTGGGTTCACGATCTTGGTGGACCTCTTGACTGAGATCCTTGAGCCGTTTCACGTTGTTGATCTATCCACTATCATTCTGCCCAACAATACTATAGTAAATACTTACTTGATTTACTTTTGCCTAGTACTGCTTCAAGAAGAACAGAAGTCCGCAATGAGATGAGAAGTCTAGAACAGGAATGTAGTAGAACAAATGAGATGCAAAGTGTAGGAACAAATAATAGAACAATTTATATATAGAACAAGAACGGATGTAGGATGGACTTGGATGGATCGACGGATGGACCCCCCTAAATCTTCTGGCCCTACTTCCTTGAAATGACTAGCGGACCTGGGAAGTCCATCCGTTCCATCCGATCCGTCCCATCCTGAATCCGCCAACCCTATCAACAAACTGAAGATGATAAGTGTACTCGTGTAGATCCTTGCCAATGCCAAGTGTACAAACCGTCCTGTCTACGACGTCGTGAAGATGGAAGATCGTGCCACTCATTGGAAAATAAAATGAACGATAGAGATGCAGTAGATTTAGATTATTTATACTTGTGCATCGCCCTTCTAATCACAGCGTTCGCAGTGCACAGATCGAGTTTGACGAGACTTTGCGTTCCTTGACTTCGGCGACAGACGTGAAGTGTAACGCTACCGCGGCCCACCACTACCGCCGCGCGCTTCAGTTAAGACTCATCTACTTCGTGATAATTTTAATTCATTTGCAAGCACTGAAGTAAAATAGTTTCTTGAATTCTAAGGCCAATGAGATCATCATCATTTGCAAGCACTGAGACTGAGTTCTCCGCTTCACAACTCCTTCACCGTTATAGAAGCATTATATGAGAGGGCTTCTTGTTATCCCTTCTTCGTAGTTCACGACATGTATGTAGATAATTACTTCATCAATTCTTCATGAATTGTCCTCGTAGCCGCGGTTACCTCTAAACCATGAAGTAGCGGCAAATGAGAAGGGGATTAGACGACGCGTAGCCCAATCAAGTGCAGCAGTGTTCGAGGAAGAAACGGCACTGACAGCCCCAAAGACCTTGGGCGATCATTTCTGTGATGATTATGGCACTCCATTGAAATTTGATTCATCTGCTCGTCTCACGCGTCCTATTTGTACCTGTGTCCGTTGAGATATAGATAGATCATCTAGAGCATTATGTTTATCCTAAGTTAGTCCCTCACTTTCATCCTAAGTTAGTCTCCATTTTTCATTTCTTGCACCAGGGTGGGCAGCCTAGTTGTCGTGTACTAGTTAATCTCAATGTAAAATAGGTCCTTTCGCATGAGTATCTTTAAGACGCAATGTGGACGGAGACGATGCAAAAAGCGGCTTTCAATCCCGAGCATCCGGGAAAGGAGACCAGATTTCAACTGACTGTGGGAGAACGTGGTCAGCAACGCAGCGCTTACCTGGCCGATTGCCATAAACGTTTTTTGTCGGGTATAGTTTCGCCGGAAATCCTCGAGGCAAAAGCGCTTTCCGTGGGCGCGAAGAAGGCGTTTGAGCAGGCAGAAGCGAAATACGCGGACCAAATGCACATGTTACCGGCGGAGGTCACCGACAGCGTAAACATCAAACTGTTGAAGAACTACAAGAACCAGGCTCAGGAGAAGGGTCGTTTGTCGAAGACAAGTGGTGAGGAGCGTGAGATGTCAGCAGCATCAGGCAAGGGATTCCGGCGAAAGAATTTCCGTGATACGACTAGGTGGAGCAGCCTCATGCGACTGGAGGCGGAACGCAGTAAAAGAGCGCTACACCAGCGTGCTGGCGCGTTCGGGCGGATGCTGAAGAAGAGCAAACAAAAGACGCAACCGCAACGACGTCGTCAATCGAAGCGTGGAAGTGGTGATCTTGCTGTCAATTCTCGGACGAAAGCAAGCGGTGTCACCGCTGGCGCCGCTAGACGAGGACTGCAAGAGGGCTGCCGAGGGGTGAGCATGTTCGGCGCTGGAGCAGTCAGTGAGTGTCAGGACTTCGCAGAGGCCGTCATTCAATACGTTGCTGACGGAGATGCCAACGCAGCGGAGTACATGAAAGCAGTGCTGCCGAACACCGCGGATGCTCTCCGGGCAGAGGACGGGGATGCTGCGAAGGCGCAGTGCAGCTGCTCCACGTTTCCGTGTCCTGAGCCGGCGCCCCCGACTAAGGCCTACTGCGAAAGGAAGATGGACGATTGGGCGGGAGGCGTCCCAGAAACAGCTGTGGACGCCTGGCTGCTAGCCCTCCAAGAGCAGATCGATATGCAGGCAGCGGCGGGACCGCCGCCCGAGAGAGGCATCGAGCCTTCGGAAGATGAGATGGCTGCGGCGCGGGGGTTCTACGATAGCGTTTTGATTCCTTGCCACGGACACCTGATTGCGAAGATCAAGACGGAGGCGACGGCGGCTGCGTACACCGCGACCGGTGCGGACATTGACGAGTGCCTCCACGAGTTGATCGCGGACTATTCCGCAACCCTTGTCGTCGGCGGCATCTCGAAGTACGAGTCTTCGGCGCCAGCCACCGAGGGCTGCAAACGGTTCCTCGAAACATGGAACGACGACGAGAGCAGCAGCATGTGCAAGCTTCGCCAGGTGATCAGCGACGCTTTGCGCAGTTTTGCGCCTGACCCGGTTCTCGGCATCCAGGGGACTCAGCAGGACACGCTGCAGTGCTGCGAGTATGCGCGGTTCATGGAGGCGAGCTTCGTCATGGTGAGGCACAAGTTTGCGTTGTGTCCACGCGTCGTCGCAGACAGCACGTACGACTTCCAGGTACTTCACAACATGACAGCCCTTTGCCGTGCCCCGGAGGCCAGTGCGGCGCACGACCCGTACGCGCTGGCGCAACCCAACGAGTTCTGCTTCGCGGGAAGCCGGCTGCGCTCTTTTGGCGAGGGATTTGCGGAGTCGCGAGACCTTCTGCCGCAGATGGCGTCAAAGACCTGCGCCGTGACCGCGATTGGCCTGGCGCGCGACAATCTGGGGATCGATGCGTTGGCCGCCACACCGATCATAGCATCTTCAAAGCAAATTTGGGACGACATCGGCGGGGACGCATGCTTGTGCAATTCGCATATGTGCGCTGACGCGGATCGTTCGATCCTCACTGCCTTCGCCGATAAGGCTTGTCGGACGAACTCTGCGCAACCCTTTGGCTATCCTGAGCTTTGTCACGCGAAGTGCAATTTCTGCGGCAGCTTCGATACTCGCTCGGAGAGCGCGCCGTCTGCCTTCGAAGCGGCTCACAGTGCGGGCCTCGATTCCGTGCCAGCGAAGCTGCTGCGCATCGGCGGATGCCGAGAGCGCACGATCGGTCTCGTCACTGGAAATGCCACGATTGCAAAGGCGCCTGTTGGAGGCTGTTCAGATGCGCAGTTCTGCGAGGCTTGGACGGAGTACGGCACTCAGTTGGCGAGCGGCGCAGCATCTTCTCTGATGAATCAGCACCAACGTTGCTTCTGCGATTTGCACTGTTCGAAGCTGGCCAAGGGCGTCACTGCCGGGTCCCCGTATATCGGAGTGCTGGAGAGTATTTGTGGGAGTTTTGCAGCCTCCACGAGCACCGTCTGCGATGCGGCGGGTCCCTGTGGCACAACCTACAAGCCCGCGCGCCTTTTGCCGCCACCGGATGTCGTGTACGCGTCTGATAGAGCAGCAGATGATGGCGGCAGAGGCGGCGATGAGGAATACTCGCATGATTTCTCCCAGGATACGCGCCATCCCGCGTGCAAATCCTTTGGACAGTTCTTCTGGAAATTGCAGCAGCATTGTCCGGCAGGGGTCCCGAAAACCGCCAAGCAGCAGTATCTGCTACGCGACCCCGCGCGGTCAGCCGCGGTGCCCGATCCGGCGACCCACTGTCCAGAGGAGGAAGACTTCTGCGCCCTGATTGAGTCGGAGGGCGCCAATGTGCTAGACGGGGGTGCCACTCTCGCGCAGGTGTATCAGCCAGCAGGCATGGATTACATCTTGAATGATCCGTCAACCGAGTGTGGCTGGTTGTGCTGGGACTTCTGCGACGGCATGTTGACGCATGCCATGAGTACCTACTCTCGCATGTTTGGCCGATGTGGCACTTCAGCTTCGAGGCGCGCGAGCTTCAAATCTGTCACGGATTACGTGTGTTCACGGTGCGCGAACGACCCGAACAGCGGCTCGAACTCGAACGGGTACCGTGCCCGCGAATGGGACAGGATGCTCATTTTTGTCGCCTCGGGGGCTCGTGCGCAGTTCGAAGGGCCCGGAATGGCGACGGTGACCTTGAACTCAACGGAGGAGTGGCACATGATGGACACGCACCCGATCGAGAGTTGCTGGAGGAGCATGCTGAACCCCTGGCACGGACACCAGGAGTCCTTCTCGCATATCCCCGGGTACCGCTGCACGGAGCAGTCTGCTTGTGCAAGTATTTCGCGTGCCTACGCGACCTTCCCCGGAGTGTGGAACATGTGGCCAGCACGAATCGCCGCCACGGGACAGGCGACGACGCCGCCACCGCAAGCGGGCAGCGGGTGCGACGGTCTAAAAAGCGATCTCGTTGCGCACACCACCTGCGTCTCCATGGCGACCCAGGCCTTCGACGCCCAGGTGCTCGGCCTAGTGAAGCGCACGTTCACGGACCCGGCGAAGCACGACAAGCTCACGCGAAAGGACTGTGCGCCCGAAGCTGCCAGCGGGGCTGCAGCGGTCCCAACCGCCGCAGAATCTTCGACCGTTGCGGAGACCACAACTGTGGCTCTCGACGCGGAGTGTTTCAACACTTACGATGAGTGCGGTGACATGTACAACGTCTGCGTCGCAGCGGAAAAAAACGGCGGGACGCCGTGCATCGACAGCGGGAGCATGATGGATGCAGCCTCTTTCCAGGAAGGCTGTGATAAATTCTTTTCGCAGTTGCAGCTCGTACCAGCAGGACAGCAGCGAGCGACACTCATCTCTCGCCTCCTCGAGCAATTCGACATGGGGCGTCCAAGCGAGGACCAGGGCGGAGGTGATGAGCACCACGACCATTATGATGAGGACGCGGTTATTGAATGGCACATGGGGTGCGAGGTCAAGTGCAAGGGTTGGTTTCACGAGTTCAGCGGCGGATTTGAAGCCGCGTGCAGAGCGGAGGACAAAGCGCGCGTGCAGGCATTCGAAGCCTACTGCATGAACAGCTGTCCGGACTTCCTGCCTCCGAGTTGTGGCGAGCGCCTGGAAAACATTTTCCGCGGGGATCGGCGCGCGGACTGCTACGAGGCTCTCACGGGTTTCTCGGCGCAGCATCACGAGCGCCCTGTGAAGGGATTTTGTGGCATCAAGAGTCCGCAGTTGCTGTACAACGACAAGACGAAGGAGGCCTGCCGCGCGGACGTGAACGACCCCAGCACGGATCCGGTCTGTACCAGCGTCGTGCCGCTTCTGTCGAACGTCTGCTCAGCCGCGAATACGAACGACGCCGCCTTCGGCGAGTACGCCATCAAGCGGGCTGCCTACGAACACGAATCGATCAACGACGAGGGCCATCGCCGCTGGATGCGCCGCAAGCACATGCCGGACCTGTGTTGCCATATTGGGAACGTTACCGCCCTGAGCGAGTACTGCAATGATGCGAGCATTGTCTCGACGTATATGGCGGCGTGTCCCTTCAACTGCACGCGCGGGCTCCAAGAGAGCCGTGTCGTGACGCAAACCACCGACCCTGGCGCGTACGCTGCGGAACTCGCGAAGCAGAAGGCCGATTTCGACCGGGAGATCACTTGGGGCTGGCGCCACATGCACGACCAGTTCTGGCCGTCGCCGATGTACAGCATCTACGCGGACGACGTGTGCGAGGACTGTCACGATAGTTGCCACCGCTGCAAGTCGGACTTGAATGAGGAAGTGTGTCGCCTGCGGTGCGAGGAGCGATTCTGCGGTCACGGCGGCGAGAAGTGGCAGTGGATGCTGTACGAGGGCATGAACTGCAATCGCAAGAACGAAATCTTGGAGCAAATGAGTCAGTCGCGGATGACGCGGTCGTTCATCTTTACGGCGCGCGAGGTGATCACCGGTTGTACGCACCATCTCCGCAACTGGTTTTAAGGCTTAAGTACCCTTAATAAAAATCCATCTTGCTTCTGAGGCATGATCCTAAAGAGGCTTGTTTTCAAGGGGGAAAAGCATCGCGAATGCGCCTCAAGATGCATTTGAGGGTGAGCTCTAATGCTTGGTGTACGAGGATCAGCCGCAGAGCTTCACGACTTCCGAATGCGAGGAAGAGGACTACGTCTGCCCGGATCGAGAGTGGTGGAACTGCCGTCCTAACCGTGCGTTCTTCCGGGATCCCTGCTGCAACCACGAGCTGCGGCGCTTCCAGTGCTGCGCACCCCGCGTGCTCTCGTTTACGCGTCGCGTCCCCACGAAGGTTCATGCGAATCGCGTGGGTGGCTACGTGTACGCGAAACACAAGCAGGAGGACCAAGAACAGCGGCGTCTGCGCGGACGCATGCTCTTCATGTCGAAGTCAGAGCGTGAGGCCGTCATCGATCAGAAAAAGGCTGCGATGCGGCGACACCTGAAGCAGCAGGAAGCAGCACCTACAAAGGTTGAGAGGGCAGCTTCACCACCTGCTGTGTACACCGGTAGCGGCGCGCTCGACGCTTCTAGCACCGATGTTGATGCGAGGAAGGACGCACCATCAACTCTGAAGACGGCGAACAAGCACCGCGTGCTGCAGATTAGCGACTTGCAGTTGGCTCAGTTGACCAACGTGGCGCTGGCCGCAGTGAACACCTACGTTGAGCAAGAGACCCTCGCGGCCCGATCTTGCTTTGCCAGTTTCGATAACTTCATGAAATCGGTAACAAAGGACGACTTGATGCACACTTGCTGGAACGCGGTGCACGGAGAGTGGAACGACTACGCGGGAACCTCTTTCGGTGACGTTTGCTCTTCCAACAATGACTGCTATACTTAAGGCTCCTCCCTCAGGTAATCCATCCTCTTCAGAAGCATCGTGAAGACTTCATCCTCTAAGGGGAAAGTAAGGGCAGGATGACTTTTTTTCAAGATGGATTCCGGGACGAAGCTTTAATATACCGGAAGCTGCGTGACGGTGCCATCCGATTCTTCGAGTGGCGGAAGCGGAGGTGGCTCCTCAGCAACGAGTACGGACCGCTGTGCCACGCCTCTGGATCTGCCGGGAAAAGACTTCATCATCCCTGTGCTGCGCTGCCTGTTTCGGCTGGGCGTGGCGAGTGGCGAGGAGCAGCGCGCGGTGAAGTCGATTTTTCTGCGTGACATGCTTGAGCTCACCCCGGTGGCGGGCCAGGGCATCAACTCCATCACGGATGCGCAGATTCGTGCGCGCGCGATCCAAAAGTATGCGCAGAACGACACGTCCGCAAGCTCTACTCCTGGGATGCACGTGGCGCACTATGAGGCCCCGATCGAAAGCAAGTGCATGGGGAATCACGAGGCGCACAACAAGAAAACGGAGGCCACCTGCGTCGCGCAGAAGACTTGCAACTGGTTCAGCGAGGCGCCCAGCGGCATCGGGTGCACGAACCCCTGCCACGCGGGTCTGTCGGACACCTCGAACATCACAAGCTGCGGCAATTACTGCAAGAACCCCACGGTGCGTGGCAAGGAGCGCAACGACGTGAGCATTTTTCCGACGTGCTACTCCGCCATCACGGCGCGCTCGGACGAGCAGCTGCGCAGCACGTACCATCAGTGCCACGAAACTCGGCATCGCGCTTCCGAGCAGTGCCGACAGCACTGCGACACGTGTCGTCACCACGACCAGGACACCAAGATGGAGGACTGCCGCCGCGAAATCCGCACCGCTAACGGGTGGCATGAGCACGAGCACGTGGAGTGGGACCTGGTCTGGGACTGCCTGAACACCAAGTGCACGTACCAGTACACAATGCCAGGCACCACGACCACGGTGGGCATCCACTGCGACCGCTGTTGGGAGGAGAACGAGTGGCTCACGGCGGGCTACGACTGCATGGGCCAGGTGCTCGCACGGTGCAAGCAGCTCGATCCCGAAGTGGATCAGATCGAAAAGAGCGGCTGGGACAATTTTCGGTGTAAGATCGGTGCGAAGAGTTACTCCGCAGACAAGCAGACGGCTTGCGAGGGCGTTACCGGATGCCAATCTGCGACCGGGCCTCAGCCGGCCCCCGCGAGCCAGTGCTTCGGCGTGCTCAAGCCAAAACACGCTAGCCATGAAACGTGCCATAGCCTTGCCGAAGGCCACGTCGAACCTGTCTACCCTGCGAGCAACCCACTGGAGATGTTCCACAGCGGCCGACACTATGACAAGCCGCCCAAGTACTGCCACATCAAGAGCTACCAAGCGGAGGTTCTTGTCGGCGGCACGTACAAGCCCTTCTTGCGTCCACCGCCGTTCGGGTTCACCTGTCCGCAGTATTGCGAGAACTTCGTGCACAAGCGCAGGCACTGTGACTGGAAAGTCCAAGAATCCTGCCGCGACAACTTCCGGGACCTCAAGAATCTGCGGGTCTTCGTCGGAACGCGCGGCTCCGACAGCGAGGCCAAGACGGACCAAAATAGCCGTCGACTGGAGGATCTATTCAACGAGTGCACCTGGCGCGACTGCTCGCAGATTACCGGTTGCACGCGTCACTACGAGAAGCGGCGCTTGTGCGCGCAGGAGATTTTGCAGACCTACAAAGATTATGTTGTTGACGAGTGTAGGGAATTCATCTCCAAAGTCTTCATCTGGAAGGAAACAACTACAAGATGAAAACGAGACTCAGATGATTACTGGGACGATGAGTTTCCACCAATTTCAACATCTACACTCACCTCTAAAAAGATCAAGTCTCCAACGGCGAAGCGCACCCCTTCGAAGACAGCGACTGCTTCTCCTGCCACGAGTGGGAGTGGATTGAGTGGGACGACTTCCGCATCCGCATTTTCAAGCATCCGGAGTTGCCGGACGAGTGTCGGTGGCAGGAGGGCCCGACGGTGCCTGGCAACTTCTCGCAACCCTGTGCGGAGGAGTGCCACCATTACGAGTGCGAGGAGAGTTTCCGCATGTGCCAATTTCTGAATCCGAGTATGACCAAGATGGCGTGTCAGACGCAGGTCCGCGAAATGAACCAGTGCCGACAGTGTACCTTCATTTACGGCTAGTACAACCGACGTAGTTGATGAAGCATCCTCAACATCATGATCCTTCGCTCTTTTTCCCCTTGAAAAAGGCGCCAAGAATGCTCCCAAGGCCAAAAACGCCAACAATCTACATCAAGCTACCGTATTCGAAAACTCAAAATAAGCGGGCTACTGACTGAAATAAGAGAGTCTTGACTACGTTCCTCCTCTTTCAGTATCTCCCTTATTTTCAATAGTTACTCGGTTATTTCAGTAGTTTTACGAATAGGTCTAATTCGTCCGGTGCGACGAGCGCTGCAAGAACGAGTGCAACGACGTAGACCACTTCCACGGATGGACAGAGCCCTCCGAGGCCTGCAGTGGCTGCGATAGCACGCAGGCTGCCACCTTCAAATGCAATCCCACAGCAACGTGCTACGAGGACCGCGCTTGTTGTTACGGCCGCGAAAGAAATATTTAATACATTGAAATTAACTAATAATAAAGATTATAACTAATCCTCCACTATCGTCTAGACCAACAACAGCAATATAGTTGATAAACATGATCTCCGTTCCAGTTCTAGTAGGTCAAGTTCTTCTGGACGAGGTCCTGGTGTTGAATCAACTCGTGCAATTCTAAGTCTGCAACTAATTGCTCTATCATGTCTGATGATCTCACTCATTGTAGTACTAGTTCGTGGAGGTTGATTCATCTTTCATCTACTTGTTAGATGACTACATAAAAAGTAAAAGCATCATAGTTAGTGATTCCACTGAGTTATCTTCCTTATTTTCCTTAACTCGAACAAATGAAATTAGTACTTATACAAGGTACAGGTAGTACTTCTTCGACCACACGGTGCTGGCAGGTGGCTGCACCTCACGCGAAATGGTTTTTGAATCCTGGCTCTTCTAATGTTGGGGAGAAGCACCACGATTCGCAGGCGGCTGCTCCCGCGCTTGCGAAGAGTTCGTCGAGAAGTGCCGCCACGATAAGATGTCGCCTTGCTGGAATCAAAAGACGCTGGCGGGAGACACGGAAGGGAAGTGGGCCCACGATTCGCTCGAGCATCACTGTCACCAAGCTTGGCACCAGACGCCGATGTCGCGGGTCTTCCACGAGTTGCGCGATAGCTACGCGCGCCACGACTACAACGTGCCGATTGCGTGGCCGGATCGCTATTGGGAAGCCAAGGACTCGGTGCGTGCGCAGCTGTCGCGCAGCGTCGTGCAGGAGTATTGGGCCTTATTCGCGGAGCCGAACAAGGACACGCAAGTGCCGGAGTTCAGCTTCTGTGGGAACCATGGCCCCATGAAGTTCTCGCAAGCGGCGTGCAACGAGCATCCCTGCTGCATGTGGGACGGCCACTACTGGGAGCACAACAAGTGCACGCAGCGCAAGGGCGTGACTTTGGGAACGTGCCGCGAGAAGATCGTGAAGCTGGTAGACATGGTAGGTCGGGAGGGCTATCCGCTTGGCGAGGCATTCAAAGGCTTCAACCCGAGCAACGGGCAGTGCTGGCTCTGCCATGGGGAGTGGAACGGCCACATGCCGATCGACGCGCCAACCCCGTGGTCTGGAGTGGAGACCGCACACTCGCAGTGTCTCGCAGACGCTTCTGCGAAAAGCAGCGCTTGTTCCGTCTGCGAGGTGGGCTGCGACCGCGATTGCGAGTACGAGATGCGGCAGGATATGGACTGCCGTCACGCGGAGATCACCGGTCTGCCTTCAGGTCACAGTCGATGGCATAAGCTCTGCCGCAAGAGCTACACGGCAGCTGAGACCGCGCTCCGCGCCTCGCGGACCGGCTGCAGCACTTGCCAGATGCTGCGCTGCGAACACGAGTGCAGCAAGCCGTGCGGCGAGGTGCACAGCTGGAATTGGCAGGAGCATGTCCGCGCCTGCGGCCGTTGTGTCCAAGGCAGCTTCATCCCGCGGACGAAGATCCTGCCGCAGTGCTACCCCGGCGCAAACTGCTGGGCGGGCGACGAGATGGTCTGGGACGGCGTCACGTGGCCAACCACACTCCCGGTTCGCAATGCGTGCTTCCCCGCGCACTCACATAGCCGTCAGCTGGCCGAGCTCGAGGAAAACTCACCGGAACGTCTCGCCACCTTGGAAGCCAAGGAACTCGACAATCTCGACATTGAAGATCATGTTGAGCAGGGTACCGATTTCGATATCGATTCGGAGGAAGAAGCGAACGAGGTCGCTAAGAACTTGGATTCGCTGGCCAGTAGGCCCTTGGGGATCAGTGACCGAAAAGCGTACTTCTCGATCAAGAGTGAGTTCGAGCATTTGCGACGGCTCTCGCGTGACTTGGATGAGGAGCTTTCCTTTCACGAGTGGTTGCTCCGCAGTCTAAGCAAGAAGGCGTCAGAGCTGTACCGTGCCAAGGAGCCGCTTTACGCGAAAGCCGCGCAAGCAGTTCAACGCAGGCTTTCGCAAAACAAGTTTCCTGGAACGAGCGCGAAGTCAAGCAAGAAGTTGATGCAAAAGACTGGCAATGGACGCAAGAACAATAAGGACCTCGTCAAACATGCGCTGGCGAGCACGATTATGGACGAGAAGAAACCGATTGGTCGATTTCTGATGACCGATCCCACCGTGCAGAGTTTGCAGGGCCACCGTCCTGCCGGATTCGGTCGCTCGCTGCTGCAGACGCTTGCTGATAAGAAGCAGCACGAGCGCAGCGGACGGGAACGGCAGTACTACTTTTAAGGGTACTTACAAGAAATCCATCTTCCCTGTCATCTTGGTCCCGTTTTTAAAGGGAAAAGGAGACCCAAGACGCTGCTGCGGATGGATTTCCATTAGTTCTAATACTTCTACCACCAACTGCTTCCTTCTGCGCAGAAGAGCGAGATGATAGGCCTTGTCGTGTCCTCGTCCTCCAATGCGGCGACCAAGACCTCACTCAAGGCTGGTGCGGCCGAGGCCGCCGATGGCGCGGCTATGCGCCGCCTGTTGCAGAAGGCGGACTCCAGCGAGCTGCTGCACGGCCCTTCGCTGCTGCGCAGAGTGCTCACTAGCGAGGCGGACCGAGCGGCGCTGGACAAAGCCAACAAGGAGTTGCTGGAAGTCCTTCTCATCCGCAATGAAATTTTGAGTTCCCGCGAACTGAACGCACTGGAAGAGGATCTCGAACGGCGTCGCTTGGTTCGACACGAGGGTGCGGAAATCCTTCGGGTGATCGAAGAGTTGGACGTGCGAGCTGGTGTCGACCCTTTCAAGACGATTGGCGGCGCCATGTTCAGCCGCAAAGGCAACCGCGTCTTGCAAGCTAAGGCTGACTACGCTGCCCTGAAGGTGGAGCAAAGCAGTGTACAACGCCGTCTGGATGTCGACTTGAAGCGACGTGCGTTAGCAGCCGATAAAAATCTGCGTCGCTGCGTGCGCGCACGCGCCATGCTGCGGCGTCGAGCTCTCGCGTCCTCGGCTCCGTCGCTCCTGTCTTCGTCAAAGATGTTCTTGAACAGCAAGAATGCAGCTGGAGGTCGCGCTGATGTGCTCGATACAACTGAAGCGGACTTGCTTGCGGCGTTTGATCTGGAAACAGACCTCTTCCCGCTTTCAATGGATGATCGTGTCGTGCTGCCTTCAACAGCAGGTGGTGAAGCGGATGCGGATGCCAAGACTGGTAAGGGACGCGCCCTGCAGGTGGTCGGCGAGCTGATTCGCAAAGACCTGGAATGTTCCACAGGCAGCTGCGCCGCGCAGTCCGAGATGTGCACGAAATTTTTCGTGCGCACAGACGCCACCAAGCACAAGGTCGACGCCGTGATTGATTCCTGGTCTTGGGGTGCTGCACCGTGGGAGGACGCCGACAAGATTTGCGACATGTACGAAGGTCGTTGCTACATCACCAAGAGCCAGATGAAGACGCTCTTTGTCGCGTCCAACCGGACCGACCTCTTTGGCCACGACTGCTGGTGGCACACGCATCACAATGGCGGCCAGTGTAATGAGGACTGCAGTGGCTGCTCGACAGGCGACCGCAGCAAGTGCGGACACTGTTGCCAATGCAATTTCATGCCTGTCGAGCACATCACCCAGGCAGCCGAAACGCGCGATGGAAAGCAATGGTAAATATTTACATTGTCAATTTGATACAGGAATAGAGACGAAAGTCGTGATCTGCTTACTTAGTTCTAGATCTTGATGAGAATTTCGATTTCCTTGAACTAGAACTAGAACAACTCTACTGTCCTCCACAGCACGAATAGGATCTCGATGCGTGAGAAAACGGAATTATCTATATATAAAATCATGTCCTCCTACTTCCTCCTTTACCGTTCTCCCCTTCTCCAAAAATTAGGAAATGTTCGGGTGTATTAGATTAGTGTTAGTTATGGACCTAATAAAGATTAACTCAAAATCCACTATCGTCTAGAACAACTGCACTATAAAATCATGGTCATCTAGCTCGTCATCTTGTTTTACTATCTAGCAGAAGAAATACAAGTAGCTCGTAGTAATTGCAACAGGTACTGCTGGAAGATGATGGAACTGTTCCGCGACCAAAGGGATCGCTTGGGTCAGCAGATCTACGGTCTCAACGAGCACAACCGCATGAGACGGCATTGGCACCACCACGCGCACGAATCCGATGAGATCTGGATGCACTTCGAGTGGGACAGCAAGTTGAAGAACGTTAAGGGCTCACTCAATTCATTCTTTACTTGATCTGACTGTTTCTGTGAGCTGCTTTGAAGTACTTAGGAAAAGGCAGACAGATGAGGGAAAAGATGGATTGTAGTGATTTCTAAGAACCGTGAGGGTGGCTGCATTCAGCACGATGCCGACTGGGTGTACGACATCAACCTGCCAGCGCAATGCTACCCGCCGTCGAACCACGACTGGAGCAACTATGACCACGCGTACTGTTCAGGACTGCGCATGCGCGACTCACGACAGTGTTTCTATTTGTGGGACGTGGACGGCAACCAAACCCGGATGGGCTACTATTAAGGCTTCCGCAAATTCATCTTAGATAGAAGTTTAAGAGGCATGGGCATCTTTGACACGTTTTCGTTTTCAAAGGAGAAAATGGTCAAGATGAAAGAAGATGCTCTCCAGGATAATAGAATACAAGGATAATAGATAGAATATGGGGAACAAGCTCTAATTCTACGCGAAGGAGCGCGACTGGAACAGCGGTATGCTCGCCACTCAGTCGGACTGCGAGGCCGAAAGTTGCTACCCCGATTTCTGGATCACTGACCAGACCAGCTGCAACGATCTAAGTTACTGCCGCGACGGTGGCTGCAAGAAGTGCCGCTCGCACGACTGGCATGATCGCTCGAAAACCCAAGAGCGTCAGGTGTGCGTGGCCAAGGGCCGCGTGTGCACACCGGGGGCCACCGCGGCCGACCCGGAGACTTGCGAGGAGAACGCGAGAATCGAAACGCCCACGACGTGCGCCACGATTGGGGGACAGTTTGTTGCGCTGGATCGTACGGGTCAGCGCGGCGTGTGTGTGATGACGCCGCCGGCGGGCACGGGCGGAGGCAATGTGGGTGCACAGTGTGCGACACTAATGGCCGCTTCGACTGCTATCACCTACAACACGAGTTCATACACGGCGCAAAACGCAACAGCGCCAACGTTCTACTACGACACACTGGACTGTGCCGCGTTCTCACCACGTGACTGCGAGCAGGCGAGCAGAAGCGCTGCGCTGCAGACCATGGGCTGTCATCTAGAGCACTGGGCCGAGTGTGAAACACGGGAGGAGTGCGACAGCTCCGGGGAGTGCGAGGCGCACTTTGACGAGGGATGGGACCTGATGCACATGGCCGGCCACGAAGACGGCGGATTCTGCACACTGCCTTTGCCCTATGCGCTGGAGGACTTCCCCATTGGCTGGCATCACGATCCACACATGCACATGCCAGGAGGTGACGTTAAGGCTTCCCTTAATCCATCTCGATACATAGAGTTAGAGATTCGGCAACATGATTCAGTATGCATCGTCCCAATAGATACAAGGGAGATAGTGGGGCATACTCTTGCCGGATTCCTATAATAGGGATGAAAAATTGGGGGAAGCTCTAATGAGGAAGACGGCACCACGGAGACCACGACATCGACCGAGTCCCCATGGAAGATCGACATCCACAACTGGGACGATCGCCGAAGGCGGTTGTGCCAGCGCATTGCGCCGATCGGCTACGTCACGGCGGCCTCCGAATGGGGCTGTCTCGTGGTAATGGCCACTGTCGACAACCCTAGTGCGCCGATCCCTCCCGGCGCGTCGAGCGTGGATATCGCCGCGGAATTTGCCGTCAAGCAGCTCGCCCAAGCCAGTAACTACTTCTCAGGCAGCATGCCCTCTCACAGCTGGAACGCAACGGCCTTCAACTATTTCCTGTCCTCGGGCTACGAGCAGCAGCACTCGAGTTGGCCGCACCCTCGCAAATACCGACTGCCCTTCAACGAGGAGATTACTCTGCGCCCGCGCAGCGGCATGACGGCTGGGAACTGCACCTTGATTGGTGGAAAGTGGATAGAGCGCGCGTTCGATCGCGCGGGCTGTCAGATGGCTGGCGCGCTCTTTGGTGCGAAGTCTTCGGGCGGCATTTCCGGCGTGACACAGGACTGGCTTGAGACCTACACACGCAACGTGACGCAGCGAACTAGTGTGCTTGGTGAAACAACGCCAGCGCCCGTTGTCATCGATACGTCTGGTGCCACCACGACGGCGGCGCCGGCACCTATGATGGGCACAGCCACAGCGGGGGCTTCTAACGGCGACAACATCGCGCTGGTCGCACGACCGGTCGATGCGAAGGTCCTGGCTGCCGCCGCGTCCGGAGTGTCGCTGTACGACGAAGGCACTTTCGCCTGTTGTGCCGAATACTCGATGTGGGGCTCCCAGATTCACTGCCACCAGTGGAGCAAGGACGACAAGGCCACATGCGAGAGTTGCGGCAACCGCTGGATGTTAAGGCTTGATACAATTGCAACTACTCCAACTGGTTCTACCAACTTCTTACTCTTATTTTCTTCTCACTGTTTTCCTTTTGGTGGAATTTTTGATTCTGAAGAAATGAAATGAAATGAAGAAGGGAACAAGAAATCAAATGTAGTAAATGAATTGTTCTTTTGAGCTATGCCCTAAGGATGAGCGTGAGTCGTTGGAATTCGTGGTCTCAGTGGATCCGCAACACGTGGACGTCGGTGTACACATGGCAAATGCGTGTCGAAGGGAGCCAGAACAACTGGGTGCTGGTGCCGAACGAGTGGCGATTCTGGGAGATGTTCCAGAACGTGATCACAGAAGCGACCTTCCACCCGCAGCGAAACTTCATCCGCTGCCGCGGTTCCCCCTCGCTCGCATGTCTCGAGGGACTGACGAATGCAACGAAGCCGCAAGTGAAACTGGGCAATGTCGAATTCGGAGACACAGCCGTCACGAAAATGGGTGACTACGATCTCACGTTGAAGACCTCGTCGTCGTCAGGCTCAGCTGCAACAACCACCCGGCAGCTTGAAGTTGAAGAAAGCATGATTTTTAGCGAAGATGAAGAACGTCCTCGTCTGTTGACTACGCAGGCTGCACAGACCGCGGACTCGCCGGCGCTTTCCATCTCCGTCAAAACTGCAAAGTCAGTCGCAGTTGATGCTTACATCGCTCCACAAGGCAGCACTGGTGGTACCCAGAGTGGCAGCACATCAGGCGGAAACGTGTTTGGCACTGGGTGTTTTTCGGTCGTAAAAGAGGCAACGCGCGTCATTGGACAACTTGTGGGTGACTGCCTGTCCTTCAGCCTTCCCGGCACTGGCTCCTCAGCACAGGCTAATGTGTGTCTCACTATGAGCACGGAAATCCTGCAGCAAAGTCTGAATAGCGACTTTGGTCAGTACGACTTTGGCCAACTCGTGACGCCCACCACGGCTGGTATTAAGGCTTCCCCTAAAAATCCGTCTCTGTGTATAGACATCCCGCAAGAGGATCATGCACCCCCATACAAGGGAGAAGATCATATCTATGTGGCACTTTCCTCCAACGTTTCTGCATCTTCGAATTAGTTGCCTACTGTTGCTAACTGGTGCACTTCCTTCCTTAGTCGTTTGCTCGCGTTGATGGGCTAGAAACTTGCTGCTGCTGTTGTTGGTGTTGTTGGCGTTCTGTGTCTTACAAGATGGGCCTACTCCTATCATCACTTGACTCAGGGGCCTTCTCGTTTTCCTCTCTCCCAAATAGAGCCGTCAGGGGTCCAAGCGGGCCACCTCTTCTTCTTGCGCCTCTATCTGTTCGACAGTGCGAAATCGAGACTGGGGCTGCGGCCAATCTTGACCTCCCAGTGTGGAATCATGACTCGGGCGGCGGCCAATGATCTTGATTCCACAGCGCGGAAGCAAGACCCGGGCTGCGGCTAATCTTGATTTCGCAGTGCGAAATCAAGACTCGGGCTGCGGCTAATCTTGGTTTCGCAGTGCGGAGTCAAGACTTTTCGTAGATCTTTGCCGACTACGACAAATCTTGATTACGCACGGCGTAATCAAGGTTTTTCGTAGATGCGAAAAATCGTTTTCATCTTACGAAGATTTGTCGCATCTACGACAAGTCACGTCTCCACCACAGTGGAAGCAGGTTTTCGGGGGGTCGGCCAAGATCTACGACAAATCTTGACTCCGCACTGCGGAATCAAGATTTTTGATTTTTCGTAGCCGGCCAAGATCTGCGACAAATCTTGATTCCGCAGTGCGGAATCTTGATTACGCGCGGCGTAATCAAGATTTGTCGCAGATGCGACAAATCTTCGTAAGATGAAAAAGATTGGTCGCATCTACGACACATCCTGTTTCCACCAGGTTTTTGGGGGGTCGGCCAAGATCTACGACAAATCTTGATTCCGCACTGCGGAATCAAGATTTGTCGCAGCCGGCCAAGATCTGCGACAAATCTTGATTCCGCAGTGCGGAATCAAGATTTGTCGTAGATCTTGGCCGACCCCTCAAAAACCTGTTTCCACTGTGGTGGAAACAGGATCTGTCGTAGATGCGACAAATCTTCGTAGGATGAAAAAGACTTGTCGCATCTACGACAAATCCTGTTTCCACCACAGTGGAAACAGGTTTTTGGGGGGTCGGCCAAGATCTACGACAAATCTTGACTCCGCACTGCGGAATCAAGATTTCTCGTAGCCGGCCAAGATCTGCGACAAATCCTGACTTCGCAGCCCGAATCTTGATTACGCACGGCGTAATCAAGATTCGTCGTAGATGCGAAAACTCTTTTTCATCTTATGAAGATTTGCCGCATCTACGACAAATCACGTTTCCACCACTGTGGAAACGGGATTTGTAGCAGTTCTGCCAAACCTACGACAAATCTTGACTTCACAGTGCGGAATCAAGATTCGAGCTGCGGCTAGTCTCGATTTCGCAGCGCGAAATCAAGACTCGGGGGGGCTGCGGCTGATCTGTCGTAGATTTTGGCCGATCTTGCAAAAACCTGCGTTACGCGGTGCGACCCACGAGCCGCCTCTGGTGCAGAAAATAAAAAATCAGTTCCTGGTGCATATTTTTCGCTCTGATAAAGGTAAGCACCGACAGAATGGACTTTACGGATTTCATTCGTCTCAAAAATAAACCTAGAAGGAAAGCTCCACTCTGTCGCTGCTTATCGTTAGCCGAATGTTAGCCCTAGCCGACAGCGAACGCTGCTAGTTGAAATGGATAGACGCCGACCGGTCGCATGGCTCGCGTTGTTGTTCCTCTTTTTGCGTTTTCGTTGTTGGGCCAGGCGGTGGCGGATGCTCTCCCGGACTCATGTCGTCGATAGAATAACACACAGCACCATATTAACACTAAGCAACTTTTTCGGACCTGTTAGATTTGGTTGGCAAAGTGCCACTAAGATATTGAAGCATAATATCCTTGCGGGATCCCTACGGGGATGAAATAGGGGAGGCTCTAATGGTAGCGTACCCTTCGTTGCTCCGTCGCAAACGTCCGTTGTTGAGACGATCAGCAGCAATGGTGTAAAGCGCATCTGTGGTGACATCTCTCTATCAGCATCCGCAACGTTCTGTCCTATCAAGCGGCTCGCCAATTACCAACAGACGACGGACAGCGCTTCTTCTACCTGCTCGAATATTGCGGAGCTACAGGCTCTGGTGAAGACCGAAGTCGACACTCGTGCTAGCAGCACCAGCAGCAACTTCGACATGTTTGGTAATCCTATCGTGCAAGAATTTGGCGGCAGCAGCTTTGGCTCTTCCGCAAGCATGATCACGAATATCGCGGACTTTGAGGCGGGCGTCACCGCGACTTCAGTTAAGGCTAGAGATAATTCATCTTTGAGAGCATCCTTGAAACGTATGGGGGAGTATTACAACGAGGGAAAACTCCCCCACACTTTTCCAGGATGCACTTGCCAGGTGAATCTCGGACAGTTCTAATTCGGCGGCGGGAACGGGCTCCAGCGGATCCACTGCGGTGTCTACGAGCAGCGCTGTCCTGGGGGGATTTGGCTCTGGAGGGGCCTCCGGGTCCGGAGCCAATGCCGATAGCGCATCGCTAAGTTTATGGCTACTTCTGTCAACAGAAGTTGAAATACTTGCTGTCCTACAGTCGCGTATGAGTCGTAATCTTCATTCTCATGCTTCCCATCTTCTAATGAAAGCAGACATCGCAGCTCTCCAGTCTGGTGCGGCGGTCGAAAAGGTATACGTGAAATCTGCACTCAATGTTGCGGCAAAAGTCTCTCCCAACTGCGACAGCAGCGAAAAGGTGATGTCCACGGAACCTGAATGCGTAGCGTTCAGGACCGCTCTCACTCAAGGAATCATCGACGGTTTGACCGCAGTCTCTGCAGGAGCAGGAAACAATGCTGTCGAAATCACGGGGATCGCGGTACAACTACGCGTGATAATACTACACTACATACCAACATGGAAGATACATACTTACAATACATAGATTTAGATAGTACCAACTACATCAAGTAGACAAACTTTTTCTACATGTACATCGTCTTGATGATGTGCATAGATCATCATTTTCCTCGACCATGTCTGAAGTATCTCATCTAGAAGCCTCTTCCTAAAAACGCAACAAAAAAATCTCAGTTCCTTGCTTCATCTCGGCGATTACAATCGAGCGATACGGAGACGAGGGATGTAAGCATGATAAGTAGAATAATTTGAGTCAGAGTCGTCGAACGAGTACGAGGAGTCCAAAACCAAATCACATAGAAGCCTGAAGATAGCTTTTCAACATTTCAACATCAGGAGATGCTCGTATCCGTAGCAACAATTATGAGAAGAAGATCTTCGTAGTAGATAATCCTATAATTTTACGTCGCCAACGACAGAACAAGCGTTGACGACGTCGAGGTCGTACTAGATTCGCGGTTGATAATGGAATCAGGATTCGTTCGTTGTTTTTACTTCTCTTTCGTCTCGACGTCCTCGCGCCCGGATTCGCTTCTCTCCCTCTTCCTCTCTCTCTCCTGTCTCTATTCGTCCACTCTGTTTGTAAGTACCATCCTACCAAATTATATGCCAAGAACGTGAATTTTGCTTTATCTTTGATATGGTATATATAATTATACTTACATAGATACATATTACAATTAATTTGGTGAACAAGCAGCCAGGACAACTACCTTCAACACTGCGCTCACAACCTTCAACACTGATTATTCCTCACATTGTCCAGGTGAGGCTCACCGGTGCATCTTCGGGAGGCTCGAGCCGTCGCCGGCTGTCGGGTAGTGACGCGCAGCTTGACGTGAAGTATAAAGTGGAAGTTGCGGACGTGACAGCGGGTAACGCGATTGCGGCGACGCTGACCACTGCCAAAGTTAAGGCTCCTTCCCCTATTTGATCTTGTTTTAGTCCATTTCTTGTGAGCTGCTTTCAAGTAGAAATATACTGGACAGAGTAGATGTGGAAAAGTAGTGAGTTCTAACACAGCGAGCTTTGAAACCGCCATGGCTACGGGAATGGCTACTGCTATCGCCAACGACGCAACTCTGCAAGCCTCCGGCGCCTTCCAGGTGACGGGGGTCACGAGCAAGCCAGTCGTAGTGGAAACGGAGATCGTCTACTTTTATGGCCTTCAACTTCGGCTGGCTGATTTTCATCTTCCTCACACACTCTTAGCAGGTTTTTCTTGTACCCTTCTCATCTTCTTTGCGTTTCCAGAGGTTGTAAAAAATGCAAAGATCTTCAAGAAGGTACATCAAAGAAAATAATGATGATGAGGAGATGAATATGGGAATATTCGTAGTTACCGGACTCACTTTAGAGCATAAGATAGTCTCACTTTGTGCCATTTCCGAGGGAAATGGCTGCCATGGATCTAGACCCACAATGGGTTGTTGATAGACCGCGCGACACCGTTGAAGATGGGACCATAAACGGAAACGGCTTGGAAGTAAGCGGGTTTCCGCTCGCCGTTATGGTTATGTCTAGATAGGCTTCGCCTAGCGACACCATTAGGATTGACTTATGTCTGCGCATTGGTCATGGAAGTCTTTGAGAGCGTTGCGGAGGATATCCGATCCTACGCCAGACGTGGTCTGCAGTTGAATGTAGCAGCCGCGCCTTGCGGGTGCGAATCTGTTGGAATGTCAGAAGACAGGACCTTGCTGTCGCAGCGAGTATAGCAAGGACGCTTGCTCTGGTGCGTGATGGAAGGCAGTATCTGGGGTGGCAGTACAGGGAGCCTTACGGACTTGTCTGTCTGTTGACTGGCCAGGCTTCGAGTGCTCTTCGAGCACTAGCCTCATGTGGGTTAGGTGTCTAGCGTTAGCACAATGACACAGTATCATCCTTCCTTCGGTTGGATCTTGGTATAGTTTGCATGATGTGATGCTTTTCAGGTGTTGCATTATGTGACCGGACAGCACATTCACGAGGTGGGTGCTGACGCGGTGCTGCGAAGGAGGGGCAGCACCGACCTGGCCCGAGGTGTCCAACGGGTACGTCCATCCGCTGCGCGGGTGGACGGATGGAGGATCTGCGATCTCTCCTTGACTATCTTGACTTCAATGCACTACATAACGAGATCATGGCATTCGCCTGGTGTAAGTAGACTGCGCAGGAACTGGCGACAAGTCAGATGCTTCTGGTGATGGAGCTGCAAGGCAACTCACGTTGTTGCAGTGACTCTCACGCGGGGGGAGCGTTCTAGGAAAGCAGCGATGTTCAATGTGAAAGATAGTGAGACTATCTTATCTTGTTCTGAGTATGGTAAAGGCGTGAATTCTACTAGTTGGGGGCTGTTCCGGGGTCCGATTTCCCGAAGAAAAAAACATTTGACATGATCACAATCGAGAAGAAGAACAGTTCCTAGTCAAGTCTAAACTTGAAACACAAAGGGAGTTAGCGTGAGCCTTCATATGGCTTTGATCCTGCAAGGGATCGAAGACCTGAACTAAGGAAGGAATGAAAACGCGCTCTGCAAGTCGTTCCGACTGAATGAACAGCAAGAATGAAAATGGAAATGTAAGGGTGAAGATCTCTCCTTCGGAAAGAATGCAGGACTGTAAAATTTAAATTGACGATCAACGGCGTGTGAGAATAGGTGACGGCTTCAGCAGTGTGTCCGTGAGAAAGCGAGCTTCAATTTTGGCACTTCGTGCTACTGCATGAACTGAAGATGGATCTTTCTGCGTAAACGACGATGAATGTTTGTGCAAGGCTGTGAACAAGTTAGGAAACTGCGTTTCTACATTTTTCCGAGCTTTCAGCTTCATCATACCCGTGATTACTGAATATCAAGTAAGGACGAATCAGCAAATCTTATCATCTTCCAATCTTTATCAACCCCAGGGAGAGTCTGACTACGGAAAAGTCCTTATTCTAAGGCAACCACGAACGATCTCCGATCGTGCTAATCAAGTTTGTAAAAATCTTTGTTGAGATATCATCTCTTCAAACTACAAGATGGGTGGAAAATCCGGACAATACGGTGACGGCAAACCCAGCCGGTCTTCCTCGAAGACGGTTCGAAAATCCGACGACCACAAGGATAATGCCCAATGGCATGCCCGCAACAACAGTCAAGGGAAAGGAGACGGGTCGTCGTATAAGGAGAGACGACAAGACCGTGAGAACCAGCGAAGCGAGTCTCACGGAAAGAACAGGAGCACTTCGAGCTCCTACAACGAGCCGCATCGTGGCCGAGACCGCGGCTACAACCAGTCGTATCGCTCCGGCAGCGGTTCGAACTACCCGACATCCGGAGGTACTACGTACCCGCAAGATGAGCGAGCAGCGCTCTTGGCGCAACCCGGAGCGATGGGAGATGACGGCAGCGGCCCTGATCCATATATCCATGGATATTCGCGAGATCAGTGGAAACGCTGGAACCGTGAAAAGGCGGACAAGTGTAAAGCCGTCACTGCAGCGGCGCAACCACAGGGTCCACCGACTCTGGAAGCACCACCTCCGGCTGTTGCTCCCGCAGCGGCGGATGTGATGATGCTCGATGAGCAAACGAAGGTCACTGCGGCGGTGGAGATGGAAGGTATTTCCCCGAAGTACGTACCTCAAACGATGGAGCAGAATGTGGAGGATAATACCGCATGTCAGTGGGGATGGAAGAACTCGCGTTCTGCGGAGGAAATGGACCAGGATGATGATTTCTTCCTGAGTCCGTCCAGAGACGAAGAACGCGCGAAGGTGGCGACTCGACCAGAAAGTCTCAAAGTCGTCTATGTGGACAATACCGTCCTCAACAACGTCTTCAATCAGGAGTTGCAAGTTTCGCTGCATCCACATTTCGCGCAGAAGACCTGGCGCCGTGCCAGTGCAACGAAGATTCGCGAAAGTTTCGTGAAAGGTGAGCTACTAGTCTTCTTCGAAGAAGGTCGGCTGACTGATGAAGAATTCAAGAAGTTACCGCTCACGCCGGCGCTACCAGGAGTGGATCCGGATGATTCCACGCCGCAGATGCTTAATCAACTTTTCCAAGTTGGTTATTGCAAAACCGTACTTCAAGTTGGATTTTAGAATGATAGTCAATACAAGTTTTACAAGCTCTGCTCCGTGGAGTTTCTGGTGTAATGATAGTTGGAATCGAAACGGCACAAGACGCGAAAATGAAACATTTAGAAGTACAAAATTTTCTTCCGGAAAAAAGAACAGTCATGACCTATTGATCCTAAGGAATCATGTTTCCACTGACCCTTACAGGCGGCGCTTGACAAGAACCTAGCGACCTACTTGGCGGACGACAGTTTGACTGATACTCTGTTGGGTCAATTCTTGGCCCTGGGACCGGGTAAACCGCAATTTCAAGTAACGGTTCCGAGCGCAATGAGCACGTTAGTGGAGCACAGGTCCAATGAGTCCCTCACGGACCTGCTGTGGCAGTGCTACAATGCGGGAGCTAAAGCGGATCTCCTTTTTGCGCTAGCCATGAGCGAGCTGGGAATGCGGTTCCCTGGACTGGTTTCACTCGACCAGATCTACGATGTGGTGTATTCGGACTCTACGATCCGTGAGCAGATTTACGGCGGATCATACAAGCAGGTGACTACGTACTACCAGAAGATTTGTGAAGTGCGGGAACTGCGTAAGGTTCAAGGGTCGAAGAACCCTATGGCAGCACTAACCAAGGCAGATAAGAAGGCGCTACACCGGTTGCAGGGATTGAAAGGCGAAAATCGCACCGCGATTTTGCAATCGTTGCTCGATGAAGACGAGCTAAGTCTGGTACTACCAGTGCAGCGCCAGCACCAGATGAAAGCCGAGGCTTCGAATAAATCAACACCGGGCGCTTCCAGCTCCGGAACCCAAATGAATTCGGCAGCCACGACCTCCACTACGGTGCCTATGGCAACGGAGGTCCAGACGACGCGCTTGGTTTTGCCAGGTGTAGTCTCCGCTACGTCGAAAGCCACTCCGACCTTCGGTCCGCACCCAGCAAGCTTCGCAGGAGGTTTTGCACGCTTTGTTTTAGATCATCCAAGTACTAATCCTGATAACAATTTTGGACCTACATCTTCTGCAGTAAAACGCTGTTCATCACCTGAACCAGTTGAACGGACTTCGTCTGCATCTGTGGATACTCTTTGCAATAGTCGATTACCATTTTTCTCACCAATTTCGCAATCGGTTTCCAGCCGAGAAACCATCTTCACATCGCCGAAGTCACGCAAATCCATCCAGCTTTCAGTTGCTGAAGAGGACGAGAAGCAGGCGGCTGAAGAAAACAAGGATACTGTTGCGGCTGCGTCATCCGACGATCAGTCGGTGGTGTTGGTGGACCATGTGGATCTGGACGTTCGACCTCAGGAGGAAGAAGGGGACATTGTGTTGTCTGGACGCGAATCACCAATGAGTCGCTCAGCACCGCAAGTTCAAAACGTTTTCACCGAGGATGTGCGACGCTTATCCGATTCTGCGCTTACAGCACAGATTCGTCTCATGGAGCTCAGCCAAGAGTTGGCACGGCGTAAACTACAAGCCACGAGCTCAAGTTCAACGGTGCGTGCAACTGCTCCCGCAGCTAGCTCCTCTCCAAGCGTTCCGGCAGCCGCTACCAGTTCTACGAATTTGAGTGGAAGCTAAAGGGTGTGCACCTTCGTGGTGATGTCAGACAGGACGAGAAGACTTATTGTTTTAGGCACTGCATTCGGCAGGCTCATAACAACGTTTGAGAAGGGCATAGATGGCAGTTTATTGCTGAGTCTTTGCAACCCTGTCTGAGAACGAACTTCCCCATCCCATGCCTAATCCTTGTTACGTTGGCAGTTTTTTCTAGACCGTGAAATGAAGCAAGGAGGAGAAGGGAAGAAACACATAGGGCCAATCAAGGTTCTGCGCCGATGGTGCGAAATTGAAGTTGAAGTTGAAAGAATGTAGTGTTCAACCAAGGATGAACTATCATCGATGGATTCATGTTAATCGGTATGCTGTTGCTTCGCCAGCATGGTGTTTTATGGACAGCACAGTAGCGAGGCGGGTGCTGACACTTCATCGCGATGGAGGGGCGATGTTGAACACCGAACAAGAAAGTAGAGCAAGCCGCTGGTTGTTCCCTTGTCGTAGGGCTTCCGGAAATGTTTGCCATGGTTGTAAAGCTTGGCGCTGCCTCTTGTAGGTTGCTGAGTTTATGCATCTAGGGTGTTATACTGGATTTCTGGATGATGCCTTGTTGTAGGTCTTCCAGGCGGTTCTGTTCGGTTCTAGCTGGTGCGAGTACAACGAGAGTAGGTTTAGGATTTTTTCTTTTGTCTTTGTGGACACAACGAAGAGCGAAAGAGAGGAGGTTAGAACGGTAGATGGTTTTTTCCGTCATTTAGGGCAATAGGCCGAGGCCAGCGAATGGAAAGCTGCGATCCTCGTTGATCATGATCATTTCTTTTTACGGTAGGACTAGTTGTGATTTCTCCATCTAGGGCCCTAGGCCAATGCGGTACTTCAGTTTTTTCGACTGGACGAAAGAAAATAACACATGTTACATCTGCTTATTCTTTGCGGTTTCGGTTTCAACCCAAAACACACCACCCTAGGAGAGAGAGGTTAGAAAGCGATAGCGGGTGGTTCCCACAACTACAGGATGACTACTCTGACTGCTCCTCCTCGTACAACCGCTGTATGCGGTTACGGTTTATCGACCTTCATGGTCGCCTCTGCCTTCCTATCGGGGTTGGTAAGCGTAAGCAACATGTCGCGGACACCCGTGCCGGTTTCATCGCCACCACCACCACCGCCACCTCCTGGAGCTCACCATCACCCTGGAGATAAGTACGACGACTGGGATTCGGATTACGGCTGGTTTGCGTTAGCCCGGTCCGGTTTCCTCGATGCGGTTTCCGTGGCACTGAGTTACCTCAGTTTGCTACTCGCTCTTGCAGTGATGGCCTATGAGATGTACAGTCACTACCAAGGTGTCACCGAGAAGGACCCTTCGGCTCCAGTTCCGGTTTCGGTTTCGGGTCAGGATTCCAAAAGAGTGCCTTTTTTGGCTTCTTCCTTTTTAGGCTCTGGCTCCTTTGACAAAGCGCTCCAGCCGTGGGAGCAGAGTGCATTCTGTGAATCTGCTGCGAACGAAGGCACTAGCAGGTTGCGCAAAACAGTAGAAGACAATTTAGACCTTGCGGGTTTTAGAATTGTTCGTTGTTGTCCAGTGGTAGATACAGTGACGCGCTCCAGTGGTATAGGACTTTGTATTGAAAAGATGGGGGCGAATTTTCCCACGAACACATTCGAGAGATATACGGTAGCATTTGACATTCACACTTACCCTGATAGCGTCAAGTTTGAGGGTGTAAAGAGTGTATTAGCTAGACCGGTTGCAGGAAGGTTGTATGAAGCGGCGCTAATGACAGTTGACAACTCCAAGTCCCAAGACGGGGGCGTGCTTTCTAAAATGCACGCCTCAGCGGTGAGGTTGGAAACAAAGTCTATTGAAGATTCTCTGGCATCCAGGCAGGCATTGGATCGATTGCGGCTGGAACACCTTCAGTCGCCGACTCATGGCTGGCAAGCAGTCGTGAATGGGGCACACAAATCCGGCGATAACGTCGCGGATTCTGTGGTGGAGTCAGTTGAGGCAGAAGCGCGGAGGTATCCGAATTTATCTCGGGATTTCCTCTGTGCTGCCTGCTTGATGGTATTTCGGGAGCAATTCACCAAACAGTGCGGCCTTCGGCCCATTGTGGTGCAGGAAGAGTTGGAGGCCCAGCTCTATCGGTTGCAGCCGTCTGGGACCACGGGGGTGGAAGTAGGAGTATATTGCCAGAAGTTTCGAAATAAGTTCCAAGAGCTAATGAGCGAGCGAGCCACGCAGCACTCTGGTCAAGTTTTCACGACGAAAGACAGAGTGGGAACATCGCAAGAACTAAAGCGATTTGTAAGAGGTCTACTCCGATCTCTCCCGTTTGATTATACCGATTCATTCGAGGAGAGTCTCATCAACCAGGGAGGTGTGGAGAATGCCGCCATCGATATGGTGGTCGAATATTGTGTAGCTCGGGCTGACGTCAAGGCTACATACTATGAGTCACGGCACTATGACTATAATATCAATCGACATGCGAGGAAGCCTCTCCAGCAAATGCAGATAAGCTCTGAGGAGAGTCCTCCGGACAATCCTATGAATGCTGCAGGGTTTTACCCGAAAGAAGATCGTAGTGCGCAATTTATCACTTGTGATCCGGTGGAGGAGTACACCGATAAGGGAGGCAAGAAGTGGCTTTTATGTGGTGATCCGAATCACATGAGAGGGATGCACTATGCCTGTGTGGCCCACGTAGATTGGACAAAGGAACCCCGGGCGTGCAGCTTTCCCGCGTGTAATGGTCGTCGACATCCTGTCGATCGTTCTGGTCAACTCTGCTGCCCAAACTTATTAGCAAGGCAAGCAGGCCGGGTCTTGAAACGAGGACCAAAGACGCGAGTAGTGTATTGTGGTGTCCTTGTGGATGAGAAAGGAAGGCCGCATCACCCTAGTTTTTCGAAGCCGCAGTTTCAAGCAGGGCTCGCCGCCGAGCTAGCCGAGGTAAAAGCAAGTGGCGCAAATCCTTTGTGTAAATTTGTTTCGCCTACGGAAGCCCAACAATTTCACCCGCCGCCGTGGGTAAAGTCGAAGAAGCTCAATCCAAATCGTGGAGTACAAAAGCCAAGTGACAAGATGCGAAAGGGCACCGGGAAAGGTGCGAAAGGGACCGGCAAGGGCAAAGGTTCCGGAAAAGGTGGGCGACTGAATTCTATGAGCAATGATTCAGGGGATGACTTGTCTCAGCAGAATGAGCATGAGACTGGTCCCTCGATCGATACCTCGCTCTGGAATGATGTCCAATTAACTGCAACGGTAGGGAATCGAATGGAAGTGCAGGAACCATCTTGGGCTGGCGACTCTGCGAGGGATTTTGTGTGGATATGGAGCCAACTATTTGTTAGTTTATGGATGGTGTGCAAAGTATTGGAGCAGGGGGTTTGCTATCTGAGAGGCACGCCAACGGCGTTGCCTCGACTGATATCAAGGGCCCAGTTACGCTTCCAGCGTGACCACGGTATTGTTTCAATGATGAATTCAGCGTGGGAGGCAACAAAGCAAGAAGCCAAGCGACCACGCCGAGCGCCAGTGTATATCGCTGGGTTTCTCGGCCGGGACATGCCAGTACCCCTATACTTGGATCCGGGGGCGTGGTTGGGCTACGACGTGATTGACAAGTCAAGCTACGAGAGGCTGCGTGGTAAGAAAGAGCTCGAAGCGGTGGCCTCGCCACCATTTAGCTGCAAGCCGGTGGAAATCTCTTTTGGAAGAAAAAAGTTTTCGCATACCGCAAATCGAGAGTGTGTGTTATGTTTTAAGATTGCTACGCGATCTGGAAAATATCTGGACCTTAAGAGGAAGTTTCTGATTGTGGACGGATTAAACACCCCTGGATGTATCATTGCAGGCGATACAGCGGTGTACGATTTGGGAATTAATTACAACCCACTTAGCAAAGGGAATAAATGGGTTGAGCTCCTTGGAGAAGAGGTTCCCATTGTAGAGTTCAATACTTCCACCAACAAACCGATTATCAATGCGATGACGCGCCTGGCGTACGTAGCGGCTTTCGCCTCCATTACAGCAACACTTCGCTGTCCGCCGATTAATCATCCGAATACGATGGCCGTAGTGCAGCCAAGTTTGAAAGCTGCAAGAGATGGAATATCGTTCCTTCCGGTTTTAATCGAAGCCTCTGATACTGAAGAAACCGAGCACGTGGTGGAAATTTTTAATCATAGACCGAAGGCGCGGAGTGTTGCGCTAACGCGAGAGCATGTCAAAATCCAGCCGTTGGAACCAGTAACAAAAGAGACCCTGGTGAGTAACAGTATGGCTGTAGCTCAAACCCCTGGAGGTACTACGCCACAGCCAGGGGGCGAGGGTGTTATACATAGGGATATTCAACACCCTCAATCGCAGGACAACCCAGTTTCTCCGAAAATTTCTTCAAAAATTCAAAATAACCGCTGGGATCCGTTCAGCGGGTGGAAATCGTGTATGACCTTTGCGGCCCTGATCACCGATCTGGGTCTGTGGGATATCGTGGGCAAGCATGGGCTGCTCGCTGGGGGCGAGCCCTCCTTGATGAAAGTAAATAGCACGGACTATGATCCTGGCATGGCAACGCTGGGCAGCCGAGTATGCGCAGATGTGTGGCGTCTCGGGGGAACCTTTGCGGACGAGTCCTCTGAAATTTCGGATTGGGACCGCGAAGTGCATAACTTTGTGGATCCACCGGTGGACCTCCCTAATGTAAGATGGGAATGGTACAAGTGGATGAAAAGTCAGCAGCGAGAAGCTGGCACAAGGGAGTTTCGAGGGACGGCAGCCGCTGCCGCGACGAATAAAACGCATGTCTTCTCCGAAGAACTTCCTGAAGCAAGGGATACTGCCCACATGGGAGCCCTGTTCCAGGAGTGGGAGAGCGTGTGTCAGATCCAGGGTATAGTGAATATGGCAAAGTATAAGAATAAGTCCAAGCCGAAGAATTTCGAGGACCTTGAGAAGGAAGTTGACGACCGAACGGCAAAACGGGCGAGGAATCAAAAGTGGCAGGTGCCAAGCGAAGAATGGACAGCGAATGTGATGAAAGTGTTTTCGGCACAGTTACAGGGTTACGGCCATCTCTCGCAGGAACAGAGGGATAAGCTTCTGACGGTGATTCGGGAAAATGCGCACTATTTCTACGATGAAGGATGTCCCTTCCCTAGTCTGAAGACTGTGTGCCATTTCGACTACAATCCGAATCGAGTGACCCATCGAAGCCTGCCGCAACCGTTGCAGTTGAGTGCGTATGGGAAGCGGTGTCTGGATTTCCTGTTTCAAACGCAGCTGGATGACGGCTTGTTTGAAAAGTGGGATGGGACTGACAGCACGCGACCAATTTTCTGCAGTCCTGCTTTTTTGGCACCACGGAAGAACTCGGCTATCGGCCGGATCGTGGTGGACTATCGTAAGTGTAACGAAGCGCTAACTCCGATAGCGCTTCCGGCACCGATTCAGGAGAAGATTTTCCATAATCTGAAAGGGAAAAAGCTATACTTCGGATCGGATTTGTCGCTGGCATATAACCTAGCAAAGCTAGACAAGCAAACGCAGCGACTTTTGGCGGTTGTGACGCATTCTGGGGTATATTTGCCCACACGTCTGACGTTAGGACCGAGTCCGGCCCCGGGTTGGTTTCAGGCTCAGACTGAGGCTGCGTTCGGACACTTAAGCGAAGTGTTCATCGATGATATCGGGTTCGGTGAGGATGGCTTAGACGTGTTCATCCATCGGATGATTGGCGTCTTTGAAGCCTGTGAATCCAGTGGAGCACGATTGTCGTTAACCAAGACGTTCATTGGTGCAGACAAAATCGAAGTTCTAGGTCATATTGTCGATGAACAGGGAATGCACCCGAGTCCGGCGAAATTGTTTCAGATTGAAAGCTGGCCGCTACCGACGAACCGGGAGGACTTGGTCTCGTTTGTGCATGTCGTGCGCTATCTGCAGTGTTATACCAGCGAGCTGCAGAATGTGGCTGCGCCACTAAAGGATTATGAGTTAAAAAAGCGGCCGTTTGCTGAGTTTCACTCGGACGAAGCGGCGATCGCAGCCTTTGAGGCGTTAAAGAAAGTCGTCGCAAGGAATGCGGTGTTGATCAAGCCCGACTATGACGCGGCGAATACTTGGCGAAGACCGTTTGAAGTATTCACCGATGCAAGTCAGCATCGGTTTGCTTGGGCAATCTGTCAACGAACGGCAGCGGGACAACTGCGGGTATGGAAATGTTCGACCCATTCGCTTGATAAAACGCAAAAGCAATGGTCAACACTGGAGCGCGAGCTTTATGCTATAGTGGACTTTGTTAAGCATGGGCGTAACCTCGTGAAGGGAAGCAAATGGGTGATGTACACGGATCGTCAGAATCTAGGAACGAAAGAGTTAAACAACCTTTGTGCGAACAAGACCACCGGCGGGAAGCTGCTAAGGTGGTTTTATCTGATTGCCCGCCCTTTGTCCACCGGAAAAAGGGTATATCTAAAGGGCGAGGCAAATGTGGTAGCGGATGCCCTCTCCCGTCTGAAGGATGGGGATGACGTGAGTGAGGACCTGCGAGAGTTAGATGACCTAGCTGCCATGCTTCCTCGTATCCGATCACTGGTGCAGTTCATCTTCTGTAATCCCGAGCAGTTGGACGAAATGATGGCTGAACGCAAAAGAGTCCTTGCGGTGGATAACTTCCTACCGCCAATTCACCCCAGTGAATTGATGGATGATCCCCACGATCACTTGCCGTGTGCATTGGCATCGGACCGGGCCATTGGCGGTGATGTTGGGGCCAGTGAACTGCAGGTAGGAAAGAAAGTGGAAGTGTTGAACCAACTAAATAGTGCGGGACCTTTAGGAGGTGTTACTGTGGATGAAAGTATGTTCGATAGTTGTGAGTTTCGTCAGGATGGAGGCGCGTTTCACGTGTTTCGATCCAGTGAAGGCGAAGAGTTGACCTGTAACCCTTGTAGTGCGGGGCTGCTATCTGCTTCAGAGGCGGAGGACGCGTCGAATCTGGTAGCAGATGTAGGCATGGAAGGGGAAGAGGTTAAGCGTCGAGTATATGCCGTGGTGATTACGCACCTGGGTCGTGTGTTGGCCGCTGATGTAGATGAGCATGGCATTGGAGGGCAGTTCAGTCTTCGATTGCCTGGCGGGCCAGTAAGCGACGGTGAGAGTGTAATATCAGCCATGCAGCGGTATTTGACGCAGCAAGTACATAACGGGTCTGCGTTAGCGGCGCAACTCCCTACGTGTCCAAGTTTGAGTGACGCGGGGATCCATTGGGTTTTGCTGCGAGTAACTTCAATTGATGATCTCAAGTGGAAAGAGGGGCTACTCACCGCGGATAATCATCCGCGGCTCCTGTCTTGGGAGAGGTTCCTGGAGTACCTTGGGGGGCCGTCGCGAGCCAATAAACGGCTTCGAATTTGCATGAAGCACATGAGGTCACAGCTTCGGCCTGCTGCTGTGACAGAACGATATCGAGGGATTTTCCTCCCGCGACGGTTGTATCGTCGCCATGAGCCGCGACAGGATAATATTGTGGTGCATGGTACTATTGATGGACGCCCTGTGGATAGAGAATTCTTTCGAATCTCGGGCAATGCCACCTTTACCCATGCATATGACACGTCCTGGAAAAGGTTGAAGGAGCTTTTCGCAGAGGCAGAAACGCTAGCTGCGAGGCGAGCGGGAGAGGTCCAAGGGAATGAGACGAGTAAGGGGCACCATGAGTTCTTTCATGTGTTTAAGAAGCCAGAGAGGTCTGCCATTACTCAGAATGTCTCACAAGATTTGTTTACGGTTTCCGCTTCGTGGGACCCTCAATCTTGTTTCTTGGATGACCCTCCCTGTGAGAATTATACCGAAGTTCGGCGATGCTATGTTGGGAGAGTGCCAGCAATACTTTGCAGATGTCAATGCGGGCAGGGGACGCACTCAGGCGAATCTCCTGACTTGACAGAGTTTGTCCCGGCGACAGATCTCGCGACCCTTACGGCCGAGATGCGAACGAAGTTTCTGGCCAACCCAGACGGCGTTAAGGGATTTCGTGTGTTGTTCCCTACGCTGCCAGTGGTGGAGCAGAATTATACCATTGCCCGACGAGACAATGTAAGTGAAGATGCAAGTGTGGATGTGCGAGCAGGTGAAGGACAGGTCGCGCGGGTAGCGCTATGGATGGCGGGAAAAGCCACGTCCTTACAGGCGGGGCCTCCTTCGGCCTTTCCTGCGTTACTAAGTGAGGATGGCCATACCTTCACTGTGAAGTCAGGGTGGTCGTTAAGAGTTTGGAAGTTTGTGTTTTGTGGTGAGGATTCGGTAATTCCCGCACTGGTATCTCTGCAGGGTGCTGGTATTCGCAGTAGCCTGTACAGGGATCAGGTGGAATGCCGCGAGTACGGACCTATTTACTATGCGTGTCTTGCGCGTAATAAGGGACGGGACTTAGTACAGATAGAGCTAGATTTAGCTCGAAAATGCAAGGAGCTTGCTATCGGTCGAGCCGCAACATCGCGGATGCCGGAGCATTGGATCGACGGCGACACGAGACTCTTAATGACTCGTTTTCGAGACCATCCTGTTGTTTGTATACCTTTAGGGGGGAAGCAACCAGCTGCGGTGGGAGGGAAAACGGTTCCCTGGAGAAAATATTATTTAATCCTCGCGCATAACTCTTTGTTGGGAACCGGTCATGGCGGGCCGACCCTGACTTATAATCATTTACTTGATCGGAGCGTGTTTTGGCCGACAATGTGGAGAGATGTCCAAAATCATTGCAAGTCGTGCATTTCGTGCACCATTGCTGAGGCAACAAACACACGCAATAAGGCCCCACTAGGCCACGAGACGAATTTGGGATTCTTTCGAATCTTGAACGTTGATCATGTGGGCCCGTTCAAAGTGGACCGGGGCTATAGGTATTTGCTCTCGGTAAGGGATCACGCCACGCTGTTCAGCTGGTTTATCCCGGTGAAGTCGAAGTTCACGCGAGAGGCTGCGGAAGCGCTGGTGGCGAATGTATTTTGTTTAACTGGTTACCCAGTGATTGTTCGATCAGATCGAGGATTCGGCGAACAGGGCGACAAGAGTTTAGGCAAATGGCTCCAGGTGTACGGGGTGCACCATGCTCCAGTAATGCCTTATTCCCCGCAGGCGAATTGGTTGGTTGAAGTGTTGCACAAACCATTAAGGAAGTTGCTCATGAAATTTGCGGAGAATTCAAAGTGGATTGAGCTTGTTCCTTACTTGAATTGGATTGCGCGCACAACACCTTACGAGGTGTTGAATGGAAGATCTGCATATGAGGTGGTCTTTGGCTGTAAACCACGACACGCGTTTTCGGAAACTCTCCGGACTGCGTTCGGCGGGAACGCTGGGACTGACCTGCACTTGCAAGAGGCGAACAAATTTCGTCAGAATATAACTGAAGAAACTGAACGTTTTAGAAACGAGAGGAGTAACATTCGATCGATTGCACAGACTACACTGCAGGGGCAGCATCTGTGGACTCCCTTGGTTGTAGGAGACTTGGCGGTAGTGAAGAATAATAAAGCAAGGAAGGAGTCTTTCGATCCAAAGAACTATCCAGCTTTGTTCAAAGTAAAAAAGGTCAGTGCGCGCTATATTATTCTTACCGATCTGCATAATCAGGACGCGACCGGTGCGGCGGGAGGAAAACTTCCTACGCATCTGGTAACGCGAGCAGTTCCGGCTTCTCACGTTTCCCAGTTTTTGGGACAGCTTGACTATATTCCGTCGACGGCGGATATGTTGGGTAAAACAAGAGAAGACTTCATGACGGAGGACAATGATCAGAAGGATGAGATCTAGGAACGATGGAAGTTCCGTTCTGGAGCCTTGGAATCTTCGGACCAAAGCCGTACTTCTTCTGTTCTTGTCTGGGTGGGCTTACGCACATCAAGATAAACACTTGCTAGCATTATTTAACGAAGGACTTTACTGCTATGACCAAACTCTGCGGGCTGGTTATATGTGGGTGAAGTGAGTCCGATCGATTCGGGAAGAGGCCGACTGTCTCTTGGCCTGTTCTAGCTCAGCAACAGCAAAGTCTATCAACCTAGTCAGGCTGGGGCACAGTGGTTTGCGAATCAGGGAACGCTGGATGGCTGGTGGCGTAAAGGATTGACCCCCCTTTACCCCGGCATGCAGTGACTCGAGATTATATGTTGTGAGCCGGATTCACATGAGACGTCGCCCTGGGGGCGTCTATGGGAATACTCGTAGTTACCGGACTCACTTTAGAGCATAAGATAGTCTCACTTTGTGCCATTTCCGAGGGAAATGGCTGCCATGGATCTAGACCCACAATGGGTTGTTGATAGACCGCGTGACACCGTTGAAGATGGGACCATAGACGGAAACTGCTTGGAAGTAAGCGGGTTTCGCTCGCCGTTATGGTTATGTCTAGATAGGCTTCGCCTAGCGACACCATTAGGATTGACTTATGTCTGCGCATTGGTCATGGAAGTCTTTGAGAGCGTTGCGGAGGATATCCGATCCTACGCCAGACGTGGTCTGCAGTTGGATGTAGCAGCCGCGCCTTGCGGGTGCGAATCTGTTGGAATGTCAGAAGACAGGACCTTGCTGTCGCAGCGAGTATAGCAAGGACGCTTGCTCTGGTGCGTGATGGAAGGTCGTAACTGGGGTGGCAGTACAGGGAGCCTTACGGACTTGTCTGTCTGCTGACTGGCCAGGCCTTGGGTGCTCTTCGAGCACTAGCCTCATGTGGGTTAGGTGTCTAGCGTTAGCACAATGACACAGTATCATCCTTCCTTCGGTTGGATCTTGGTATAGTTTGCATGATGTGATGCTTTGCAGGTGTTGCATTATGTGACCGGACAGCACATTCACGAGGTGGGTGCTGACGCGGTGCTGCGAAGGAGGGGCAGCACCGACCTGGCCCGAGGTGTCCAACGGGTGCGTCCATCCGCTGCGCGGGTGGGCGGATGGAGGATCTGCGATCTCTCCTTGACTATCTTGACTTCAATGCACTACATAACGAGATCATGGCATTCGCCTGGTGTAAGTAGACTGTGCAGGAACTGGTGACAAGTCAGATGCTTCTGGTGATGGAGCTGCAAGGCAACTCACGTTGTTGCAGTGACTCTCACGCGGGAGGAGCGTTCTAGGAAAGCAGCGATGTTCAATGTGAAAGATAGTGAGACTATCTTATCTTGTTCTGAGTATGGTAAAGGCGTGACTTCTACTATGAATGATTAGAACATGCTTTATTGCCTCTAATATCTGCCGGGTGGAGCACCAGCAACTGCGAGTAAAGCGTCTTCGCGTGCGATGCTGACTGTCTCTACTACGTTGGCGACGCTGGTATTGGGTGCTATCGGAACGCTTTTCTTCGCGGATATTGGCCGTTCGGCCTTGCTGGTTTAAATAATTGGTGTTTTTCGTTGAACTAGAACGTTGAAGGAAAAAGTAGAAGAAATAGAAAGACTCCAGTAGAAGAAGAAGAAGTATGTATGGTTTTGATTTGAAAAATTTCCATAGAAGATGTTTTACGACGACAAGGTGCTTAAATAGTCTTCAGTACTAGAGCATCTAGTAGTACTGGCTGGCATTTTAAGTAGTCCCGTCGACAGTTTCGGAATACTGATCTGGGCATCCTACCATAATTCAGGAGTGGTCGCTTTCACCTACCTGATGTTGTGGCCAATTAGTTCCATGGTGTTTCTATCCAGATAACTTCTATGTATTTAGAAAGAATTCGAGTAACAGTAATTCATTGTTGACAACATGAACCTGATAATGTAATGTGAAGAAAAAGACGGTAGAGTGTAGTTTCTTTGAGTCAGTACGTTATCCTCTGAATCTTCGGTTCCTGTCTTCTGGTCAGTGAACCATGTTCGTTTAGGAAGATCCTCTCGGCACAGGAGAGAAGATCAGAACATGCTGGTCTCTTTATGCGAAAAAGTAATAAGTAGAGAAAAAATAGATATAGATTGACAGTTTGTATTATTGGCCGCATTTCAAAACAAAATTGAATTTCCAACACAGTTCGATTTTCCTCTTATAAATATATAAATGTACAAGTAGATTCTTGTGAACAAGGATACGCATAATGTGAAGTAGAGGACGGCAAGTAAGCATAGGCATCCATAGCCAACGTCAACCGGACCACGAATACCAGCGGATATCCATGCTCTACTAAGATGAAGAAGATCTTCAGGAGCCGCTCACGTCTGCCAGTTTTCCTGGTAGGCCCACACCTAACCTAACCAAGATGCTAAATTTTGACTTTGTCAGATATCTTCTTCTACTGTCGTTCTTGGACAACATTCTTTGTTCTTCACCTAGCATCCGCATTGCTCAATATGTTGGAGGCTGGTCTACAGGTGCATTGTTGCCCACGATCTAGTTGTAGTAGTAATAGTAGGTGCATTTTTGCGGTTCGAAGATTTAGTTCTAAACTCCTTACAGAGTTCAACGTCGACCGTCGGTTCTCAGTTGTCTTAGAAGTCGTGTGTCCTCTGGATGTTGACTAAGGTGGTTCTCAACAAAAACTATGTACTATTTACTCTTGCACACACTCCTCACATCGTGGTAATGGCCTTCGACGTCTTCTATAGTTTACGAATAAGTCGTATCTAAAGGTATTCGAACATGAACTATAAAGCTGCGGGGGCCCCCGTCTTTTACTTGAGTTGTTGCTTGTGCATCAAGTCTTTGTGTTAAAAACATACAAATACTAAGTACGACTACTACAACATAGAAGTATCAATTGGAAGAGCATATTATAGCATAGAAGATAGTGACAGACTTACAAAAAATAGACAATAGGAATGTGATTTTGATTAGGATAAAGAAAGAAGAAGTGACCAACATGTAATCGAAGCTCCTGCTTCAGGTGCCCTTCGAGCTCGGCTAATAAAAGATGTTCTCCTAGTTCTACGTAGTCGATATCTTCAAGAACAACAACAACAAGAACTTAGAAGTAATATATTTATATAAAAACTGTATGTCATGAGAACGAGTGGTCAGTCGTAAAGAACCAGGAAGAATGGTTGCATTCGAAGATTTTTTTCTTTCATCTCCTTTTAGTTTTAGTATTTACTAGAACTAGTAGTTCTTGTACTTCTATGGGGATTATTCTGAGATTTTTTTTTTCAATAGAACAAGTAGTATGTATCAACTTCAAACAGTATCTTCACTTCTTGATCGGGGACATAAAAATTTGCAAACACTAGTGTTTGTTCACATTCATCTTCACACGTTTTTCTACATAGCAAATAAGTGCCGTTAGTCACTGATTGTCACTTAGAATTGTCTTGTGTGATGTAGATAGAAGTAGAACTAGAAAACTGTGACTGTCGACGACGGCGACTGTGACTGTCGACTTGCAAGCCTGCTGTGCCTTATTCGAACTACACGTATCTAGTATCACCTGAAAAATTCCTTTACCTCTTGCTGGTGACATGACTTGTTTCCGCTCGACGATTTTTTGCTGACAAACTAGCGGGACAACTAGCTACCTTAAAAAGGGAAAAGGTAGTTCTTCTTTGCGAACCTTGAGCGAGCAAGGGGAAAGAGCGGAAATAAGAGCCTTCTTGAGCAAGCAAGGCAACTGCATTCATCTTCGAAGACAAGGAGCTGCCTTCGATGAGTCCTAATTTCTTTGTCAAGGCTTTCCTGATTTGTCCATGATGAAGGCACCACTAGTTGTCCAGAATGAAGAAGATTCTGCGAAGACCTCAATCGTTCTTTATGAATGGAAGAAAAGTAAATCATTGCTCCCACATGATGTTGATGGACAAGAAAGAATGCGTTCTCTCGTCCTTATAGATGAACATGAACTAAGAAATAAGTAAGCATATTACGAACAATCACTACATAGAATCCGAATATTTTTATTCTTATCAGGTTCGTTGAGGAAAGACAGGGATTGAAGATCTTCTACTTCTTCATGATCTTTCTACTTGGGTAACGACTCCTGTGTTCAAGGAAGCAGTAGATCACATGCCTTGATGTGAAACGGAACAAGGCATGTGATGAACATTTTCGGTCGCGTGGCCGTTATTAAAGTCGTCGACGAAAACCTTGCTTGCGATTGATGTAATTCTAATAGTTCTACTGTACTGGAGAACATCACAAAAAATGTTAGAAATTTTGATGAAGTCAGGCGTGTTTTTGTTCATTGTAGTACCTCCTGCCCCTCAATACGGACATTAACGCTCCATCTTTTAAACCGTCCCATCATGCTTGAATGCGACAAATGATCGTGATTGACATAAAGACGATTTTTTATATGCTCGGAATATGAGGATTAATATTTATCATACTTACTCTTTGAAGAATTCATCTTTATGGCTAATGGCTGATGTAGCTTTGATAGAGAGTTTAATTACCTTTGTCGCAATGGCTATGGCAGTACTTATATATCCATACTATAAAAATAACAAGGAAGAAGAAGGAGAGCTACATCAATCGACGACGCATGATGACGACGTCTTCGTTCTGCCAATTGCGACTGCTGCTGGCCAGTCCCGGTCTCATGTGTTAATTGGAATGCGATGGGAGTCTCTCTACGCAGGATGAGGACTTCTCGAAGAACAAGAGCTGCGATTGAGAGTCCGCTTAGAGGACGGTGAGGCAGCAGATCAATGGGCGCCACTGTTGTATTGATCCAACAAGCCGAGGCGGCTGCCGCACGGCTTCCTCCACTACTGGAGGTGATAAGAAGAAAGAGCAAGGCACGACGAGGACGGCTTTAGGCAGAACGATACCGCATTTGGCGGACTTGAGGGAGGTGGAACTACTGGAAGGACTGATTCTGATATAGAACTATAGGAGCACGGCAAGTTGTCATCTTCACGTTCTTCAAATGCTGGAAGTTCAAAACTTTTGCTCCACAAGATGAGGCGTGGAATCAGAAAAGCAACTATTGCGGATACTCTTCAGCAGCGATGGTCTCAGAAACGTGGAGGAGCGGCTGGCGCAGACGGCGCAGAGCAAGGCTACGCCTTTGCCCTGCACGACGCTGCAGCCGATTATCTGCCATCTTCGGTGGGGGACAGCGACGTCAAGGAAAGGTCACAGTTCAACAAGGATAGTGCGTCTGGTACCTCATTCTTTAGCGAATGATCACGCGTACTACCTACTGAGATAGTTGTTGCTCTTGCTCATCGCAACATTGTTCTGATTTTGAAGATCATCACTTTCCCGGTTTTCTTGCTGGGTCAACTAGTACGTCACCTAATATTAAATAGTGCGAAATTATGGTCACTTGAAAAAATCAAGGTGCCGCCGGCGAGCAGTTACAGCCGTCTTATGTGGTTTTTGAACGTGGTTCGAAACTCAGTAAGACTCTGGAAACGGGACGACTTTATCGTTTGCAGTTTGCGGATGCGCAGTACAACTATCTCCTCGTTCGTATAGATGAAGAAAAGTTTGTGGATTCGGTGAAAGGATCTGCAACACTGTCCATCGACCAGAAACTTGCGGACGCTGCCTTTGATCTACAGTTAAGCCTAGAAGTTGGGGAAGATCCACCTGCTGATCCTGAAGATGTTGAACAAGTAGGATGTCAGGTAGACAAATTGATCTTGTTGATGGCCACCGGTCGTGTCTAGTACAACGACCATCAACATTAAGAAAGTTTGAATTCTCTAAGATCCCAGGGGGGTACTCGTGAGCCCCGGAGCGGTTCCGGCAATCTGGCTAGTGGCGGTGGGAGTAGGCCTTTGGAGCATCTCGGAGAGGAGCCCGACAGTACTGCAACTACAAGTGGCTTGCGCTCAGTGCGTGCCCAGGCGCGACTGCTCGAAGTGGTGCTAGTACCGCAAACGTCCGAAATGGAGTACGAATTAGAGAACCTTGAAGTGACTTTGACAGCGCGGAAGCAGATGACCAAGCGCGATCTGTGGCACTACCAACGGGAGTTGCTGGACCTGGCAGGAAAGTCGCAAGCACCCGTATTCTATCTTACGAGCTCATATGTTGGATCATGGATGAAAACGAAAAGCATGAAGATCGTGTCTTTTCGAACAAGTAGGGTTGATCAACGACACAAAAGCTTTGTTCTATCTGTAGCAAGCATGCAAGGAGGAGTCATGGTGAACATCGACAAGTTCAGACATTATATGAAAATAATATTGAATATGAAGATGGATCACCCACCACATTTCTGGGTGAGAGATCTTCTAACTAAAAGGGTTTTGTTCCGCCGGCGTCGGAGTATCTAGTTGAAGGAGCGGTGGCAACGTCAGTCTCTCTAGCCGCGGTTGGTTCAAGCCAAGAGCAAGCTCCTCCTAGCACGGGATCAACGCCTGCTGCAGGCGACGGAGGACCGACCACAGGAAGCCGCGGCGTTGCAAACATCTCAAGTGCGGCAGCTCCGCCGACAAACATGCCGAAAGTCGTCACGTCTGGCGGGAAAACAGGAGGACTAACGCCATCATCGTCTTCAGCGACCGATTCTGGAAAGCGCGCTCCGAAGCTGCAGTCTGGTTTAGTTGTGAAGAAAACTGGCATTTCCTTCCGCAGCACTGCCGCAGAGATCTTCATGTTCATCGAAATTTCCCAGGAAATCTTTGATTTCTCACAGGCAGGGGAAGCTCTCTACTACCAAATGCTTCGTTTTATGAGTGAGTGCATCGAGCTGCAAAAAAAAGCCTCGTGCGATCACGAACTGGTGATTCTTCTTTTTGGTCGGTCGAGACATCCGATAGGCTGTAAAAAGCCGGGCGCCCACGGGTTGATGACACCTTCGCGTGGAGGCCCAGGACAAGATGCCTCGGGAACGCCCGTCGTGCTTTCCACACCAGTCATTGCAGCGCACGAGGATAGCACCAGCTCTTCCGCACCACTGCATCCAATAAAGACCTGCAAAAATTATAACTCTCGAGCAGAACAAAGAGATGATCAACACAGCATCTTATCGTCTCCGAGCGAGCAATCGCGAGCCCTTACAGCCGAAAATGTATCGCACTTGCAGTCAGTCAAGGTCAACAAGAGTACTACAACAGTTGGTTTCGAGATGACACTCGAGGAACAGCACAAAGAACGAACTGCGAGCACCAGCAGTGTTGGACGCGACTCCATGAATGCAGACTCACCACGAAGAACGGAGACTCTGGTGAGCCAGAAGAGTTTCCCACCTGTTGCTGCATCTCAGACGGTGCAAGCGCAGCAAGAGGATTCGAAGGATTCCACGCCGCGGGGGCTGGGAGCGGCACGTCAGGGCGAGGACAGTGCAGAGCCGGGAACATGGAAAGTACCCTTGGCTGGTGCACGCGGTGTGTTTTCTGGCCGAGAAAGAGGCGCAGAGAAGCGGGGAACAATTCCCCATGGTAACCTACTCATGGGGAATGGGAACGCAAGAGCGAAGCACGGCGTTGTCGGCACTGATAATTTAATCTCGTCTCCTGCGTCCGGAAGTGCTACTTTCGACGAGCAGCAGCCGGCGACGACGCCAAAAGTAGGCAGCGGGACGATAACTGCTCCTGAGTTGGAAGCGGTAACGGATTGGTTTGAGGTCGCATGGAGCGGCGCCCTTTCTTCGCTTCCGTCTACAAGCGAATTCGTGCAGGCATTGTCGGAACGGATTTCAAGCTTTGATCCACGGACGCAAAGTTAAGGGTAGTTTATCACTATCCACCCATGTGGACCGACTATACTGAGGAGTGAGATTGTTCCCCCCCTGATCTGAAGGGGAAGATAGAGGGGAAGAGGGCAACTCACTCGGCCAAGCCAGGATAGTGAAAAACTACCTCGAACAAAGTAATCGTTTTCGCGGTGATGTCGACCAGGTTGAAGTTGCACCTGTTACAAGCACGCGCGTCTCAAAACGCGGCTCGGTCGAATTAGGTGGTTCTTGCGCTTCGCCGCGGCCGCGACAGGCCTACCAGTTCCACAACACAGATGCACGACTGTCCAAACACAGAGGGTCTCCTTTTGTGCTAGGCCGTTCGCTAGTGGGAGGCCCTTCTGTGGCACCAGGAGCAACGACGACAACAGGTGCCGTGATGAGTGCTTCCTCGGATGTAATTGGAACAAAACTTGAAAGTGGAGGCGAGGATCTGCAGCGATCAGAAACGATACCTCCAGAGCTGCCGATCGGGTATTCCCCTGAGGTAATGAACCGCGTAGACACGACTGGCACGTCGTCGTCAGAAAGCACGACTGCGCTCGATGTGCCAGCTTTGAGGAAAAGCGGCATCGTGAACTTGGTGCCTGCGTCAACTACATCGGAGGTGCATGCTCCTGTATTAAACAAACCTCCGCCACCTTCATCTGGAATGAGTGGACCTACATTTTCTTTAGACGGATACAAAGGCAACCGCGCAAGCGGGGTGGACAGTGGAGCTGAGTCGGTTTTTAGTGGTCATCACATCGCGGCTGGCTGCACTCCGACGCGCGGAAATTCTATGCGTGGTCAGATAGTACAGCAGGATCCCTCCACTACAAATGTGATTTCATCGTCACAAGTAGACGCGGCAACAATGGCCATCAAGACCGGGGGCCACCACAACAAGCAGTCGTCTATGTTGCCGAATCTCGACCACCAGCACAGCGCCGAGCGGTTGAGTATTTCGTCGTCAGTTTTGAGTCAGCGGATGATGTCCGCATCGTGCTCTGATTCTTTTGACGCATCAGGTGGCAGGTGCGCCGAAGATTTGTTTGCGGAGGCGCGCGTGGACACGATCTCTGACGTCCAGGAGCCAAGCTTACCAGGATCGTGTCGGCAGCTGCCTTTTCTGGAGGCGCTGAACGTTGCTCTCGATGCCTTCGAGCACCACACGCTGGATCGCAACCTGCTGATCAATGGACAAGCGATCTTCGTATTGTCAGCAAACCACGGCGTTGTGTACACGCATAAGCAGCTGTTTTTGCTCACGCAACGACGCTTCTCGCGTATGGGAGTGCGCTGTTTCCTGGTTTGTTTCCGGGATCGCCCCTTGCATCGGGTGCCCTTGGTTCTGGTACCCAGGCCAGGAGGCCTCTTGCACAGCTATCATGCGGTGAAGAGGGATGCTTTCCTTTCCGGTGCCAAGAGGACAAGTAGTTCAACAAGTTGTGCTGGCATTGGCAAGCGAGGAGGACGAGGAAACTACAAGACGAGTCAAACACAAGAACATCACTCAGAACATCAACACCCAGATTTTTACGGGTCCTCTAGTAATATGGCAGTGACACTACAAGAAGAACAATACCTCCACACCTCCAACATGTTGAATGAGCTTGGTGGAGGTGTGTCGTGGAGGAATGCGAAGAACTCCGCTCCTGCGATTATTCAGACTGGCAATGAGACCTACAGCTCCGCCTCCGGCACGGTCACAGATGTGACCTCAACGATGCGGGGTAATATGGGGTCTGGTACCAATCCAGAAGTCCCTCAACACCAGACGGGGGTATCAGCGAGCATAGGAGGCGCAGGGGTGCAATTCGTCTTCCTAGATGAGCAAGGTTCAGATTCAAAAGAAGATGCACGGCATAATGAAGAAGGTCAACAAGGAAGACCGACTAGTCAAGAAGAAAGAACGACCGCAGCGGGACCTCCTGCCGCAGGAGGGAAAAAAAAGCAAGGGGCGGAGGCCACTACGGCTACAACAGGAGTATCCTCAACCTCTACGGGCACGACCGCGGCACCTGTGGCGAGAGGTACGGTACAACCACCGCCAGGACAGGAGCAAAAACATCTATTGGACGCTGTTGCGAGTCCTTCGACCTCATCGCCAAGAGGGTCCTCGTTGCATCGGGTTCTAGAAGAGGGGCCTTTTTCTGGCAGCAATACCGATTCCAGAGCGGCCAGCAGACAGATTCGTGAGCAAGAAGCTTATTTGTCACCACCGTGGCATGTGGATGGTAGTCCTGCTGATTCCACCCCAACGAGTTCATGCGAGTCGGTGAATGCCACTAATCCTACAATGACCCAGCATTCTTTGGGTGAACCGTCCCTGGTGTCGTCGGGGGGAGAACTTCTTCTAGACCACGAAACAGCACCAGCGCCGTCACAGCAGCTTCAGACAGAAGTAGATCTCTGGGGCGTGGCCTACGGCAAAACGTCAAGTCTCGACTTCGCGCGCCAAAAACTGAAAGCACAACAAGCGCACTCGAAAGTCGTGAGGCCTGGCGGCAAGCCTGCAGCTGAAGTCAGGGAGTTTTTTCCAGGAAATCATACTAGCAGTAGGAGAGACCAGGCTGCAGGAGTTGCACGAGGTGGTCGAGAGCATCAACAGCAAGATAACTTGATAGTCGGATCTGCGAGAGGCAGTCGAGAACGATTTCAGTCTAGTTCTGCTCATCGTCCTTTCAAATACAGCGCGGGTGGCGGCGTTCTTGGAGGCGGGCAGCTCTCCGGGGCTTCGCCAGTTTGGCAGCATTTCTACAGTAATCAGTCTTCCTGGGGCAGTCAACAAGGCGGCGCGCCTTTTCTCCTGTCGCGTGGCCCAAGGGTGGACCAGGAACAATGGGTCATCCAGAATGCGCTTACGCCTGAGGCAAGTCATCCTGACTTGCAGCACTTTTATGCGGCATCTTCATCGCCTGCTCTTCTTGCGGGTACTGGAGGATCGCACCAGTTTTTACATCGTGTGGATAGCAGTGGACAGCCCTTATCACACAGAATGAGCTACAATAAGTATCCTGGTTCTCCAGACCAACATAATTTCCTGATGAAGAGCGCCAGCAGAATGTCCTCGTCAAGTCTTATCGGAAATTGCGGGAGTGTTTCCCAGTTGAGGATGCTGGGCAGTATGCTCGCGGCGAATCCAAGCGGGAGCGTGCCGTCCCTCATTCCCAGCCCTGCGAGCAAGATACTCATGAGGCAAGTGTCGCAGAGTGGCTACCACAACATGCTATTGCAGCAGCAAGCGGCTAGCAGAGGGGAGCCTCTCAACATGTCTGGTCTTGCTAGCGGGCGAGCACTGTTAGGCTGTGATAGAGACATCCGTGCCAGCAACATCGTAGTTCGCGGTGACTACAACCATTTCTGCAAAATGGGCGCCATTGGGTCAGCGTCCTTCCAGAATTTACTAAGCGAAGCAGTTATGCAGCACCATAGTTTCGACCACGCTGCAGCTCAGCGACCGCCTCTAGAACAAGCAGGTCATAGTAATACCGATGGCGTGAGGACGGGATCTGCTCAACAGTCTTTATTATCGTCAACTTTGAACGGAACGACGCCTGGCGTGCATGCCTCTTCGGGCAAACTTTCGGCGAGTTCGACCATGCAGCGCCGAAGACACGGCGGACACGCCGTCCCTGTTGTCAATTATACGCAACTGCAACATTCCAGAGGCCGTAAAGTCACGACGAGACGCGATGGCATTCTGTACCTTCCCCTGATCGCGAATAAGGTAGAAGGGAGATACAACAGGATCAGCAGCTCCACATGGGTAGAGCCAAGTGCTGGTAGCAATACGAGGAAGCCTTTCCAAAAATCTCGAGGAGGACTTCTACTGCACAGCTCATATTATGGAACAATCCTCTTCCTCAGCTGAACAATCCTCAACGCCATCCCTGGCTCTTTTTCTTCTACCTGAAAATGAAGCCAAACAATCCTCAACGCCATCCCTGGCTCTTTTTCTACCCGATGAAAATGAAGCCAAGGATGGACTACTTCTCAGGGACGCGACAACGGTAGCTCTAATCAGATAGCCATATCACCTTCTGGGGAAATGAGCAGTTGAATATACAGCGGCTACATTTTTACGACAACGCTCTGCGAATTTGCGTACAGAAGAGGACTGCAGGCATTAGTGCCAGACGCGCACTAAAAATGAATATCCTCAGCGCGGCAGCATCCGGCGCGTCGACGTATGTACCTACATTAAGGCTAGTTTTTCATCACTTCTCGAGCATGTGCTGGAGCATCATTCTGACTAGCATCTTGTTATACATGATAAACATAGGACGAGAGAATATTAGAGCAAGGGGATCTTCCTCTCCTAAGTTACTCAACGAACAAGAGTCACTGTCAGAATGAACGAAGTCGCCGATAAAAAAGAGGATTTTCTACTTCTAAGAACAGGCTTATCTGAAAATACGTCATTGACTGCAGACTAACCAATTTGATCCAAACTCTTAGGGACGTTAACACACAAACAAAACGAAAAATGTCATCCAGCAGCAAACCGCCTCTCTGTCCTGTGATCTGGATTGTTTTCCTCTCTAGTGGAGTATGGTTTTAGACTATCTAAGGCTCGCAAGTAGCTTCTAAGAACAGGCGAACAATATCAGCCGAGAGCAGGCGGGTGGCAAAGGACGCCACTGAAGGGCCTCTTTCCGGAGGACGGGGGGAGTGGTGGGAGTGACGATGGAGCCACGACGCCTTCCGGTGGGGGAGCGAGCTGTAAGTCGAGCAAAGACACCAAGACGAAGACCGGTAATACAGCTGCGCCAGGAGTTTTTGTAGTAGTACAAGCTTCTTCACAATCTTCACCTCTTCAGTTGTCTAGACAAAGGAACATAGGACCAGTGCCGGTGGCGGCGTCTTCATCGCTTGAGGCAAGGGGTTCCCGAACCGGTGCTGAGGAGGTGCGACGAGAAGGGACTTCGCCTGCGCGCACGATAAATTTGGCAGCGCCAGTGTCGTCGTCCAGTTCTTTTCCCTGCGTTTCCGTTTCGTCCCCAGATAGAACAAGCATGATGAGCGTGCCACGAGAAAAACAAGTTCTTCCCGCACCAGGAGCTTCTTTGACGTCTGCCAATGGGGGTGGTGAATTGCATTCACACAGTCACGGACAATTCTACAACATCTATGGTGCTGACCAGCAGAACCCTGATTGTACTGCTGCGATCACCTCCCAGCAGCAGGAACGGGTGGAACGCGAAGGTCCCTCGGGGTCACCAACTTCCCTCTCCCACGAAGCTACCCTTGCTGCATCGACAATCAAAAAGCAAATGCGCAGTGGAACAAGTTACGGAGCAGGCCATCTTCACCTACAACAGGGTTCGTTTGCAACATTAGCAGGAGATGACTTTCATCTCCAAGTTCAACAGGAACATCTTGTTCCCCATGGAGGTGTTGTTTCACCAGGTGGAGATGTTTCGACGTCACCTGAGTTCACTGTTGTTGCGTCAGAGCCAGGGTTTAGGCGGTTGCGATACCAGGAGATGTTCGACGAGCTAGCCCCGAACTTCTTCGCTGTGGTCTATTATCCGGAAGTGTCGTTTTTTGATGACAGCGCTCTGCGACAAAATATCTCTTCGCTGTATGGTCTTGACAGCTTGCTGGAACAGTGCACGCAGTTTGAGCTGTCTCGGCAGCGGCGGATCGAAAAAGCCGCAGCGGAAGCTGTGCGCCGACAGGTAGACTTTGACCGTACCCAGATGAAAACAACTACGCCCAACGAAGGTGCTGGAGACGTTGGCACCAGTGATGCAGAAAATGATGAAACTGAAATATCACAAAGCCCTTCCACCTCTACTATCACGAAAAGATCAGATGGAAAAAGACCTCAACAACGAGATGAAGGAGCTGAAGAAAAGCTGGCTTTATTTCAGGTTGTCGGAATTGACGACGCCGGAAATGACACAAGCGCACTCGATTCGGATCCCGGAGAGCAAAGCAAGACGGTCATTCCAAACTTAAGAACAGAAGGTCATACGAATACGATGGAGGAAAGCAAGCAACTGCTGCTGCCTGAGGGGCTACTCTCAAATCATGACACTGAGCGAATATCTGCGGACCGCGGTGCATCGCGCTTGCGCACTTCAGACGTGGCGGACACGGACAGGATGCTTCCAGATGCAGGAGGACGTCAAAACAATAAGGCTTGGATGAAGCACTTGCAAAGTTGTTCAGCAGCTGCCGGACTCGCTAACAACTTCGGAAGTGCAGCGCTTCTCCTCCCGTCACCGGCTGAGGCTTTTTTCGCGTCCTATCGATGCCAAAGTTACTTGCAAGAAAGGCAGAACTTGGGACGGTTTCCGCGGGACCTGCTGCCGGGAAGTAGTAAAAAGATGGGGGTCTACGACATGGCCGCTTCGGGCACGCGCGTCCGAGCCGTTGTCGAACTTGAAGCCGTTCGAAACCCGCCGAAGCGACAAGAACTTGTAAAGTACTACAACAATGTGCAGCAGCCTCGCGGACGAATAGAACGACGGAGGTCGCGGCGGCGACTGCGACTGCGACGCTCAAGAATCAAAGCGGGAAACGGGCACGCCAAAAACCTGTGCGTAGGTGGAGATATATCAGAAGAGCAAGGACTAGGAGACGATGCGAAGGAAAGGAACAGCAGCTCCACTAGCACCAGTGGCACGACAAGTGGGTCCAGCGAGGTGAGCGAAGAGGACTGCTCAACGGGGTCCTCGGGAAGCGATCCTCAACTACAGCATCTTGGAGCCAAAGGACAGCCTCATCAGCAGGATCAATGTTCGGCAGGTTCCACTTCCACTTCCACCTCGCCAGCCTTTGTTCGGGTCGCAGGGCGTTTACGGCGCCCACTCTTTGTGCCACGGTGGACGGCCCAATTAGAGGACCATGTAGCTGCGGGAAGGCATCTTCATTTAAGGCTAGTATTTCACAAACTCATTTTTTTATTGAGATTTGGGAGGCATCTTTGAGTTTGACGCATTTTTGACGCGGGGGAAACGCACTGCGGTCAAAGATGAGCTGAAGGATGAATACAGGGAACGTCTAACTCATGCTGAGGAGCACAGCGAGGATTCCTCGACGAGCGTTTTCTCGACTCCACGGCCACCTGCCGTAGTCCAGACGTCGCCGCGACCTCTGTTAGGCGACGTGACTCCGCTTACAATCGGGGTTAGCAGTACTTCGAAGACCTCCACAGGAAGACTGATGCGCTTGGGGGCAACGCCGGCGAGTAGCGCGTCTTCTAGACTAGGAGGCAGTGGGCAGCCATTCTTCGTATCGCCAGCGAGGAACAACATGGTTACGTGGCCACGGATGGTGCGGGCGAAGGAGCCGCTACGCTTGGAAACGATGTTCGAAGTGGCGACTCCGAAGCACGGGGGTAGCGATTCAGAAGCGGCACTGACTAATACCACAACAGCACCAGGAGGGACTAACCAAGATGAAAATATGAGTCCCAGCACATCGATAACATCACAGAGCGCAGAAGGGCGATCTTCGAGGCCACTGGGAAAGGCAGGTATTGGTATAGCATCTTCTGCACCTCCCATCAATCCTGCCGATGTATTGCCTGCCACTGGTAGAGAATTACTCGAACAAGCTGCAGGTCGTGCGAGCTGGGTGGCATCGGCGTCTTCATCTGGCGTAGAAGTGAAGACGAGTGTGAGTACTGTGAACAATAAGCCAACGGGTTTGCGGAGAGTTCTCACGTCACACGTGAGTTCTCCTGGAATGGGGCTGCCGGTCTCGAGCTCGAATCCGCGAGTGCTGAAAGCGGGAACGCTGGAGCCGACGAGCGCCCGGCGTGTGCAGCTCGCGGGTGCTGTTGGCAGCGCGGCCGATTATCAGCAACAACCACTACCGAACCAGGCGGGTCAGACAACGGCCGAGCAGAAGCGGAGGTCGCGAAGCCGGCCGAACCCGTTCAGTCGACGGCATTCACGACCTAACATCATTGGCCGTGAGTACAATCAGCAAGGGGCGTCTTTCGCTTCGCATGCGGATGTTAGTCGCGGACGCCGTGTTTTGGCGCCCGTGTCGGAGAGCCCAATGCGGTCCGACGAGGGCGGCGGCGGCGATGAGATGACACCCATCCATATGATTTCAGCAGGGGCTGGCAGCACAACTACTAGGTCTGCAACTACAAAATCGAATTCGCGTGATCTTGCGCGGCAAAGGGGGGGAGGCGAAGCAGCAGAATCTTCGACGCCGAGTCTCTCGCCTGAGAAGCGGATGGCCCATGAAAGATCGACCTCAAGGCATGGGCGGCCGTCAGGAAAGAAGCTCATGGGACAAAAGGCGAAGCGCTTGCTCGGCAAGAGTCTCCTGGAGGGCAAACATCCACAATCCTCAAACGCGTTGTTGATCTTGAGTCAACGGCGACGCTTGAACGGAGCTGCCTTCAGCAACTACGGGTCCTCCAGCGGCGGGTATAAGAATCCTCGTACACTGCAGTCGTCCCCACTCGGACGAGCAGGAAACTCGCTGGCCGACGAAGACGAGGACCGGGCCGGGCAGCTGGTCGTTGGCCCAGGCGGCGCAACCATTGAAGACTTGGATGTCGAAGCACGCGAAGAGAGCGAGCGATGGGTCGCAGCGCGTTTTGAGTTGTCCGAAGAGAATCCTTCTTATTTCAAAAAAGCGCAGCTGCTTGGTCTCACGGCTCTCTGGTCGGTTCTGAAGTCGCCGCCTCTGCTGCCGATCTTCGTCGAGCGTCAAAGATCCGATATGGGACGCAAATCGGACAACTGGTCCTGCATCTCGACCCGAGAGGGCTCGGCGAACCAGCTGTTTCGGGATCTGGTCGGGACACGTCTTGTCTGCGGGATGCAAGTCTTCCGTGAAAAAAGTGATCGTGAAATAAGCATCAGTGCCAGTGCAGATATGAGAGCAGCAGTGGTAGGAGGAGGTAGCAAAGTAGATGTCTCTGGTGTACGCGCTGTTGTCTGCAACTTTGATAACAACTGGGAATTGTGTCACTCGATCGCCGATCAAATCACTGTGACACAGCACGACAAGGTGTTTGCTGCTGGGGGCGCTGCCGCAGCTGCAGGTGGCGGTGGAGCCGGAGGATCTTCACCAAGTGGGACCGACGACAACGCGACAACATTGCAACAGAGTTCCTTGCTTGCAGGAGGAGCCTCGTGGTCGCCATCGATGATGCGTCCGCAGCTGCACCATGGCGTGGGCAGCACCAGGTTAGGTCCGGCACCAGCTCCAGCGGGGACGCAAAGAAGTCTTTCACAACAAGCATTAGGATCTACTGCAACCGTAAATTTGGCGAGCATGACGGCGACTGGCATGATACAGGAGGTGGACACCGTTGCAACGAGCAATACAGCCATGCCTTCGTCCGGCAATGGAGACTCGGCTTTTCTGTCTGGTCCTCGCGATGCCACTGGTCAAGCCTCGTCCTTCGTCGTTGGCGGAAGCGAGCGTTCGCCGATAATGCTCGTAGCCTCTGGGTCGCCACAAGCTAGTGCTGCACAGTACGGCGGCAGTGGACCGTCGTCCGCCAGGAGTAGTAGTAGACTGCGCGCAACTTCACCTCCGATGGAGAATTTAAGCCGACAGGTTGTGCCGCGTGGCCAGGCGAGAACAATGGGCATAGCAGGTCAACAGGTTCGCCAGGGAGGAAACACGACAGGAGGAGTAGTCGATTACCGAAGTTCACCCCTTTTGGCCCATGCAACAAACTCGAGCCCGAGCGTGGGACCGAAGAATGCCGGGGATACGCTTTCGCCGACGTTGACGGGCGTTGTGCCCTTGCCGAGGGGTCCGCAGTCTGTTGCGCGCGCCTCATCCGGTCCATCAATCCCGGGTTGTAGTAGAGATTATTCGATGAGCAAGAGGGCCATACTGCATGAAAACGGCGCATTAGTCGACGGCACATCACCTCCAGCAGGTGAGCATCACCATCACGGGATTTCTACGGAGGAACACCCACTGTCTTTGTCAATGGGCGATGGCAATGGCTCTACTCCGCTCGCGGGGGCGCCAGGCGCGAGAATCGGGATCAGCAGGAGTCCCGCGTCTATGATGGGGAGGTATCAAGCAGCTCAACGAGGCATTGCGAATAAGCGGCCACTTCAATTCTTGCCAACAAGTAGCCCCAGTAATGGAGCTTCCAGAAGCGTCGATGTTGGAGCTATGCTCAGTAAAAACGATACATCTAGTTCCGCAGCACCATCGGCGTCTCGAAGCAAATCTAGTCGTGAGAACCTAGTACAGCAAACGAGATTGGCAGAATTTGGAAACAGGCGACAGCGAGACCAGGATGGCAGCACAGTGGATGAGGAGGGAAAAATCGCCCTTGCTGTTGCTGCACCAGCAGCGGTGAACGATACAAGGCCGCGGAAGAACATTTCATTGCCAGTTACACCCGAAGGAAGCAGGGCATTGGGGTCATCGGAGGACGAGACCACGAAACGCCAAGCTACAGAGTGCTCCTGTGCAACGTCTCTGGCCACCCTGCCCACTTCACGGCAATCATCTCTTGTTGACCTACCGGCTGCTGGCGCTCAACAGACGTCACCTCCAAACCTGCAAGGTGGGAGATCCGAAGGCGAAGGCTTTATCGGGGGTTCCTCAGCAGGGCAACCTTCTGCGCAGCTAGTGTTCAAACAAGACGAGCAAGTATGCTTGGTGCGTGGAAATGCCCTCGAGTTCCGGAAGCCACTCGAAACGTCACCGGCTGGTTCCCTGGATGCGGTGTCCGCGTCTTCCCCATCGGAAGGAACAATATCACCAACCAGCATAACAGGGACATCGGCTGGGAAGCGGTCTCTCCAAAGCGATGTCGTGCGTGCGCAGCGAGCCTTCTTCTCTGAAGGAGCTTTTCCTTTTGCTCCAGCTCTACGCGTGCCGGCGACTTCATCTAGTACCTCCGCTACCGCCTTTGCTTCTACCAGTGGAATTGAGCCGAAGATGTTGAACACTCGAGGTAAAAGAAGCGCGATAGCTCCTGATCAAGAGCTTTTCATATCAGGACAGCACGTTGAAGTTGATGCATCTGCACGCGGAGGTTCGCGTCATCCTCGTGCGGAGGGATCCGCACTTCCCGATGACGGTGAACCGAGAGCCGCTGCGCAATCGCGTCCGCTTAGCCCTATCGAGCTCGTTGAAGGAACGCCAGGCGCACATCAAGCGCAGCAGGCTTTTGCTTCGCCAAGCACGATGCTTCTCGAACAAAACGAAGGGCCAATTGGTAACATTGATCAATTCATCTTGTCAGGACCACCAGGTGGAGGGGTTGGAACCGTGCGGGGGTCGGTTCTTCTTCCAGGTGAGGGAAGCCTGCATCCTAAAGGAGGTGGCGGTGCTGGAAATCTGAATGCGCAAACAAGTCGCGCAGCTATCGATGACATCGTGTGGCCCTATCAATACATCCTGCGTCGCAACATTTTGCGGTTCGCGAAACGTGCATCTGCTTTCGCAGAGAGCGAGCAAGCCGCTCTTGCGCAACCGGTTCGCGGACCACGCCAGGCCGTCGCACCTTCATCTCAGTTAGCCGCTGGCCCGGACGAAGGCATGGACGCAGCAAATAAAAGCAGGAACAACTACACTAATAATAGACGGAGTAATTTCTCTACATCAGAGCTTGAGCAGGACCTACAGCAGGACCACGGAGGTGCAGCAGGTAGCTCTAGTACAGTTACCGGTCGTGCTGGAGGAGACGGAGATGATCGTGGAGGACTACAGGGAGCTTTTGAGGATGACGAGGATGTGGGAGGTCCGATGGACGCTTTAACTGCGTCGCCAGGGTTCCAGCGGTTGCTTAGTAGCAGTGCGAAGGCTTCCGATCCTTTCAGTGCTGCTTCTATGTCGTGTTCCTCCTTCTCCTCGAGTTCCAACTCAACGGGGGAGCAGGACGATCATGTTAGTAGTGGAGGAGACGGCGCAGGCGCTGGCCAAAATCAGGGAGAACCCACGAGGAGTGCAGCTGCATCAGGAGCGTGTTCAACGGCTTTCGCACTGCCAGTTTGGTCTCCTGAGTGCCGCGGGTCAGCGAAACTCTTCCCGCAGCTGCAACAGTCGGGCAGACAAAACGCACTTGTCGGGAGAACAGCAAGTGTGCAAGTAGGAGGAGGTATGCAGCGGACGGTGGGTAGCGTTGGTCTTCAAGTAGTTGGCGGTGAGGAAATGTTCGACGCGGCAGCCTTTTGCTCGCCGACTGCTGCAGCGCGCAGGAAAACAAATCAAAGTGGAGCTGTAGGTGTGATGTTTAACTATCAGAGAGATCTGAAGAGAGGCGTGATTTCGCCGACGTCACACGCCATTGGCATTGGGGGGGTCATTTCGTCCAACGTTGTCGAATCGCCGGGGCCTTATTCACCTCTGTCCTCCATTGCCGAGGAGTATGAACAGTACAAGGTACGCTGTGCACGCTCATGCGCGAATTTTTCGCGCAACGGTTGGGTTCTGCAGAAGCGCCTTTTCTGCCAAGCAGATCCCTTACCATGGAACGTGATCGACCAAATCGTCTCCGAGGCGCATCCTCTGCCCGCCGCAACACCATATCCACTCCCAGACCCCAACGAAAAGACGCCCTCCGCCTACCACACCGCGTGGTGGCGTCTGCGTAACGTGTTGCGCAGTATAGTTTTCGTCCTGCTTCCGGTAGACGAGCGGCGAGTGGAGCAGCGACAGGTTCGTGAAAATCTACGCATCGGTGAAGATCCCTTCCTGGTAGACTGCGACGGCAACGTGAGCGCTCCCTCTGGTGGCGGGGGCGGCCTTGGAGGAGGCGGAGAAAACGGCAGCAACAGCAAGTCTGGTGCACGCGCTTCTCCTGTAGTCGGGGCGGACTCCAATGTGAAAACGCGAGCTCCTGGAAAAAAAGCCCAACTTGGGAGTTCGAGCGCCAAAGAAAACAAACCCGTTTTATTCTCGCCCCCTTCGAGAAACAAGCAACATAAAGGACAGATCGAGGATACGCGCTATGTTATTGGGAGTGACAGTGATCCGTGGGCTTCGAGTCGAGACCCGTCTAACGTCTTTCTTTCTGAGGGCGTCGAGCCCGGACCGAATCTGCCTATTGCAGGAGACGCCGATGAAACCCCTCATATGGTTTTAAATAACCAGCAGGAGGACGCAGTGGACCACCAGTTAGGTGGAACCAGCAGTGCAGCTGTTGATCCAAGCAATAAAAGAAATATGAAGACCACTTTGTTGCCTGGAGTACAACCTGCTGGCCCTAGTACGTGGTCTTCCGCAGGAGCTCCGTCGTCATTAGTTGCTACTGGCTTCGGACGGGTAGGAGTGGCTCCTTCTTCGTTGTCGCCGAAAGATCCTTCTGATGGATCATCCGGAAAACTGGAAGATCATAAAAGCAGTACTAGTGATGAAGTGGTTGAGAAGGGAGCTACAGGTACAGTCTCACCCATCGTGGTACCGCGGAAATTGTCGTCGCCCGCACCTCGTCCTCTGGCGCCTGATTTGCGACCTCTCCCTGATTATAAACCTAGGCAGGATCATACAACTAGTATTAACGATGCACCACACGACCAGCACCAGACCGGTACAATGGGGCAAACAAGGAAGGGTCCGAAAAGGTCGCGACGTGAACGATACGTGGAGCATTTTCGGAAGCTGAAAGCAGGACTTGAAGCTTACCTCTTTTACAATGCTCCAGATGGAGAGGGTGAGCAAGGCGCAGACAAGAACAGGAAGAAGAATGTTTTGGACATTGAAATTCGGACGGGAGCGGTTTCATCCGCCTCCTGCGGGTCCTCCTCATTCCAAAGAGAGGACAATTTCCGACGAGCGCCCCCAACGCGTCGCACAGCCAAAGTTCCAGTGCGTTGGATAGAAAAAAGACCCAGCCCCTGGTCCAGCAATGAGTGGCTACAATTGCACCACGACAATTTCTACGATCCGCTAGATGTCTTTCACATTTCCGTTGAGTGGATCCTCTGCTCCAATGCTACAGCCTGGAAATTCGTTCAAACGTTGGCGCTGCTAGCGGTACAAAACCGGTTCCGGCTGCAGCCAATACCACACGGCGAGTTGTTGCCTCAACTGAGTCAGCGTGCAGTGATGAACAGCAACGATACAGAACTCATTTACAAGCGCTCACCGTTCTCGTCTCGCATCGGTATTCGCATTCCGATCGGTGTACGATTCAATCACTTGGTGGAGGCCCTGCTGTCGCCGCCGCTAAATCTCGTGCTGGTCTATCACCACGAAGAGAGAACCAGCAAAATAATCTATAACTCTAGTACAACTAGTACTAGAGCTGCAGGTGGCGCACCAGCAGGACTAGGAGAAGTAGGAGGTGGAGATGGAGGCGAGAAAGATCGTAGCATCGAACAAGAGATTTTGAGTACGGAAGATGAGCAGACGAATATGTTGGAAGGCAACACGAAGACGTGGAGTACCCTTCATCATCAGAACAATTATCGTTCTGGTGGTGCAGCCCGCGCTGGAGGAGCAGCCTCGTCTCAATTGGGTGGAGATCGGGTAAATGACATGCTCTCTCGCCTCATCGGTTTGGACTACAGTAACCCCGACATGCCAGGTTGGATCTTCATGCAGAGAGAGAGCGGTTTGTACTTTATCACCGTGACGCGAACCCAAATTTTTTGGACCGAATCCAAATTTCTGGGAAGAAAAGCAACAAAAAAGCTCAGTGACGGGATGATGAGCAGCTACGAGTCGCGAATGGACCAACATTTTGACGACTTTAAACGCGCTCTGCATCGCATCTGGTGTGAATCTCGACAGGTTATCATGAGGGGGTGGGATGAAGATGAACACTTCTGAGTCTCCTAACATAGTTTTATGATTCTATTTCTAGCTAGTTGATCTTGATGTACAACTTCTACGTACCTAGAGAAGTCCGTAGGGGCAAGCAGTCGTCGTGTCCTCTGGGCCAAATATCTGGCTTTTGAAATTAAAGGTCTACTAGGTTGGTACGGGGAATTAATGAATCCTTTTTACTTCAATAACATTTTTTGAGCCAGCTTCCTTCGTTTCAATCTCCATTATGCATAGTACACGACGAGGAGCTCGATCTTTGTGTGTTCCAATCCTTAGTTGTATGTGCAAGGGGTCCACCACGTCCAACCATTTGCCTTTAGCCTACCTTTACCTCTACCGCTTTCTTCACATTCACCGCCTACACCACACACCTCCCCATCCCTCATGCCTACGCTTATTGTTGAATAGTCTGTAAGAAATGTCCCCCAACAAGATATACTACAGGTTGTATAGCACCATCCATCATTCTGATTGAGGTGTGGCTACCCTATTTTTTTTTTATATCGTCCCTACGAAGACGACAGCCTGTTTATTGTGCTAGCGCGACCACAGTGCCACCAGAGTTCCCGATCCACAAGCGAGTCACAATTTCTTAGCTCATATCTTGTTGATTTCGCATCTATTCGAAACGATGTGCCTTGACGACATCTTCGTGAAGATGTTGTCTGACAGTCACTCGTAGGTTATCCTAGGTACTATCAATGTACAAGGAAAAACTAAAACAAGGAAAAATCTTTAGAAGAGAACATCAAGTACTTACAAAAGTTACACTGGTACGATTACGTGCCGCTTCTGCCGCCTGCTCTCCGAAGGAATGATGTAAAGAAGATAGCAGACGAGCAGGTGAGCATGCTTTTGTAGCAGAACAAGTTTGCGGCACGACTCTGAACACTCTGTCGATAGACGAAATATGAATAAGAACCACAAGGCACGACCACAACAACATCTATAAATATTACTTATAATTATATATGATATTCTTTTTGTCTCTATGTCTACTAGTACTACCAGCACTTACCTCCGAGTGACTTTCTTTGACGAAGCCAAGTAAGACTGATACGTCATCAAAAAAGAAATATGCCTAAAAAGAACGGATGAGTATTGTAGTAGGACTTCTACTTATGTATCTGTTCATTCTCCCTTATTTTTCTTCATCTCCTCCCTTCCTTGTCTATTGAAGCAGAAAGAATTATGAATACTTCTTGTCTTTTACTTTGTTTTGATTACGCCAGCCAAGTAACCGTAGGTAGAAGGGTAAGCAGCATGATACGCATAGCATCAGCGGGAAACTTCTACTACTACGACGACGACGACCCCGACCATGATATTGATTTCGTTGTTTCTCCGCCTCATGAATTGTAGGTGAATATTTTGGCTTTCGTTTTCTATTCCGGTTGTTTTCAATCCCCGATGATTCACAAGAGTCGATTTTTCCTCCAGCCGTCGCCTTGTCCTTGCCCCGACAAGGACACGGGTTCCCATGGAGCAGCTGCAAACTTCGAAGATGGATCCCGATTTTTGGCTTGTGATCCAACAAAGCGGACGTGTTTCAGGAGCTCTTTTTCTGTGCTTGTTTCGTCGGTGATCAAGAAGTTCATCAATTTTTGAAATTTTGATTGGTAAAAGGGCGAGAAAAATGGAGAGAGCAGTGATGATGAGAGAGCAGTGATGATAGATGTGGCAAGCTAGAGGACCCGCTAAAGGGGAAACACCCGGAAGCTCCTACTTTTAGACCCGAAGGCGCGCAGTTTTAAGGCAAGGAAAATTGCTGCTGTTCCCCGTGAATAGTTTCACTGTCATTCTGGTAGAGGTCGCAAATTTTCTCTCTGCTTTCGCACGAGGACACCGAGACCTACACCTGAACAAGTTACCTCTTAATTGTACTTAGAAGGAAGATATGATCTATATTATATCACATGACCACGACGAGCCATTCTTTACACCAAGATCACGTGCATGACTACATCGAAACGGATAGTATACCGACGCAAACCTCCCAAACGACGGCACGCATAGAGCAGCCGTTGTAGCGCAAACGACGATCATCAGCATGGTGCAGGCGCAGCCAGGATACGTCTTCCTGCACGTCGCTCGCGTGCATCCGGCACCAGGAGGCACCTCTTTCGCTCGCGTGCAACTGCTCGACCGCACTGGCAGACCTGCTTCGGACGTAAAATCCAGCGTGATTCCTGGCGACGTGCGCCGGCCGCTCCTCGAATTCAGAGTACGCGATCGTTCCGATGTCCTAGATTTGAGCGTTTTCAACGAAACTAAGGGGCACAACACCTCTTTCGGAAAGCTCGTTTTACCGATCCGGTGCGTCAAGCCCGAAGACATCTGGAGGGTCGACTACGGTCTGCAACGCGGTGGAGTGTCAGCATCCTCTAGTGCAGCTGGCGGAGCATCGGGAGGAGCAGCCCCGCAACCGCAAGCAGCACTGCAAGTGGTCGTGCAGTACTTGCCTGGCGAGTATCTGACTGAGTGCGTGACCCGACGGGCGGCGCCGCTTCTAGGTGCGCGACCGGAGGACGGCTATTCCGGTGACGCTGATCATAACAAACTGAACGCTTTGATAGACGAGCTTCGACAAAACTTCCTAGCGAAGTTGTGGAGCGAACAAACACCTGAGGAAACGAAAGAGAGGCTGCAGGAGGAGGACGAAAGAGAAGCAGCTGCAGCTCAGGCCGAACAGGATCATGGAGAGGACCCCTTTGGTCTTGACCACGATGACGATGTTGCCCACCTGCACGATCGGCATCAAGATCGGCAGCAGGTCGTGGCGGAAAGTGCGGACGCCATTCTTCGCGGAGGATCTTCAGGGCATAGCAGTAGAGCATCCAGTCGCGCAGGAAGCAGAGCAGGTAGCAAAACAAGTGTCTTGGGCGATCATGGAACGACAGGACAACTTTTTCATAAAAGTGGAGGCGCGACGAAGTCGACCGTGGCGCCTAGCTCGGCAGTTGACGACATGTCTAAGACTGAAAATTACTCTGCCGAGGTCCCTCCAATAGGCGAAGACGAAGTACTAAACACAAGGGAGGACATGAACCTCATCGATTACGAAGCACATCACCAGCACCAGGAGGATCAACTACAACAGGACGTAGCAGGTGGAGCAGGAGCGTCAGAGTACAGATTTTACGATGAAGAACAGAATGAAGCACACCAGTCGGATGAATATAGTACAACAAGGGCGGCACCACCAGGAGGAGCAGAACTTAGAAGTACCAGTGCAGGAGCTGCAGGGCCATCTTCGGGAATAGCAGACGCCTCTTCATCTCTTCAGAGTCGTATCTCGCAAAAGCTTTACGAAGTGAGTGGTCGAAGTCCATCCGCCAGCTCATCTTCGTTGCATTTGAAGAAGCCACAGCATATATCGTTCGCCGCAGACTGCACTCGGCCTACTGCAAGTTCTGCAACTAGCTCGCTTGCTAGAAGTGCTACAGCTACAGGTACTGGAGGACAATTAGAAATGAGCTCTTCACAATTAGGAACAAGCAACGTTCTTGGAGAAGTTGGAGCTGGAGGGACTGTACTAGGTGCAGCAACAGCAACTCGTGCTACAGCTAGTGCATCATTATATCCCGTGAGTACAACATCTAGTCGAGGGGGAGCAACCTCTTCCGGTGGAACGACGCCAACGCCCATGACAGCAGGCAGCAGCTTAAACTACAGCACTACAGCAAGCGGTATTACTAGACGTGGTATGGCCGGAATTAGTCCTCAGAGAAGAGCTGCGCAGTTTTACGAAAGAAGTCCTAGCCAGGGTTCTTCACGTACTTACGGCGGTAAAAAAAGCATCAATAGAGGAGCGCCATGCACTGGAACGTCGACTCCGTCTGGTGGTGCATCTGTATTGAGCCAGCAGCAGGCTTTTCGGTCAGCAGCTGCGCGTAGTGGACATCAAGATCAAGTAGGCCAACAGTCCCCCGCCAATCAAAATTAAGGCTACTACAAACCTCCGATCTTTGAAGGTTCATAAGTGTCCAAGGGACGACGAAGGACCTACAAAAAAAAGTAAAAAGAAACATACTAGTACAAAGGCTGGGCCAAGACTACAAAAAAAAGTTGATATGGTGACATCTAACACTAACAGAAGCAAAACACCGCAGTTTCGCGAACAGCGTCAGCGAGTCGTCTTCCTGGTTCAGCGAGTCCTAAAAATTGGCGACATCACGCCTCCACTCAACGAGACCCGACCGAATTAGAGCGAGTACGAGCGCAACTGCTAGAATCCGAATACAGGGTGCACGATTTGACCCAAGACATCGTCAAAATAAGGGATGAGGCTGAATCGGCGGCTAGTGATGCCAGAAAGTCAACCGATCGGGCACTATCGACACTGCAGAAAAAAGAGCAGGAGCTCTCCTTGGTTGTATGGCCGGAGGATATTTTCTGTCCGCAGATGCCCTTCATGATATTTCTTCCTAGAGTGAGGACATTGTTGTAACAATCCTTGTTTATCCAAACCTAGTCATAAATACAAATAGAAAGAAGATGATCTAATGCCTATAGCCAAATTGCGTGATAAGGAGGGGGCGCTGCGGGCACATGGAGAGACGATCGAGGTTTTAGAGGAGAAATTACGGCTCTTGCGGGAAGACTTGCGAGTTAAGACACATGACGAAAGCACTGTGCGGGCCTGTCGTGTGGAATGCGAAGAGCAGGCGAAGAGGCTTTCAATCTTACGCATGGGATGCAGAAATACAAAGTGCATATACTAGTAAAGTATCCCTATCTACTACTTTCTTATTTATCAATCTACTTTCTACTTCTTATATCATTTGTTGAATTTATATTTATTATCAATCTACTTTCTTATTTGATATCAATCTACAACAGTAGACGGTAGCGTACTACATCAGTATAATCCTCTCAAATTCAGTTCTAGAAGCCAAGTTGTAGCTTCAAACTGCTGCTCTTCTAATGCTTCTTCGAGTGGAGGCGGACGCGTTGCTTGAGCAAAATAAGCTGCTGACAGAGGAAGTTGCGGATCTTCAGGAGAAAGCTCGCTTAGAGCGTGGAAAGAGTGAGGGAGCGGCAGCGGCTGCGGGACAGGAAATCCAATCCTTGAAACAGTCACTACGAGAACGCAGTAGTCAGATTGAACACTTGCGGAGTGAAATGGGACGGATTGGAGATGAGGTAACAAGACATGGTCATTCGGGCGAGTTTCTGTGGTATGATAGTAGGAAGTAGTACTTCGATCTAGCAGTAGCAGCCGCGCGGCCCTCATGATGAATCAAAATGTTGACAATAACTACCTGTTACAACGCACATCACAATCTTGCAGCTTCACGGCACTCGTCAGCAGAATGTCGAGTTGGAGGCTCAGTGTCAGGCACAACGGGCGATTGCTGCGAATGCGGTGGGAGAAGTAACGCGCTTGCGAGGTCAGGTCGAAGAAAAAGCCGAAGAAATCCAAGACATTAAGGCTTTTTTATATCGATCGCCTGGTTGGAAGTTAAAGATACATACTTCCAGCAACTCTCATCTCTCGTTCTATACCTCATTTTTTAGCCATAGAATCAGATACCAGACTCACCTTTGCCTTTTATCCAGCAAGAAGTTGTTACTCTCATTTCTAATCAAAAAGCCAATGCTCTAGCAGACATGGGGAGGCAGCAGAGCCTACTCGAGCTCAAGATCTCCAAGCTTGAGGCCGACATCGTCGAATACAGAGCCAAGGAGCAAGACACAAAGATGCTACAGGAGAGGGCTGAACTCCGTACTACCTCTTCTACCTTGTATTTCATTGTGCCCCCTCTTTTCTATTTCTTATTCTTCAGTATTTTGACTTTCACTGTGTTGTTGAGCTTGAGCTCCTGAACGACATGAGTTTTTAGAGTTCTGCTGATGGTGACAAGAAGTCCGCAGAGGCGGATGATCGGCGGATGACCACGCGATGCACGCAGCTTTTTGAGTTTCTGCTGAACTTCCAAGAAAACTCAACATCAAATTGATGAAGAGGATATAATAATCTCCCAACAACAAGAACAACCACATCGACATCATCTTCAGAGGGAGCTCTCGAACGAACGAAGCAGAGTTTCAATCAAGTCTCCGCTGGCTACGTTTCCGAGTTAGAATCCGAGAACGCGATGCTGAAGCGCCAGTTTGACGTCCTCATGGAGGAACATCGCGAATTCCTAAGTCTGCAGAAAAAGAAGAGCGCCGAAGAATACTGTGCCAAGGTGGAGGAATCTGTTACGGAGCGGAACGAATTGACTGCTCAACTGATGAAGATGTCTGAGGAGAATGGACATTTGATCCGGGAAAATGCAGATTTGACCAGTGTCAAGTCGAAATTACAAGAACTAGAAAAGAAGTGGCTTGCACAGAAAGACCGTACTAATGATGATAAAATGTTGATGTTCTAACTTGTAGCATCCATGCAAGTTCGTGTTCATCTTCTATGTAAAGATGATCATATTCATAGCTGGTTGTATAAGTACCTAAAAATCATGGCTGTAGCAGCATCACAGACTATGCTTCTCGATCTTGTCGGTGTGTGTGACGTCTGTTTGTTGTCCATTCTGTAGACGGTGGCCCTTCCTCAGTCCAAGAGGTAGGGAGCCATTTCTGACTCTTTCCCCCCTCACAGAAAAGTAGTCCTTCATTCTTTCTCTTTTCGGAAAAAGTACAACTACAACAGAAATCGACTTTCACGCGGACTATTCGTCAAAGCTTGGTAATGAGTTGAAGGATGCTCACGCGGAACTAGCAGAGCAACGGACTCAGATAAGGAATATGACGAATTCCTTCACAAATTCTGAGAAGATCGCGACATCTCAATACGACAAACTGAAACGAGATTGCGAAGAGAAAGAAGAGAAAATACAAGCGCTCATTGCGAAGGTACTGTAAGTAAAAGTAGCTACAAGTCGTGCATCTTGGTCACTAGTAGGTGGTAGTACTTATAATGATTGAAGACTATGCTCACACTTATTCAAATAACATAGAAGTAGACATGTTAATGCTGTCCAAGCTTATAAAAGAAGTAGGAAGTCGAAGTACACATATAAATACCCTTTCTTGTTTAGTACCTCTCCAAATTCTTCACGATATATATAATCAATATCGGATTGTAATTTCATCACCTCCTCGCACCAGGTCGGCGAACTTGAGCGTGTGAAGTACACACCGGTTCCTTACGACCCGATCGACGCGGTCCTGCACCGCTGGATCGAGGGGTTGAGGCCTGCCGTGCCCTTTTTCCGCATGTCTCAAGGCTTATACCTGTTCGGACGCAGACAGGTCCACTGTCAGATCAACAACGAGCGGCCTGTCTTTCGAGTTGGTGGCGGCTTTTTAGGCTTTGAGGAGTTTTTGGAGAAATATCAAGACGAACAACTGGAATTGTTGTTGACAAAGGAGACACTCGCAAAAGGACAGTGCTTTTCTGAGCTGAAGCGCATACTACTGGGAGGAACAGACGACGCAGAGCTACAGATGTCGCAGGATCAACTTCATGTTCACTACAATTAGTGGATAAGATCAGGCTATCAGGTTTTGACTAGAAGAAGTAAAAAGATGTTAAGACACTTACTGCTGGTAGAAAAACTACATACTCCATGATTTTCCATTCCTTTCATTCAACATTCATCATACGGCCCCGTAAGCAGCTCCAAGACAAAGAAATTTCCGGCTGTCTTACCACGTCTGTTTTTCCTAACTGAGCACTGTTAGCCACAAGAAGAACCATATCATGTAGAATCATTCGATATTCGTATTCGACTAGCACGGAGGAGCATCATATGCATCTGCTCTTTGCTTCGGAGATGAAGTAAACTGATTTATTATGCAACTAGCTATTCCTATGGGCAGCATTGTAGTTGTAGCGACTGTCATTATTGTACAGCAAGAAGAATGTATAGCAACGCGTGAGTAAACGGAAAGCGAAAGATAATGACACGATTACAATGTATGATCATTCGAGCCACCAGCAATTTCAAGACGAATTATAAAAATGGACACTGCTCAAGCGATTTTTTCATCGGAATGAGAAGCAAAAGTGTTATAGTCACTATAGTGAGCATCAGCATAGCCTGTCGTTTTAGTAAACATTGTTGATCATGTAGAGCTGCTTCTTATCGTCGGCGTTGAGCGAAGAAGAAAAAAAGATCGATTATACTGATTCCATTCGTTTTTCTGTCAGCATGCAGTAGTGTTTGGGAGAAGAGGATGCTGATGCCCGAAAGAGCTAAAACACACATCTAATCTATGTCCTCGAGCTCGAGCGACACTATCCATTCGCAATTTACGTGGCTTGTTGAGAAAAAATATATAGGTCCCCTACTCAGGCCCTGATAGCCAGGTCGGGTTTTTGTGAGCGTTATAATTGTAGTAGAACCTGAGAAGTTGCTAAAGTCAAATTCAGAGCAGACCGCGACCGCCAGGGAAGAGGCCTTAGCTGAAGATTTTTCACCTTGCTTAGCGTTTTGCACATGTGAAATGGCTTTTCGTCTTGGTTCAGTGGTACTTACTTCTGTTGAAGATGAAGAAGCAAGTAAAGAGCGGAACCAAATTATTAAGAGACGAGATAGACAAGACCAAAGAGGGCCATGTCAATGTGTTAAAAAAAAGTCATCAACGGCCACGGCCAGCACGCTGGTGGCTTTTCTTGTAGCGAGACTGGTTCTTCGCAAGAATCCCAAACGACTAGAAAGTGCTTCAAAACGCGTTGTCGTGCACCAGAACGCGTCTCGATCTAGATAGTATAGAAAGTGGATGTGCTTGGTATTTTGCTCTGCTAGTTCCTTGCAGAAGTCAACTCTGTTGAGCCTGGGTGATGGCATGCGCGTCGAAGCAGGGTTCTTTTCATAATTAAGTGAGAATCATGCGTTAAGTCTGAAGAAGAAGATAGCTCTTGGTTGTTGGGAAAAAATGTCGTCCCTTCTCGCGTGGCCACTAGAGGGGTACTCTTCGCGGGCACCACCTGCTCACGAAATAAGTTCCGAACCAGCAGCACTAGCTGCGCCACGAAGGCGAGGCAGGCCGAAGTTTCGTGTCGGTCTTTCAATCGGAGCGGACCCGACCTCTCTCGACTCGGCGAGCGAACATCGGTTACGCCAAGAGTTCAGTAATATCACGAAGGCTACTCCTCACATCACCAAGACAAGTGCAGGTGATCCCACTGATGTCGGACGCGGCCAAGACCAAGCAAAATATCAAAATATCATTGACGCGGCGGAAGCAGGTGGTTCAACAACGTCTGCACGGCATGTAGCAACGTCTTCATCGAAAGACTTTGTAGTTGTACATGATAATACTTCTAGGATCATCAGCAGGAGTGGTCAAGAACAAATAGGCGTACAACTAGGTTCTCCGAACACCAACACCACCACAGGAGCTAACAAAAATACATCATCAGAGGCACTGAAAACTTCTCCCACCCTCTCCGTTTCCTCTTCAGCAAGAAGAAAGATGTCATTGAAGCGTGCACTGATAAAGTCATGGGCAGAACGCGAGGGAGCTTCGCCACGCACTGATCCTGCTTCTACTACCGAGACGTCGATTGCGGAGGATCTAGATGAACAGCTAGGCGTTGAAGATCATGGTGAAGATCCTCTACTTCGATCGAGTGCGGGAGGCCCGGTGTCATTTTCGAGAAGTGGATCACGGCAGGCAAGAGGTGGTGCGCACGGTGATTTGATGAAAAGGCGTGGGCTGCTAGCAACTAGTGCGTCGCATCGTGGGAGAATAGGAGTTGGAGGAAAGAGAAAACTTCATAGACAGCATTTATCTCCCACGACAATAGCGAGTAGTGACCAGCACTCAGAGGTGGATTATGGGCATGCTCGTTTTCCTGAATCGAAGATGAATAACAGCACACCTTTCAACATGACGCCTGCGAGTTCACCCGAAATCGCAGGATCGAACGAGGGGAAAAGTCGCCCACGGTCATCAAAAGAAACCACGAAAGCGAAACGTAGAACAAGATCAAAGACAAAAGGACGACAGAAGCACCCAGACGACGCTGGGCAGGGAAATGAGGGAGACCTTCATCTAGATCGTTTTCGTTCCTCTCAAGAACAGGAAGTAGATGATGAGTCTTCACCAAGAGCAGGAGGAGCTTCGTCGTCCGAGCCTTCTACTGCGAGGAAGTTGACAGTCGCTCAGCGCCTCCGACGCGCTGAGGAGCAGCGACTGTCATCCGAGAGGCGTGCGAAGGATCTCGAGGCCGAAGTGCGTCGGCGCGAGGCTGACATCGAGCATGAGCGCAAACGGCGCCTTGCGCAGGAGGCGGAAAAAACCGAAGCTGAGGAAAAATACCAGTCCGCGCTTCGTGCGCTGGAGAAGCGCTTGTATGAGGAGCACCGCGAGACGCTGACCCGGCGCGAGCGCGAGCTGCTGGCGGAGCACGCCACCGCGGTCGCGACCTTGGAGGGAGCGCTCACGACCGAAAAGCATCACAAAGACGAAGCACGGAAGGAGAAGGAGAGAATATTTGACGACTGGCAAGCGGCTTTGGCTGAGGCACAAGCCAGCTCCGGGAAATATTTCGTTAAGGCTAGTTTATCACTATGGAGTCCCCCTTGATTTAAAGAAGAAAATAAGGGGGACGAAAAGGACATACCACTCAACCAGGGATAGCGAAAATCTTCTAGCGTTAATTTTGCGGCCTTGGAGGAGTTTGAGGACGAAAAAAAACGGCTGGAGCAACAGCGGGAGGCAGATCTGGCGAAATTCGAGGAAACGTTGCGGACACAGGTCGACGCAGCAGTGCCCCAGATCTTGTTTCAAAATCCCATGATTTCGGCTGCGTTTCAGCCAATGTCCCACTCGATGAACTACAACATGAAAACCGGCACCAATAAACTCCTTTCAGCCGACGCAGCAGCTGGCGGTGGTCTTGGTGGCGGAAACACAACGCTTCTATTACCTCCTGTGACTGAGGAGCAGCAGGTACTAGACGTAGATACAACGCAATTGAACTTGAACAATGTTTCAACGGCAGCTGTAACGGAACTGAATATGCCGCTGACGCGTCAACTCGCCTCCGGAGACGCCAAAAGCTTTTTCGAGAGGCCACCATCTGCAGATGGGATGATCCTCACGGAAATGGCAAAGTGGACACCAGCCGAGACGGAAATGTACTACCGTTAAGGCTTCTTGAGAAAATCAAAATCTATCTTGTTTTTTGAAACATCTTTATCTTAATCTTTGTTCTTGGCCCCATTTATTCTGTTTTTGAAGGCAAGAAGGGCACCACGATGCAGGAGACGGGGATGGATTTATAAGCAAGGTCTAATACCGTCGTAAATTCGAGTCGCGCAGTCAAGAATTTGAGGCTATCGGCAGAGCTCCACCTCCTGTAGCTGCGACTCAACCAACAGCCAGGGTCGTGGTAGATGCAAGCGCTGATCTTCGAGGTTCGAGTTCTTCGGAGTCGGGCGAGCCAGAGGCTGCGGTCCAGCACAAGATGGTCAATATCGGCTTTTCTTCTTCCTCATCAGAAGCAGCGCACTCAGGCACGGAAGCGACACTGCTTCGAGGAACACAGGGAGCAGAAGCAGCGCACTCAGGCACGGAAGCGGAACTGCTTCGAGGAACCAAAGGAATACGGCGAGACGATGAGGCAGTCGCCGACGCGTTAGCGGCGACGGCATTGAACGATGCAGAGCCGCACAATTTCTATGCGGAAGCAACTGCAAATATGAGATCAAATACAAATTCTACGTCGGCAGTACCGGGTCAAATATGCGGTACAACTACAACAGCGCTAGGAGGTGCAGGCCTTGCGGCATCAGCGAAGCTAGGTCAGTCGCTGCGCTTCAGTCTTGATCCCGAGACGGGATGCTTAGTCGCGCTCGGTCGTGGTGTGGAGAAATTGCGGAGGCCACTGTTCTACCAAAACAGCGAAGACATTCGCAAAATGGGTCAGCGATACCAAGAAACGCATGCCTTCGAAGAGGTGCAGGTGCAAGAACATATCTTAAAGAGGGAGAAAAATACTGAGACTGCTGCTTCGGGGTCTCAACTACACATGAGGACTTCGCCAAGACGGTGCAACGGATCGCGTACCACAGATGCGTCTGGACTCGGAGTTCACCAGCGCGATACCGCGATTGCCGAAGCACGGGGACTAGTAAGTCCATCCAGTGCAGCAGCTGCTGATGGTGCACCGGCCCGACGCTCTCAAATGCGGTCTGCAGATCCCACTGGTGATCTGTGGGATGAGGTGGCTTGCGATTTTTTGGACGGTGAGCTGAAAGCCAAACTTGCGACTGCAAGCAAGTCGAGTTCTACAACATCGGAATGTGCCGTCCAAACGATGCCAAGTAGCACTGCAGGAGTCCAGACCTCACCGCTGAGACGAACGTCTGATGCGCGAGGAGGCTCTTTCTATGAAGGAGCGGATTCTCTTGATAAAGTAGGCACATCAACTACAGCAGGAGTTCGATTTGCGAGTTCAGTAGCTGCTCCGTCAACATTCGAGGATGATCCGGCAGAGCGAAGACACCCGGTTCCAAGTCTCGCGCGACTGTTGGCAGTGGATGACGATGATAGCAGCACTACGAGTCTACTGATCAGTAGTGCAGATGCAGGCCACTCATCTCCTGACGACCTCGGACGCAAAGCGGCAAGGGCGCATCGCCGAAAGATGAAGCGAGCGGCAGGAGGAACAGGTGGCAAGAAAGCTACAACTGGTAAGACCTCAACATCGCTTAGTAGAAGAAATTCGATAGAATCACGTACGAGACTGGCTGGGTCAAGTGCGTCCTCGTACACGCGGAGTCGGTCTGCGAGTCAGAATCGAAATGCGGCAATAGGCAGCTCCGCTTCTAGAAGCGCTAACACCTACAAGGGAGGTGCATCCACTTCATTGCGCAGCTCCCTAGCGTCCAGACCCGGCAGCGCGGCGACTGGTAGCAACAGTGTGTCGTCATGGCGAGCGACACAGTCATTAGATATCGATAGATTAAGAAAGAACAAATCCACTTCTTTGGACAGACGAGGTGGAACTCCGGGTTCAGCGACTCGGACGAGGGGCGGCAAATCGAGCGGCGAGGCCTCATCGAGTTCGCCTACAGTTGTTTCTGGCTTGAACAAGATACAAAATCGAAGTTCGGCTGCGCGCGCTTCCGCAGCATCAAGCGGAAGGGGAGCGAAAAGTGGAGCATCGCCTCTGCTGTCTCAGCAGGATTCAACGTACTTCTTGCGCAAATTCAACCTGAACGAGCACGAGGATGACGACTCAGGCTCGCCTCTGTTTGCAGCGTCCACTTTGGGAAGAAGAGCAGGTGGTTTTGGTGCGTCTGCATCACGTACTTCGAAGAGTCTAGGAGACAACAGTCTCAGTCGCGACAAGAAAATGAATCCTTTTGGGTCTTCCTCCGTAGACAGGGACAAGACAAACAATCGAAATAGTGGTGGCGCTACTGCTTTTACTAGTCAAACTAGAGCAGGAGCAAATCTTCCACCAAATTCAAATTCTTTTACTACTAGGGGAATGTCAGCATCTCCGAAGTCACCGTTGCGCGTGCGTCACGACAAGTCTCTCTTTTCTGGCGCCAAAGACAGCGGCGACAAACTTTCGTCCTCACAGAAAGACCTGTACGAAGCCCTATTCGAAAGCAGGAGAAGTATGAATAGCAGGAACAAGCAAGATAATCTTCAAAACAACTCTGGAGCTAAAGGTGGCGCCACATCTTCAGCGTCCTCATCTTTATATACAAGTGGAGGTCCTCGCCCTGCCTCGTCTAGTAGTCGCAAAAGCTATGACAAGGAGAAAGACCTCCACAAAGCATTAAATGTTCCTGGTAGAAGTAGTACTGCCGAGGTGGAGGAGGTGGTAACGAAACTGAGTTTAAACCAAAAGCGTATCAATCAGCTGAAAGAAGAGCTGAAAAAAGACATCGAGGACGCGGAACAGCGCTTTTCTTCTCAAAATCACGTACTTTCAGGCGGTGTCGGACGAGGGAAAGACTCTACTAGTACTACTGGTGACTCAGGCTCCACAACGAATAAAGCTACTACTACAACTGGTGGCTCAGGCTCCACGGCGAATAAAGTACTAGATGACAAAAAAGTAGATGACAAAACTTCAGCTGATGCAGAAGCGGCATCTCCAGAGAAGATTTCAAGTCTCATGCGGGAAATCGACGAAGAGCTTGCGCAGTTACGAGGAACGACACGTAGGAGTCCTAACGCCGACAAGAATGCAACCGCATCTTCTAGTACTAGTGCCGACCATTTTACTTCTGCGCAAGCGCATGGAGGATCACGAGGAGGTGATAAAAACTTGTCCACTGCGAACAGGAGAAGTACGGAAACAGTGCGCAATAGTTACAGTTCGGGTGCAGGCAGCGACGACAACATGGATTGGAATATCAACCTGGATGATGTGGGTCTGGGAGTCTTTAAGGGGTCCCACATTGCATTCTGCAATTGCATCCTTGCATTTTTCTAACAACAAAATATAAATATGTGCTGAGGAATGCAGTGTCGGAAACTCTAAAGTCTCTGCAGCCGCAGTCGATCTCGAAGCCCTACGTTTCAAGGTAAAGGCAGAACAGCAACGCATGAACGAGGAACATCAACAAGAGTCTTCAGCTACGTCATGGGACGTCTTTCCACCTCCTACAACAGCCGCTGCTGGACTCTCCTTCGCTGACAGAAACTGTAATTCGCCATCGTTTACGGTCCACTCGACGTCGCAGGGAAATAACAGTGCGCATTTGAATGTGGACACGGCTGTCCGCAAAAAGCTGCGAGACATCCAAAATTAAGGCTTATATATAGCGTAATTCAACATCTTCTTGAGTATGAGATGCGTCTTTCATTCTATTTTTGTAACTTGAAATCACCAAAACAAACCTCTATTTTTCACTGATTAATTTTATGAGATGCTTAAGCTTTTGCTTCGGGATCTCCAAAGTCTAACAAAAGCAGGAAAAGAATGCACGGTCCACGTCGGGGTCTAGCAATTCGGTTGCAGGGCAATCCAAAAACAAAGAGAGCACAGACGAAGAGAGTTTCGACTTCTCGACCTTCATGCGAGGAGCTAACAGCAGAGACGAACAAGCAAGTGGTGTTGCCGACTCTGCACAACGCGCGAACAAAATAGCAGCACTCGAAAAGGAGTTGGAGGACATGTTTAACAAATAAGAGACGTTTTTACTAGTAGCTAAAGCTAATATTGAAATGACAGGAGACCAGGAATCTTCTTCTTCAACAACAATCATCTTAAACTACAGATATGAAAAGTCATATTAATAAAAAAGTGACTATCTGGATCTGCTACAAACTACAGTAATTTTTTTCAAGACCTGGGAATCACCAATCATGAAGACGATGAATCCATTCGATAGATTGTAAGATAACTGGTGTCCAACAAGTACGTTCTGTTTATTTTTCGTTGACAATGATGCTACTCCTTCAGTGGAATCACAAGCGTTCTCAATAGAATACGACTGATTTTATAGAGATGACAATGATGCTACTTCCTTCGTGGAGGAATCGCATACTTGATGGACTTTAATACTTGAAATATTAGTACTTGATAGAGCCAGTATGTGTCGTGGACCGAAGTTGTAGGTGAGTGCGATGCACTAGAAGATGATGCAGCATTCAACGTGGATGTTGATGGATTCGCAAGAATTGCATGAGCAGAAATACTAGCTGGTTTTATCCAACTTCTGCATCTGCTGCAACTGGGGATGATACAGCCAGGTGAATGACGGGCGTAGGGCATCTGCAAGGGCGAGCGGTAGTCGTAATCGTACTGCTTCAGTCAGTTCCAGGTATGAAAGGAGTTACACGTAGCAGTTAAACTCTGATAATAAAAAATCGGTTTCATTCGATACACAGACAAATCTTTGTGTCTGGCATCAGATTGATTCCAAAAAAACGCTACAGATGAAGCAAATCGAGGAAGCTGAGCTAGTCGTATTATCTTCCCCTTCTCGACGAAGAAACCAGAGTGGACAAAGAGGCTCTAATTACCCGAGAAAAGAAAGTATACTGTTTTCCGAAACTTGCAAAACAATAAAACTACGTCTGAAGTTCATCTTGTTCAGGCCCCCATCAAATAAAAGCAAGACTCTAGTACTTGTACTAGTTCATCTAGTTGTAGTCTCTATGAATAGAATAACATCTATAAAATATAACCACGAAAAACTACAAGAAGAAGTTTCACCAACACCACCTCCTGGGTTGGCTTAGGGTTGGTTTAGGGTTGTTTCCGCATGTCGCTGAGGGGAGATAATTCGCCGTCAGACGGTGGGGGAGGACCTTGTTCCTATAATGAGTTCTTGAGCCCTCCAGCTTCCGGGAACACTACATCTACAAGAAGAGGAGCCGAGGACCACTTGCCCGATTTATCCTCAACACCAGCAGGTCTCGACGCGGCGGGAAGCAATCTGCGTGCGATCTACGACTACTATGATCGAAAAGTGAAGGCTTTGAGCACGCCAGTTGTAGCAAAGGAGCAAGGCAGAGGTTCTTTGTTTCCGAATGAGGATGTTGGAGGTGCTTCGTCGTCGACCAAGCCTCCGCACGCATTGGATCTCCCGTCGCGTCGCGGCCGTCCCGGTCGGACAAGTTCCGACTATTCACAACGCGAGGATCCTATCGGAGTGTCTTCCGCATCATCGGCGACAAAGAAGTATCTTCTCGACGCGAGAGGTCCCACGTTGAGCAGCGAAAGAAAGCGTGTGTCGAAATCTCCGAGAGCCGTTTCGTCGCCTGAAGCCCCAGCTTTCGGCTCGTCCAACGCTGCACGAATAGCGTCAGGCGGGAGCACATCTTCACGACCAGGGTCAAAAAACACAACTACAACCGGTGCTGGAGGTGCGCGAGACTTGAGTAATTCGCGTGGGGGAGGCCCGTCTGCAGGTTCTAGTAGAAGAGGTGCAGGTGGCACAACTACTGGGATTGCCGTGGTCGTTAAGGCTCACAATTACAATCATTCATCTCGGCATCGGCTGGTCCTGGTGCACATATTAACTTCTCCAAAAGCGAAACTGGAAAAAAAGCTCAGGCACTGTTGATCAATGACTTGTCACGAGCTCGTCCTCTAATGCAGGTCGTGGCGGAGGATATGCAAATGGCGACGAGGATGCGGCGTCGCCAAGTAGTGCGTCGCCACCAGGGGGCGGAGCAACTACTGGCCTGTCTCGGTATCGACCTGGACCACGCACACGTGGAGGTGGAGACGTCGGGAGTGCTGCTGCTAGTCCAGACTTAAGGCTTCCCCTAATGATCCATCTTCAGCAGCATCCTGCCTGGGGAGGCTTTCCATGTATCTCATCAGGATGGACCAGCCGCCTGGTGACGGTGAGCTCTTCTTCTAACAGACCAAGACCAAAGACCAAGGGCAGGCGCTCGATCTTCCAGAGGCGGGGAGCACATCCTGAATAGTTCACGCTACGTAAGACGGAAACTGTCCGACGCGGTGGAAGAGGAATTGCACGATGCTCTGCAGGAAATAGGCGAGTTGTGCAAGCAGATAGAGAAGCTGCGTGCCTCGTTGGAGCGTAAATTAAGGTTGCTTAGTTTTTCATTATCCCGTGTGGACTAATCGATCCCGTGTTCTTCGTGTAGTGGACTATGCTGAGAGGAGTCCCCCTCGATTTAAAGTAGAAAATAAGGGTGGAATAGGGCAACTCACTCAAGTAGGCATAGTGAAAAACTCGCGCTAAGTAAAAGCGAAGAAGTAGAACGAGCACGAAGGACGGCGAACGTGCTAGAAAGCAAGAATCGAGCGCTAGAGGCAGAATTCCACGAAGTGAAAAATACTGGGAAGAAACAGGTACTTCTTATTCCCGGTTGTTTGTTGCACCTTCTTCATCGTGTTCATTCTTGTCTAACCTTTGGTGCACCTTCCATGCTACTAGAACAAGATACTTCTAGCAACATATAGACTTCTTAGAATATGCAAATATAATCCCTATCCGTACTAGTTCCTAAATTCCAATTCAGGTGGATATCTTGAAGGAGGAAGTCTCACGGCTACGCGAGACGGTTGATGTCGACCGCAGGAAAATAGGGGAGGCTTTCCTAGGCAAGCTGGAAACGCTCGAGAAGGACAAAGACAAAGCGTATCTTTCCTCGACTAAATCTTTTTGATGGTGAGCAGCTCTAGGTCTAGCTGCAACTACTACTTACACATTATAATATTAATAGGTTCCTCATCTTCTGCAAAAAATGATAAACTACAACTTGAACTTGCAAATCTTTGCCTACAAGTATGACGCACTTCGACTACAGGACGCGCGATCTGAAGCAGCAGCTGATGATCACGAAAGACGAGGGACGAAAAGCCGCACTCGAAATCGATTTTTTGAAGACCTCTTTGGAACAACGCGAAGTCTCGCTATCGGAGCACTTGAACGCGTTCACCGAGCTCTCGGATAGTCATCGCGAACTTGCACAAAAGCTGGACAAAATTTAAGGACTGAAATGGAAATGAGGTTGCATCTTCAAAGTCTACTAAGTCATCATCTACTTCTGCATCATCTGTGAGTGTGAGAAGAGGAAAGTACTTCTTTTTATCCGGATGTCCCTAGGTCCAGATGTCCCGAATCAGCAGGTCCAGTTAGAGCTAGAAGAAATCCATCTTCAGCGGCATCTTCCGTCTTTTTTCCCTTGAGAAACGGGACCAAGATGCCTGTGAGGATGGATTTCTTCTAGCCTTAATCCAGATGGATTCCTAGCAAGGTGTCTAAACATTGCAGGACGAGTCTTTCGTAGCGGAGAAGGAGCTCTACGACCGGTCACGCGAGATTCAGACCAAAACAGGGTTTGTATTGGAATTGCAGGACCTGTGCAAGAAGCTGCAAACCGAGTTGCGCGAGTCAGTAAAAAAAGCAGAAAAAGTGGAAGCCGAATTGGAGAAAAAGGAAGAATTGCTCAAAACAGTGCAGGAAAGGTACACATTCATAATGTCAGCACAGAGTTCTTTCCTCGTTATTTGTAGGCACTCTGTGCTTGTTCTGCAGCTTTTGTTTCTACGAAAATTCAAAGTTCTCTGCGACTGAAGCTACCTCCTTTAATCATCCATGGTGAATTGCGAATGAAGAAATGAGAAATATGATTGTTCAAACGGAATTGGAATTGGATAGCTTACTGGCTAACTTTTTGCTACAACTCATCGAAAATTATATCTCAGACTCAGCGACGCAGAGGCACGACTGAGAAAGGATAGTGCTTTGGAGCGTGAGCTTTTTGCCTTGAAAGAAGAAGTGCATCAGTTAACCGTTAGCAAGAGCAGTTTCGCTGGTCAAGTATCTGACTTGCAGAAGACGGTTCTCGAAAAAGACAAGCGCATTGAAGGACTGCAAGAGGAGATGCTGACTGCACGGGCAGAGGCCTCCGTCGAAAAGAAAGAGAAAATGGAGAAAGAGGTACTTGAGAATGTTGCTGTGAGAACACGTTGTATTTGATGATTTGAAATCAAGGTATGCGACGTCGTGAACATGAAGACTCGTTCTTGACCAATTTCTCGAATAGATGCGTACCAGTACCTGACATACTTTATTTAAGAATAACGGTAAAACAGTCGTGGTAACGTCGACAGTTTCGGAATACTGTTCTGGGCATCTTCATACCAATACCAACGCAGTCGTGATAGATTTACCCTAGTTGTATCCCTGCTTATGCTCCTCTCATTGTCATCCACCTACGTACTCGTCGGTTTGCACATTGTTCAGGCGGAGATAACGACTTTCCAAAAGGATATCCTGGCGCAGTGTAGCGAGATTGAGCAGTTGAAAGACCTCTATGAGAGGAGTAAAGTTACGAAAATGGAAAAGCGAGCCTTGGAGGACCGGTTATCGGAGTTTCGGTCGATTCATTCCCAGCATCTGAACGAAATCGACGTGCAAAAACGAGCCATGGAAGTGTACGGCTAGTTTTTCACTATCCCATGTGGACTGTGCTGAGTGATCCGGTGCGCCCTGATCTAAAGGGGAAAATAACGAGGAAAAGGACAAGTAGGCACTCAACTAGGCATAGTGAAAAACTAGCGTTAAGAAGGCGGTGATAGCAAGTTGCGAGACGTGCAAAAAAAGCTAGACGAAGTGAGCTCCCAAAAAGCATCCCAGGATCAAGAGCTGGAAGCAAAAAACAAATGGATTGCTGAGGTACTATATAATAACTAGAAATTGAAATTGTTCTGACACATTGTGATTCTTGACTGAGCATTATCATCCAGCCGTCTGCCACTTCCTCTTGCAGTTGTACAGTCACTCCTATTCAAGACCATGATCTTGATCATCAAGGGACAATCATATGATTTTCTGAATCTGAATTTTTCTGACATCAAGGCACGCGTGAAGCTGGTGAACTACGATATGCTTGAGCAGGGAGTTCGAAGCAAGGACGCGGAGTTGCAACGGTATGCACACGACGTAGAAACGTTGCATGCGCAAACGCGATCACTGCAGTCTCAAAGTGTTCAGAGAGAGATCGAACTGCAGCAGACGGCCGTTCTTAGAGCTAATCTGGAACGCTGCACGCGACTCCTGCAGGATGCCGAAGTTGAGATGGCGACTTTGCGCGAGGCGCATGCTCGTGAGATTCGCGATATTGTGAAGAGAAAGATGGGAGTCAACGGCGTGGCCCACAATTACTTGAACAACATTATGGCTCAAAAGAACCTCACTCCCCGTGAATCCCGTTAGAATACTGCTCTGGCAGTTACTGGAGGAGTCTCGGGCTGTACTGGCTCCAGTATTTTAACAAAATTCGTCTACAGCTAGTAGTTGAGTAGTTGAGGGTAGCTCTAACATCAGTCTCTGGGAGATCGACCAGGCTGCTTACACCGGTGGTTTGGTCCCAAGTAGTGCGGTTGCATCGGCTGCCCCCGCGTCGATCCTGACGCCACGTGGCAGAGTACTTGCTCCCTCCGGCGCATCGCATGTGCTAGATCCGCGCTCTGCGCCAGTAGGTGGAGGTGCGACAAGCAGCTCAGGCGGAGGATACATGACGCTAATGGGTGCGGCTTTGGCGAGCAGGACAGCCAACTCCTCAAAAAACAGTAATTCCGCGAACATGGCGTTAGGTGGACCGGCCGCATCTAGTCGCACGGGTCCGCCTTACAGGGTCGCTCCGAGCAGCCCACGATCGTATGGCAATGGATGTTACTAGTTTTTGCCTTCTTGTACTTTTTCCAGCTGGTTTCTTTTTTGAAGGCCTAGAGTAGAAGAATTATGCCTACTTCTAGGAGAGATGAAAGAAATTTGAACCACATGAGACACCACCTTTTTAGTAGGTAACTTCCTAAACTTTACTTCAGAACTTGTAGATTTTTCAGACGATCTTCCATCATGTCATGCTATCGGGAATCCGAATGTAATTCGCGAGTACCTGGGAGAACGACAGCCGTCGATCGCGCAGCAATTTGCAGATAGCTACTTTGGCGGCCCCATGTCGAGTTACGTGCAAGTTCAGCCCGATCGTTTACTGCAGCCTTCGTCTCACGTGCAACATTCGGTCTCTTCTGCGGGGTTGAGGGAGCCAGCGGCAGTAGGACAACGAACTCCTGTACTACTTTCGCCTCGCAGTGCAGCAGGTGCAGGCGGTCCGCTTCTTTCCCCACGAGGATATAATGGAACTGGGGATGTACTAGGATTGTATCCTAATTATACTGCTACAACTGGAGGCGCAGCTGCTGCAGGTACGAGCATGAACAACAAGCCTACGTCTCCACCGAACTCAGCGCGTTCGGCTTCGGCACCTGCACAGAGGAGCGGGATGTTTGCCCTAACGCCTGACGAGATAGGGAAACTGCGGGCACAGCAAAAAATGAACTCCCGCATGATACGAGGTGGACCGGCAACTCTCAACACACAATAGTCGTGTTTTTCTGAACTAGCTGAGCACCAGGCTTGTCCCCACGATAGAGTATAAGACAGTTTTGTGAACTCCACTCCTTTTACTTATAAGTTTATAATCCAATTACTTTTGTTCGACCATCATGATGCACGCAGACGCACCAGAAAGAACCTGATAGACGGCTATACAAATTCGCCCTTGATGATTTTGTCTTTTTGTGATTGAGAATTCATTGACAAAAGCTCTTTCATCGAGGACACGCGCAGAAGTTCGTCCACTGTACTACGTATTATAACTACATAACATGAAAAGGAAAATGAATATAAGAATATCATACTCAGCGCAAGGAGCTAGCAGTGAGAAGGTCAACACGCGTCCCGACATGGAGTTGGCGTTCTGTTAATCGGGGGTGCGGGCTACTCTGTGTTCGCGTGCAGTTACTCGCTGTGGTATGGTATTGGAAACTTGCGAAAAGCAAGAATAACAAGTACGTAGAAGTCTGTTGGATCGGCAGGCATCTGAATGCTCGTCGGTTATCAACGACATGACTTTCTTGGAGACGAACGTCGTGGTGATGTGTAATACACCGTTTTCATGTAACTGGCTAAAGCAGATTTTTGCAGTTCTTGCCAGAAAAGGATAACGCCGTGATGGTGTTCCTCATGAAAAATCTACCTCCAACAACGAGCAGGAGATAGAGCTCCACAAGAACAGAGACATGGCTATGCTTGACCGACGCTGTAAACATCTCTTTCTTAGTAAATCCTTATCATCTCAAACGAAGCGATATTCTTTTTTTTTCTGTGATCTTCATACTCATAGTCATGTCCTAACTTCTATCTTAAAGTTTCTCTATGATTGCTTTTTATAATCTTCCTGCTTTCATCTCATGATGTAAAAAGCACTTCTTGCACTCAAGAATCGTAACAACAAAATGAAGAAGGCCCCGCCCGTTATGAAGCCTCAGAAAGGTGGAGAGCCAAAAAAGGGCGCAAAGAAGGAGGCGCAGGAAAAAGCGAAGCCAGTGAAAGAATGGGGGAAGAGTAGCGAGATGCTCAGAACAAAGAAAGGGGGAAATTATGAAAGGACAGCGAGAAGGATCCACTTTCGTGCGTTTTTATCGTTTTATTTACCTAGGCTCCTCGTCGAAGAGGTGTTTGCAATGATGAAGAAGTACTTACTCATGATCAGACTCCTGAATGAAGTAGTTGTATGATTCCCATTTTTCCATCACCACATCCAATTTCGTGACGGACCGGGTAAATTGTTCGGGATCGCTCGCTTCTATGCCAAAGACTGGACGGACGACGATGGGCTGCCAGAGTCCTGGCCAGTGGGAGGAACAGTCTACATTCGGTTGTCGTGGAGTTTACCTGACGCGTCTGACTTGATTCAGAAACTCCGACAAGACCCGAGGTACTTCGATGGTACCAATTTCAAACCTCGTGTAGATATGTCGGAGCTGGTCGAGTTTATCTTCCAGAACTGGTCTTAAGGCAAAGGCACTCATGTGGTGTTCGAGCTAGCTAGTCGGCTAGTTGTACTTAATATTCAGTGAGCTTCTTGGGAGGTGTATCTTCTATGTGTGCGCCCTTCCTAGGAAGAGCTTTAGGGGTCGATGCCATTGTATGTGTAGTACGATTTACAAGGGGGAGCAAGCTACCGACGAACCGCTCTAACTGTCGCCGCGCACGGCATTCTTCCAAGGGCAAACAGTGCTAAAAAATACCGAAAGGGTGCTCCCAGTCAAAAGTGATAAGAAGCGAGCGGCAGCGCCGACTACAACAGGCGGGAACCGTGCACGAGAGGAGAAAGCGGCGCTGCTTGCGCTACAAGATGAAGAGCGGAACGGAGATCCCACGCGAACCCCTCACGCATCAGGAGCGGGGCCCTCGAGCTCCTCTGCTTCCATCTCTCGGCCCGTTCGCGTTAAAAGAGAGCTGGATAGTGAAGGGTGTGCCATTTTCAGCAACGTAAAGCAGGAGGAGCTGGCGGATAGTGCTGAAGTCGATGACGATGATGGTGCTATCTTTGGAGACACGCCAGGCACTGCTGCCGGATGTCAGACCAGTATGGCGCAAGGTTCCGAGTTCAATTTTGAGGAATTCTGGAAGGAACAACTAGAAGGCCATGAAGGTAGCAACGATGGGGACAAGGACTCCAAACGCAATAAGAAGGGCAACGGCGTGGAGCAAAAAGGCGACAGCCAGAACGATGGCGCACTCGCGCTGTTGCATGGCGATAGCTGCGACGCAGCGGAGGATGGGGACACGCTTCTGGCTATTCCTGCCAACTTGCCTCAGAAGCCACATGATCTGAAAATGGTATATCTGAATCGTGCCAAAGCCAGGAACGCAATGAAGAAGAAGCTCGAGAAATGGTGGCGGGAACTTTGTGCACCGAAGGGGGCTCTCTGTCTTGTGCGGGCCGAAAAAGTGACTAAGGCCGCCACTAGTGGGAAACCCATGCTGGTGGAGACGTTAGACGAAGGAGCTTGCGCAGTCTTCAAGGAAGAAATGCACCACGCTGACCGGCCAGCGTTTGTTATGGGGTGGGTGCGTGTTCCTCTGTTCTGACTGCCCTACTGCTTGCGCTATATTCTCGCGATTATTGTGTAGTCTCTTCTTTATCTCCTTGAGCCCTTCGTTGTGACGCTCCAATATGGATGCCATGTGTGTGCTATGTGAGAGACGATGGCGATTCCTCTTCGCCTCCTCTATTGACCATTTTCGCACATTTTCATGTCATAGGAGAAAGGACCCGATGGTGTGGGCGTTACAAAGTACCGACCATGCTACCACTACCGCCCCGTGCGTGTTGTGAAAAAAATTGGGCGGAAGTTGTTTGACGCATGTACACTATTAGGCACGAACTTCTACATTACCGACGAAGCAGTAAAGCTGTGCCAAGAGTATAATTTGCAAAGTCATGACGACAGCGGTATCGACTACGCCAAGATCCTGCAAACCAAGGACTACTCCGCTCTGCATGCTGTAGCCGCTGGGGAAAATCAGGGCCAGGCTTCTGCTTTAAGGCTGACAGGGAAACGAAACGAAGAGTCTAGCTCCAGCCATCCACTTTTAGAAGCAACGAGGAAAATAGTCAAAATGCTTGAACAATAAATGGTTGGGGTCGTGTTTGAGCGAGTCATGTTATCTTCACCTACCATCGCTTCTAAGTCAAACAATTGGAGACGACTTCGACTTTGATGCAGAAGTGGATGAGGGTCAGCTAGGTGGTGGCCAGTATTCTGTATTTGGTACGCGTCAGGATGCTCGCCATGTCTGTCTCGGACTCGCTGGAGGCTGTTGCCCATCCTCAGCATCCAGTGCACGGTTGGAATCTAAGGTCAGCAAAAAACGTGCTGCCTCTTCCAGGTCGCCGTCTCCTCGAGACCGCGGAATAGGAGGCCAAGAAGATGATCTTCTAGACGACGACGATGGAACGAAAAAAACAGCAGCAAAACCGAAGACGACGCAGTCTCGATGTGGAGTAAGTCAATCTGCGAAGGCGATGAAGACCAGCCCAAAGGCCAAAAAAAAGGGGACAAGTGTTAAGGTTGCTTTTTAATATTGGCTAGTACTCGGTGACCCATATTAAGAAAAATTTTACTCGGAAGAATCCTCCGAGTTTGTCATTGTCGGATCATTTAATTCTGACAGAAGACGACAGATAGACGGGTTAGGGATAAGCGAATGAACAACATGAAGAGTGCCATTGCTAACATAACTCTGCCGGCAGAGGTGGAGGTGGGCGTAAATATGCTGGAGGGCGGTAGTAACTCCAACGTCGAGGAGAGTGCTTGTTCTGTTCTGTTATCCGAAAAAGAAGCTCCGCAGACCACTGGCGCAGCGTCTCGGCATGCGGGTGAGAATCCTTTCTTGAGTGATTTCTTCAGTGATCCCGTTGGGCAGAACGAGGACGATGATCACTATGATGCTGATGACCCGTCTGACAAGAATCGCCAGACGAATGGGTCTAAATCGTCCACTGCGCGCCCTTCCGGTTCCGGTCGTGGTGGAAAGAAGATGAAGAAGACAGCGGCGATGAAGAAAAACGAAAAAAAGAGGAAGAGCGAAGGGAAGGCTATAAATAAGAAGAAAGCCGCCAGCACCTCCTCGAAATCGTCCGCGGTGTCTTCGTCCTCATCCTCGTCCGCCAGGCCTGTTGGTAAAGCAGCAAAAACAAGCCAGAAAGTAACGACGAAAAAATCTAGTCTGGCAACAATTGCAGAAGGTGTCGAGGCCGAGGAGGAACAAGAAGGCCATCAACGTCAGCAGTCGAAAGTAGAAAGCGATGGCGCCGCTGAGCTGGATGCTAAAAAAGGCCTGAAGGTCGAGGCAACTAATTCAACCTCGAGAGGCGGCTCCAATCCCAATCTGAGTGTCATCCTTGAAAAGGCTGGTAAAAGTGGTCAAAAGTATCACGAGCGCAAGTTTTCCGACAGTATATTTGCCAGCACGGCGCAGCCGCAAGAACAAGATCAAGAAGATGAAGATCTCGCGCTTCCACCAGGAGAACGCGAACGTGTAGAAAGGCTTGGGCCTCCTAACGTGCTACCCACGTCCAGTATTAAGCATACCCATCAACGTCAGGGCAATGATGAAAAAGTAGAAGTAGAAGTAGATGAAGACCCCCGCCCGTCAGAAGACGTAAAACTGACGGCGTCAATTCAGTCGTCTTCAGATAACGATGTTGTCTGTAGTTCGCTCGGTGGTAAGCCCATCGAGCACGAACCGCCACCTTCTATCGAGGAGCATCAGCCGAAGTCTTCACAGCGTGGCGACATTGTTCACCAAGACAAGGAAGGCACAAATAAGGCAACGGAAGGAGATCAGAGCAAGAGCACGCCAGAACGCAACGAGTACGACCAGAAACAAAGCAGAATGTCACCAGAGGAGGGCAGTGTAGACGGCCACAAGGATTCCACCAAGATTGTTGCCGGTGCGAGTGTGGAGAGCACTGACGCTTCTCCTGTTCTTGGTGACGCGGAAGAGGAGAACGAGGCTGCAGAAGAGGATAAGATGGATGAAGACAGCTGCTATCAGGTAGTGGTAAAGTCGGCGCACCATGAAGAAAATGATAAGGCTCTCTCCATGTCTATCAACGTCGTGGAATCCGCGTCGCGCAAACAGGAACACGAAGTGGAGCTGCAGAGCGCTCAGTCTCAACATCTTCTAAAAATGCACTCTGAGGAGAAAACGGAGCAGCATGTTGCACAAGCAAATCATAGCCCGATGGATACTACAGATCATGCAGAAGATAAACCACATGAAGATCATGATGAAGCTGAAGTAGATGAAATTGTTGAAGATCATGACACGAAGAATGTTGTTGGCAGTACCAAGGATGAGCAGGAACAGCCGACTGCAGCTAGAACCAACAAGGAGCAGCCGAATGATGTAACTACGGGTGACTTCAGATCTAGCGAATTGGGCCCAGCTGACGGGCAGCTTCAAGGAGATGGCCACGAAATAAACGCGGGAGCTGCTTCTATGGCTTCTCACAGTTCAAGTTCTGTGCCGCGTGATGACTTCAGCGAAGAAGAACCGGCTTCACCAGCAGTGTTTCATAGGAGTTTTAACGCCGTTGGTGCTTCGACAGGAAGAGGTCGCAATCCCATTGACGGTGCAGGTGCTACTTCAATGCCGATGGTTGACGCGGTGTCGTCTAACGGACTAGCATCTGTGCACTCTCGCAACGAACAACAACAAGGACAAGGACCTGACTCAGTCTTACCGCGTGCTAGCATTAGTCCGAGCAGGTTCAGCATTAGTAGTAATGGTGGTAGCTTTAACTCACCTTTTCAGACACCACGCGAAGCGTGCTCGCAGTTGTCCGAGGATGGTCGTGGCAATTATTTGCGGGATCCAAATGGAGGCTCAGTTTTGCCAACTTCGGGTGCTCCAGGTGCATCATCGTCTTCCTCCGCATCCGCAGGACAGGTGCCACTACATGTCTAGAGTTTGAAATTGTTGTCCTTGATGCATGTCTTAGTAGAAAATACATTTCTTGATCACACAAAGACTACAAAATCAACAAAAACACAATGATCAGGCGTACTTACTCGTTCCTCGATGTGCTTATGAATGTAAGTATGTTTTTTGGAACGAAATCATGTATGATTGATTCGTCTTAGGTTTCCTTGTAGATGTAGGAGATCATCATCATACTCATTCTCATATATTATATATCCAACTTGTCTACAGGAACCCACACGTCAAACTGGTGCATCGCGTCCCACCACTGCTCCCGGACCAAAGCGACGACCATGGATTCCATGGCTCTAAGGAAGCCGCGGACCGAGTTTTGAGGCAAATAAATACGGGAAGAAAATATTGTCCTCTGAAACCACTGAGTCAGGGCCTCCTGTGTCTGCTCCTACTTCAGCAATGTTCTTGACGGTGAACAGCCTTGTCGTTCAGTGCTTGCGGACATAATTACAGCCCCATCGTACGCCGGGCCCACTGACGTCTTCATCCCCTATTCTGAGCAAGAACTACTAATTTATGTATTTTTATAGCCCCTCTCCCTGTATGGAATAGTACGAAAACCAATACAAAGTCTATTTTCAAGAACTGTTCCCGGTACTATACTTCATCATTATATATTATAATATAAATATACATTCCTCTTATGAATAAAGTTATGACTATGAGTGTGTAGCTGATACAAGAAGAAGAACTACGACAATAAAGTGAATCCCAGATGGAATTCCAGTGTAGACTTGTCGTTGTGGTCCCGTGAGAGCCAAGAGGGACACGGGTACTCTTAAGCACTGACTTCCTTTTCCGAGTGAGAGTAGTCTCGAGTGGTTCGTGATGAAAGAGAAAAGGGTGCTCACGAAAAAATAAAGGAGATGCACAAGGAGAAAGCCTTCGCGTAGTTTAAAATAGACTGAGCCTTGTCTCAAGCAAATAGGAAACAAATGGTTGAAGAGGAGCTTCAGAAATGCAAGGGAGTCAATTATAATACGTTATCATCTTCTGTTGGGCGAGAACTACGCGTATCATGAAAAAACAAAAAAGCCGGTGAGAGAGAGGGAAATAGAGCACTAAAGATGAAGATTGTGGTGAATATGAAGTAAAAAAAAGGAGCACAACCTTGAAACTTAAAACGGAAAACAGAAAACCTAAACATGTCTATGCGTTGATGGATAAGATAAAGATGAGCCCGTGGTCGGCAATGCCAGTGAAAAACAACGAAACGTTAATAAGCAGGAAGATGCAGAAATAAATGAAATAAGAAACAAACTTTTATCGTCTGAATACAATGCTTGAACCACCGTACCAGTTTTAGAAGCGACAAAAGTCACATTTACAGTCGTTCTTCTTCGATAAAGAAGAGAACGTTTGTTTGCGTTTGCGAATATAACTTCTACCAGGATTTGGATTTTTTCTACGAGGAAGCATTGCCATTGATTAGGTCGAAGAGCAGTAGGTGCAGGTGGAAAACAAATAAATCAACATGACCCAGTGTGACAAGGCACCTGAAGAGGCCACCAAGGTGGTTCTTCAGCCGACGGCGGTTCATGACCAGCAAGTAGGCAGTTGTCACGAGTTCGCGTCGGCTAAAGGATTCGTTCTCAACGTGGGAAAAGGCGACAAGGGTGCGGATATGCACGGACCGGTGATCCGAGGAAAGGTGCCGAGAGTTCCTGGTCTAGCCCAAGAAAACACCATCCAGGAACAAGCTTTGTTGCCGAACGGCACTAAGATCCCGGTACCTCACGTAGGACAGATCGCAGTGGAGGGAGACGTACTTGTCACTTGTAAGAAGTTGGACAATTCTTGGAAAAGAGATAATTTGATAGGTATTAATATCATAGAAGAATAATTCTCAGCTAGCCATATACTTATATATAGAAACACGATCATCATTATCATTTCCATTTCTACAAATGAGGAGTTTCCTTTACCACATTTTGCTTTCACTTTATCAGGCGTCTGACTTGGAGAAGAATAAAGCGGAAACGAACACGCCGACTGCAGCTTTGGGCGCGTCTAGCGCATCGAAGCAGCTCGCGTCTGCAGGACCTTGGGCTGTGGCAAAAACGAAGGTGGAGGCGTCTACTGTACCCGCGTTTGCCCTTCCTTGTGTCCCTCTGTCAGTAGCGGAGAACAAGACTGTTGTAGTTCCTCCTGGTCCCGCTGTCGTGAGCACGGGAGCAGTAGAAGGTGTGGAAACTGCTACAATCGATACAACTACAGCACCTGCTCTAGCTGTTGTGGAGCAAGATGAGCTGCCGCCGATCGTGATGACACCATCCCAGGATATTGATGTTATGGGTTTCCACATTCGTTACATCCTCCACCGACATCCTTGACCTTTTTCCTTGTGGAAAGTAGGCCCCCAAGGATCATGAGGTGAAGAATGTAATTATATGGCGCAACCTCTAATGATGGGCAGATGACGTTATTCGACCGAGAAGATTTCTGGCGTGTCCTAAACGATGCGGACTACTTCCAACGCAGTTTTTCCCCAGAAGAACGCGAGCATCTCTCGGCTCAGTGTCTCTACTTCTATTAAGGCTTAAAAGTTATAGGTTCAGTATCTATAGGATGAAGATGATAATAGGATTAGTATTTATATATAGGATGACTCAGGAACTGGAACAGCATAAAGAAGCTGCAAGTAGATTTGTAGTCTTTCAAGCCCACCACGACTGAGTGCAGCTCGAAGAAGTTGTGCATGAAGATGTTTATTCTACTTCATCTTGTTGAAGATGCCGATACAGAGCATTTCGAGTTCGGTTGCAACGGGTTCCACGACCTACAGGAAATATAGTAATAGTCAGAATTAGAAGACAACTAGTAGTTGTAGTAGTACGTCGTGATTCTAAGCCTACGTGAAAATCTCTACTAGTTGTGCACTTTCGTGTCTGCAGTTTCTCTCTCTCTAACTTTCCGGAATTCCCCTCGATCGCCTTCAGAAGATTATGATTGCCCAAAAGCTGTTCGAACACGACTTTCTAGCCGAAGAAGACATGCTAACAGTCAAGGCTCGCGAGGCTCTACTCGCGAAGAAGAAAAAGGAAGAGCCAGAGCGGTACTCCTGGCTATTTTTGAGTAAAAGATATAAATGCATACCTGGTATTTTTTGAGACCACCGGTACTTGCTAGTTCTTGGAGTTAGATTCTATTAATGATGAAACTGTACAACTACAAGAACACTTTACATCAAGAGTTTCCGAACAGATGCCGGATTTTGGGTTAGGCCTATGCTATGTTTGATTCTTTCATGTAAAAAGTTACAGTCCTTGTACATTGTACAACTTGCTGCATGCTTCTAGGTACAATAAGTTGGTCGCGGAGGAGACTCGTGGGTCCGTGCACACGTTGCTTCTGGCCGCCCATTGCGACTTCGTGGATCCGCATGCCTGTGAACAGTATTGGATGGTTTCGAAGGAACGAAAGGCGGGAGAAAAGTCCTCCCTGATGTCTCAAGATGGTGGCAGTGAAGTGTCCTCTGGCAGCCTCGCAGAGCGCAGTTTTACCACCACGTTCTCGACAAGTTTCGGTAACAAGAAGCCGATGACGACGACTGGTTCTGCTGCTGTTTTTTCGAGCTCGACATCGTCGGAGGTGGGTATCACTTCTAAGCAGATGATGAAAAGCGGAGCAGAAGTAGAAATGGCGCAGTCGAAGCAACAACTAGCGAATCATATGTCCAGCGTGGGAATCGTGACCAAGAATGCACCAGGAGTCTTACAACCTCAAGATTTAGTCGGGCAAGAAGATGCAGATGCTGCGATGAAAATGAATGCAATGTCAACTAAGCTCATCTCTCAAGAAGATTCATCAGCTTCGAACACGGCTGTTTTGGGTGGGGTCGGGGTCGGTGCACGTCCAGACTCAATCACGATGAAGCAAATGGTCGCTCCTGGCCGCTTACAGGATCGTAATGGAGTCGAGGATATGGATGTGGAACAATTAGAGCACGAAGAAGACGAAGACAACAGACTTTCACCTTCGAGTACGGCCACACTCGTGTCTGCATCTTTGAACCACAATCATGCCAGCGGGGACTACCAAAAGCAAGCTCCGGGGAACGCTGGGGGCACAATCACGAATACAGCAGGTGGAGGACGCAATATGAAGGTTAGCTTAAAAGCAGCAGGCCCAGGCGCTACCGGCGACGTGAACATGGCTGTAGCCCGTGATACGACCACAAAGTCGCCGTCCGCGGCTCAGCAGGTACTTTCTTGCTTTATTCTTTTCCTGTGGATGATACTTTCTAAGATATTAACATTGAAGACTCTTTGGAGCAAAGAATAAGTCATTGTTCTTCTTGTTGTCCTCCAGCTCCAAGAAAATTCTAACGCTTGTTACGACCACAGGTCGCAGCCACGGCCACGACCATGAACAAAGTAGGCAACATGAAGATGGCGCGCGATGGGCAAGTACAGCATCCGAGTCAACTGTCATCCGAGTCATCTGCGATGGGGTTCGAAGACGGAATCGGTGACGCCCTGATGGGTATGGGTCCCAAATTGGCTCCGTCTACCAGCTGCCTGAGCACGGGCACGGGTCTTTTGGTCCTCGGCAAGAAAGGTGGCCAAGGTGGCTTGTTCGGCAACAAGGTCCAGTTAAGGCTACCGCAAAAGCATCCTCAACAGCATCATCCTGAGAACCGAACTGAAAATAGAAAAGTCAGAGGCGTACGGTGTAATTTCTGATTTTCAAGGAAGGAGGGAAGTAAGGGGCTCAGGGATCATGCTCCTAAGGGTGCATTCTAGGGGATAGCTCTAATCCAGGGAGAAAGTTTTAAGGGGAAGACGGCCTCGTCTTCGTCTATGTTGACCACTGGCGCCACCTCCGACGGAAACAGCGCACTTCCTCCTGTAGCAGTGTCGACAAGCGCGGGCAAGGGCAAACCGGGAGCCACTCCGACGTCACGAACGACTTCCCGCTCCTCGCAACCTGGATTTGGCCAGGACAGTACGCGCAGCTGCTATTCATCCTCGACTCCGGCTTTTGGGGCTACCACTTCTCTGCCTGGGGGACCGCATCAAGCAGGAGGACCACAGTACATCGAGCATCCGAGTCGTTCCTTGTCTCTCTGCTCCAACAAGAACGCAACGACGGTAAACTCTGGGCTTGTCGTGGACGACCAGCTGAAGTTGTCCGTCGGGCCGATCGCCGGAACCGCATCAAACGGGACTCCAGGCAGTAAGGGCGCATCTCAAGCGGGCACCCCACTCAACGCGTGGAACAGCCTGCAAAATGCCCAACAGCAACCATTCGAGGGCAAGAGCAAGGGTGAAGCGATGCTACTCGCCGTCGGAAAGCAGGCTGGTGCTCCTGGCATTACAACTCCTGTATCCATCAACGCGAAAGGCCAGCCAGGACAAATGTCCAAAAGCGCCTTTGCAGGTTGTAAGTCCACACTGTACGGCAACGCGCCTTCTGCTGGTCTCCCAGGGGGCCCTGCTCCTATGGGAGGAAAAAAAGGTGCCTCCGGAAGACAACCCGCCGGAGTCACCTCGTTCTCGCTGAGCCCAGAAAAAAAACGCAAACATTTTCCAGTCGGTGACGGCACCACGAAGTCGTGGGGTACTGGCGCGGCTGCTATGCAGAGCGGAAAGTACTTTGGTGGAGGCCCCTCGTGGACAACTTCTTCGAACAATCCAGCTTCCAGTATGAACACGAGCTACAACAGTAAGAGCAATACCACGCCGTCGTCTGCTGCTGATCAACAACAGGGAGGTGGACTGGTACATCAAAATGGCGTTTTCAAGAACAGCTTCTACAACACTACATCCTCAGCCGGTGGCCGTTCTAATACTGGCGTTGTGAGTGGGAGCAGCACTACCTCTTCCTTTGCCAGTGGACACACGAAAGACAACAACTCCTCGACCACGTTTTTTGCGAAAGCGGCGACAGCAGGAAGCGAAAAGGGGTCTTGCGGCAGCAAGAACGTTTCCCCCGCGAGCGGGTATGTGAGCAGCGCCCGTCCGACTCCAACGTCCTCAGGCACCATTGTGAGCGGAGGCTTCGGCAAGTACGGAAACAAGGGTAACAAGCAGGTGCTGGGCGGAGTTCCTGCTGGCAAGGTTGCTGGAAAATGTCTGTACGGAACAGCAGATGATGCACAGCACCTTGTTCGTACTGCTGAGTCTGACGCCCACAAGGGAGCCACCAGCAAAGGCACGACAGGCGGATTCGCAGGTCTGCAACACGTCGCGTCGAAGAAGGGAGACCACCCTGCTGCGGCTGCCGGAAAGGCGTCTGGCGGACAGCCGCAAGGCAAATACACGACTGAGAGCAGTGCGGGCAGCAGCACTTCAGATAAGCAAGGGTTTGTGAGCGACCTTAATGGGATGCGCACTAAAGGTAAGGCTGCAGCAGCTTCAAGTGTATCCGCTGTTGGCAACGGGAAAGGTGGTGCGATGCACAGTGCAGCCGAAGCAAAGAACAAGGAACAAGAGGCTGCAACAAAGACGAGCAGCGCCGCTGCTGCTGCTGCTCCTGATTACGCAAAGGAAGGAGACACTCTGGCAAACGTCGTGGAACAAGACGAGTTAAAAGGGCCGAAGGACGAACAGCACCTGATCGAAGCGGCACACCAACATCTCCTGGCTGCCAGCGGCCTCGGAGCTGTGGATCCCTTCGCTAGTTGGTGGGCGGGTGCTGCGGCGGCCGCGGCCTTCGATCCGGCAGCATTTTTGAACCCGGCGTTGGCGGATCCAGCGTTTTTGTACGGCGTCTCTACTCCTGCGGCATTTCCACCGGCGTCTCTACTCCTGCCTGCTTACCATCCAGCTACGGCCGCGGCATTGGGCGGTGCTCCTCCGACGTTTCCGTTGATGCATGCAGCAAGCTATCCGCCACCTTTTTACGGTCCATCTGGTGGAGCGGCCGCGGCAGCAGCCTTCTATCCGGGTGCAGCTCCTGTGTTTCCTGGTGATCCAGCACTCGTGGATCCAGTGACCGGACAGCTTCTGGTGACGGGAACCCTCGTTGACGCCGGTTTGGATGGCGAGGCCGACGCAGAGGCATCGCGTCGCGCGATGAATCACGCTGCTGCGACTATGGCCGCTACTGTTGGGGACACCATTAACATCCATCATCAGGTGGAAGATCTCAGCGTAGTTGCTCCTCCTAGTCAAACAACAAACGGAAAGATGATCGCTGGAAAACAGGATCATGGACATCGAGACGAGTCTGGTATCCTCGCTTCGAGTATCCCAAACTCGGCTTCTAAGAAACGCGCAGTTCATCTTGATGCTGCCGACCAGAAGATGCTTGCGCCGAGTCTGAGCCTCTCTCCGGAGCTGAATCCGCTCGCGCCGCCGTTCGTGATTCCGGGCGATGCGGATCTCCCGCTGAGTCCTGAACTAGTCGGCGCAACAGCCACAAGTCCGTACCCGATGCACCCATTAGGATTTCCGATGTCGCCAGAGCTTTACGAACACGCTGCCGCTTTCTTCCCATGCACCGACGGAGACAGCGACGATGGGACGTGTTATACGCAGGATGATGGTCGTGGAGTTGTTCTCCCTATCACCAATGCGAAGATGAACAAAAGTAATTCCACAACTGGTGCTCTTGCCATCAAGCAGGGGTCCCTTGGACTTGGTGGTGCGACGGGACTCGTCAACGAGCAAGCTTACCATCCTGGGAAAATGAAGAAAGCTCTGAGCAGCCGCGGAAAGACTTCCGATATGGAGGCTGCTGAATTGGAGCAAGATTTGTACCGTGACATGGGCTTGCTTGGTCCGAAAACGGCCTCGACGGGTCCGCATGCGTCCAAAACTGGCACTAACAAGGGAGCTGTTGCTCCGACGAAGGCGAACGCGACGAAGAAGAAGAAGACATCGAACAAGAAGGTGATGGTGGACGCCACTTCTAGCAGTAGCAAGAACGCAAGCAAGAAGGACGAGCTCGACGAGATTTTGTCAGATGACGAGGACGATGAGGATAGCTTCACAGAAATGCTGCAGAAGGATACGAAGTGCCATACGAACTGCAAACTTGCAGGCTCCTCGAAGAAACCTAAAAACAAAAATACTGTTACTGACGGTGGACTCGGATTTGCAGGAGCTTTATCTGGCGATATTGATGTCTCGTCTATTCCTACGTCGCAGCTGCAGACTACGAAATCGGCATTGAGCAAGGGTGCGAAGACGAACGCAGCAAGTCTGGCGGCGGCGACCACCAACAAAGGGACCACGTTGCAATCTGCGAGCACCAACAAAGGGACCAACGCTGGAAAGAAGGGACCCGTGTCGCAGACCACCAGCACTTCTGGAGCTGATCTCGTTGGCAAGAAAGGACCGAGCGCACATTAAGGCTCCAACAAATCCATCTTAGCCAGCATCCTGGAGCCGTTTTCAAAGGGAAAACGAGGACCAAGATGCGTCTGCGGATGAATTCTTCCTAGCTCCAATCAGAACAAGGTCCCACCAGTGTCGGAGCTCCTCCTTCTGGTGGTCCTCCGGCTCGTAGCAACAAGAACGGTGCTGCGCCATTGGCTGCGACATCTCCTGGTTATCCGACTTTGCCTGTACCTCCTGGTTCTTCCTCGGGTCCGCAGTCGCGCAGTGCTGCATCCCCGAACGGAGTCGGTGCTGCCGCGAATGCCGTGAATCTGAATGATGTGACCGCTAGCTTCTTGAATAATAGCGCTGCGTCCACTGCGAGCCTCAAGACTGCGTCGTCGAACCACAGCATCTACGGCGCCTTTTCCGGAAACAATACAACAACCGGAGCTAGTAACCCGACGCTTTTGTCCGGCAAACAGGCGCCGGCGACGTGGCCGGTCAAGACTCATCGCGCGCCTTTTGGTTCGCCCGAACTTGCTGCGAAAGAGGAACAGATGCGTCTCTATTCGACCGCACCGGGATTCACAGGTACTTTTACTGATATTTTTTTTGAGTTTTGGAATGTTCATCGATGTTGTGTATCAATTCTGCGTGTTAGACTTTTCGAAATAGAGATGAGAAATCAATTTGATGATAAGAAAACTCAATCTGGAACGACCCCCGAATTTCTTTACACCGTCACCGTTTGATATTTGTCTCAGCTCCACCTCCGCCTACTCCGCCGCCGTCCGCGGTGGTGCGCCCACCACCGGAGTGCCCACCGTCGAACAAGAAAACGTTGCCGCCGGCTCCTCCAAGCAAGGCACCACCGGCCCCACCTGCGATCGTGAATACCTTGCCGGCTGCTGCATTGGCGCCGCGCTTGCAAATCCAAGCACCGCTTATGCTCTATCCTACGACGTCGCAATATACGAGTTATTCCAACGATACCAGTGGATGCTGGGTATCTGCGTTCGGGAACCCTACTCCAGAGCTCACTCGTGCGAGCACCTACCCGAGAGGTAAGAACTACTACAAAATGTCATCGCTACCTACGGTTACGCGTCTATTTCCAGAATAAAACTGAAAATCGGAGCGTCTGGAAGTGCCCGTATTGGTAAGTGAAGATATCTAGGTCTTTCTTTGTACACTCGACCACGAGATAACATAAAAAAATGATTAAAACAAAAACCTATAGTACGTATACCTACTTCTACACGTACACCACGATAATATTAAAGGCCCTGCTGCATCTAAAGGCCCTGCAGCAGCCACCGAAGGCCCCGTTGATGTTCACTTACCGAAGCAACCTCCGAAGCCGTCGATGAATGGAATGCAAGTTCTACGTGCTGCGATTTTGGCGTATTTTACGAAGTACGAACTTGAGGAATGCAATCTGGATAGCATGGCTAAGGATGCTGATGTGAAAGCCGCTTGGAAAACCATTGGTCGCGTGCCCCTCTGGAAGTTGGTACTGTACTAGAGAAGAAATACTGAACTACTTCTACTCAGATGTTGAGCTTAATATCGACGAGAAATTATGATCATGATGGTAAGTAGTTTTGATTGACATTCTTGAACTTTTCGGAATTAGTTGTAACTTCTAAGAAGAAAGCTGAATGCGTGAAGATGTACTTGAGAAATAGAAGAACAACTGACTCACATGTTGATGTTATTGAAAAATTATGATTTGTCGGAGAGCGACATAAAAGACTCACTGCACCACCTCATGCTAGACACATTCATTCATTCACTCCACAAGGAAACCGAAAGCGAAACCTCCCAAGCATCTTCAACAGGTAAAGCAGTTTCCCTGCGATATGTCGCAACGTCAACTGGCTGACGGTACCTGGAAGTTGTGGTTGATCGAGAACCCTATCGAGAATCCCGACTCTCCTATCATGGGAGCGCCTGCAAATTGCGAAACCCTCTTCGACTCGGCCGCTTCGCCCAACAGTGTTATTCCAAGTGGCTGCTTGGAAGCTGGTATTTTTATATAAACCACAAATTGGTGCTCTCTGCTCAATTGCTAAGTTTGTCCTTGTCCTGCATAAGTAATTTCTAAGGTAACAGTATTCAGTTTGAATTTCCAATCTTTACCTGGAGTGCATTCTCCAACTCCAGCTACCCCGGTTCAATGCGATGATTCCCCTGTACTGGGATGCAGTGCTGTTTCGTATTCCTTCGCCAGCGCCACGAAGCTCCCAGTGCCAACGTGTGAGATGCCAAGTCCCATCGTTACGGCTGTAAGGAGTTTTAGTTTTTTATCATGTCCCAAACCTCCTAGGTGGTTACATACTGTAGTTATCGTGTCCTGCTCCTAGGTAAGACTATGTGAGCCTCATGCCATGCTCCTAGGTAGTGGTAGTCCTTGTTAGAATCATGTGAACGACCCATCCTATCTACTTATCCTATCCTAGTATTTTCTGTCTGGGTTTTTGAGTAGAACACATTGATGAAAAATGTTGGTCGACCAGTTCTAATGTCACTAGCACACGGGATGTTGCTTCTACGAGAAAAGCAGATGCAGCGAAGGGAACAATGGCTGGAGAGGAGAGCCAAGGAGCACAGGGAGATTGTGTCATCCAGTAATTTGATTTTGATGAACATAATGTCGATTGAAGGTGAACGTGTTGAATCGGTATTTTTATAGGTATCTAAAGCTAAAAAATAGTGATATTAAAGTTTTTTTTCAGACTCAGAGGAGATTATGTTTACTTGCATAGGCCATAGTATGAAGATAGTTCTCTAGTAATGAAGAAATGTACCGCACTGCAACGACGAGATATACTGGTTTTGCTGCAGTATACGAAACCGCAAGTAAGATGTCGAGAACAAACTGGTTCCCCGCCATATTTTAATTCATTAACATGATGTTTTCTCTACTTGATCGATTTTGATTAGGTTGATGCACTTTTACAGTTACAGACTCAGGTAAACGCTACCTAGTAAGTGTAGTGCTTGTGCTCCGTCGTCGAACAAACAGAAACAAGTGTCTACTCGTACAGATATGAAAAATCAAAAATTATATCACGTGACAAAACACTTCGAAGAATATTTAAATATTTCATTGTGAAGGCATTGCGTGATGAAAGAGTTAGTTCTAGTCGTATTATATGGTGGTTTAAGAGAGCACGACAACGACGGTAGGCAAATACATAATCATGAACATGTTGAAGATATTAACAGAGATCAAGCAGGCTAAGAAAAAATATAGATGAAGTGGGAGTCACATACTAATTATGCTAAAAATCTGATTCGGATGTCCATTTGATTTACAACATTTTTATGCTTTCCTTCTGGTCCAGGAGGTTGCACCCAACAGGTTTAACTCACAGGACTGGGATCGGAACGAAGACGAACAGGAAAAACATAACGAACGGAATGGCCGGGAAAAAGCACGAATCTATCATGGCTACAGTAAGTATTTTTGAGCAGTAATCGAACCTACAACTAATCAAATTCAAGTTTTTGTAAGAAGTGAATAAAGCATGAGCATGAGCATGTTCGATGAATGAAAACATCATATTATCACCTACATTACTCTTTCTCTCACAAAAGAACTAAGGAGAGCAACGCAGTCGCGAAGGAGAAGGGGTACAGTCTTTTTTGATCATTCAAATAAGTAGTTGTAGTTGATTGATTTTTTGAATTTGTCTTGAAAAAGATGGCAAGTTCGCTTGCGAGCGCGACACGTGCGAGGCGGCAGGGTCGCGCGCGAACTTAATAATGATAATAATAGTAATTTAATAAAATAAAGAGAACAAAAAGGGAAAGATATTAGATCGTCTAGATGACACATGACATAGACATAGACCATCGGCAGGGCATAGATCATAGACAAAGGCATAGATCCTCCAGTATCTTTATCTGATTAATATCTAATGATTGTTCGTCGGGAATGTCATCTGAGGATTGGGTCTATAATTGTAAGTACCATGTAGTATCCAGATCAAATTATATTCTGCACTTCTTCAACATCTATAGTACTATCGTTGTAAACAGTTGGTGTTTCATCAAGATCGAAATCAGCTGAATGTTTCTCAGTGCTATTTGAGAAGTTTGTTCAGTTTGTCAATATTATCAAGATTTGCGAGTGATGTCGAAAACGAAAATTATAGTGATTCTTCATGCTTTTTCACTCTTGTCGTTTAGTAGGTTTTTCTGGTTCTGGTGTGGGACTATCAATGCGTTGTTCCCTATCGCAGGGGATAACACTAGATGTGAAAACTACATCGACAGCCGAGTCGCTGCATGTCTGATTTATGTTCTATCGACCAAGTGGTAGATCATGCAACAAGACTCATAATTAAGTAATGTAGTGTCATAGAAAATGAAAGTGCCAGATTTTTCAGTGAAGATAAACAACAAACGCTAGGCACATGCAGGAGACGACACCATGATGTTCATGTAGTTGTTCACATACATATTTTTGAGTCGTTGCAATACTTTATCTTCAGGAGTAACTTCCGGAAAACAACATTGTACTTAACATAGCCGATCATGTCGATCATCCCAGTCGTGAGGGGACTTTCAATTTTCATTTCCATGTTCGATGTCTGCTGACCAAACCTTTCACTTTCTGTGCTGACCACTATCATTATATTAGTCATTCGAGACATCGCGGAGGATTGCTCGTTTCACACAACTTGCGAAGAACAGAGGATGATCTGTTTGGCTGATGAAAAAGAGAGACAACGCAGACTGGTTATATCATGATGGTCATGAGCTTTGCCTCATGAGCGTCGTAGAAGACTCTAACAAGAAGTTATAGAAGACTCTACTGGAGGATGAAGTGAACCGTACTATCCGGAGGAGATCAAACCCCCATCTCTACTTCTAGTACACGTGGTTTCCAGATTGATTTAAGCCGGCTATTCACCATTTATTTTTCTTCAACTTCAATCAGCTTCTGCCTCTCGGGTAGGGCACCACAGATGTCGTCGAGTGATCTTAGGTATGAACTTTGAAATCATTCCATTTCCAATATTTTTGGTTTACAGGGTAGTCGTCTCTGACTTTCTTCTTTCTTGTCACACTTAAAACTCGAAGTATTGGCAAGATGGCACGTTTTTTCAAGAATGGACGAGGTATTTCCTACCCATATACCGTCCGCGTACTAAATGTCTCAAAGGACATATGGAAAGAAAAACTAGCCTCAACCTCAAAAAGTTGAAGAAAATTTTCCCTGTCAAGAGAGACCGACACCAAGAAAATCGTTGAATTCACTTGGCATGATGCGCTCACTTTCTCCATTTCTGCATTTTTGCGTCTCAAAGTAGGAGCTCCAGACAGGCACGGAAGTGAAGCACTTCAAGACAGACCGCGTCTTTACGATTGAAGGCTCGTTGATCGCCACGAAATGTCTTCTCGGTGAGAATGGCATGTTAATATGCCATGTTATTGTTAGGTATTGCAGAACAAGACGCCCAACCGTATGAATACGACCTAATGTGTGTGGCGACAGGGGAGATAATCGTGTAAGTATCCCGTAGAGCAGGTGAATTTCGGATTTCTGACACGGAGCTCCTCGAATGCAGCATGGAGCAGGATCGAGCATCCGCCGCGCATGAGTCTTTGCAATATCGAAAAATGCAGGCACGTTTTGGTGGATGCTCTCAAACTGCCAAAATTTAGCCTGCTCTCCAGTGCTGCGCAAGTGAATTACATACAGCAAAATTCTTGGCGAATCTTTCATTCCTGTACGAAGTCGAAGATTGCTGATAACCCGCACCTCGAAATTACCCACACAGGGGGTTATCACCGATTGTGGCCCAAACCCACCTGCGAAAAAGGAAAGTTGCAGACGGCGATAGCCGAACTTTCGAAGTACCAGGGTCAGTTGACCCAAATAGTAAAACATAACGGCGATCCACATATGACAGAAAACTTGGTTGGATACATAGGAAAGACGTAGCACAGACCCTGCGACAGGTCTTTCCTACGGTCACAGCGCTGGAGATCGTAGAATTCTGTTCTGCTAGTGGACATACCGTGTCAAGCAAGAGGACTACCAAGAACTTCTTGAAAAAAAGTACTAGTAGTAGGACTGTCTCATCTAATACAATCGAGAACAACAAGGTCAAGGGTTCGGATTATACCCGAGAGATAGACCAAGAACAACACTAAATTTGAGTTGTGACTGCACTTCACGCCGAGCAAGCCGAACAGACCCTGTCAATGTCCGCTGACACTGATGTCCTCTCAATCACATTCGCTGCCATTTTGTTAGACGATAGAAAATTTTTCTGGGACATGCGCAAATTTTGGAAGACGATAAGTGTCCCTGCGTCAGGTGATAGTCCTCCCTGATGAGAGGAAAGTATGACGGCAATCGAGGTAGCCAAGTCGGCGACGGGCGAAGGAGTTGCTTATAATTGCAAATTTCTGCAGGGTCGTTTGGAGGCCGCACGCAGAGCCGCGGAACATCAAACAACATCAACGAAGTCGACTGACGACCACACGGAGCTAGAGACCACACGATTAGACTGTTTGACTCCTAACACAAGCAGTAGAAGTCCGCTATCATCAGCAGCTGCAGATTCCCCACATCAGACGGAGCCGAAAGTAGCAGTCGATGAGGCAGAAACTCTGATCTCCACGATGGAGGCGAAATTGGCTGAGCGATTAGATTCTGGCTCACTGAACGTTACGGGCCAGACAACATGCGGTGACGGTAAGTTTGAACAGACAGAATTTGCCGAACGAATCGTGGTATGGTTACTCGATCACGACGATATGAGTTGTGACTTCTCCAAGATGTCCGAGGCTCAAGCATCGAAAGTCATGTCAGCTGTGTTTCTTCGCGGGAAACGTGTGGAGGCAGCTGACCTGTACGAGTGGACTCTGCCGACGGGAAAAAAAGTGAAGAGATGCGCAACAAGTACAAGTAGAGGTACACCGGCTGCGAATTCATCGTGTTCTAAAGAGTCACCAGAAGTTAAGGCTGTTGGAAGCTCCTGCATTTTCCATTAAATCTTTGTTTGAGAGTGAGTCGACCCTTTTTCGCTTTAGTAAAAACTTGATTAAACGAAACTAAATGTAAATAGGGGGGCTTCTACTTCTAGACGCCTTAGATTGATGACATACCTGTCAGTAGGACGAACAAATATTAATATCTACGATTTCAATGAGCGTGACCTTTTCGCTCTCGTTGTTCTCCACTTCTACCATTGTGGGGATTCAGGACGAAATAATTCCGTATTATGGTGCGCCTCCACAGTTTTTTGGAAAGATTACTGTGGCGAAGAGCAACTTTCTGACGCACTTTGAGGCAGCGACTCGTGAGAAGGGTTTCGGCAGCAAGCAGTGCAAGAGCAACGGCGTCAAGTTTGATCAGAAGCTGTGCAAGGTTCCCATATTACGTCCTCCACTAACATCCCTGGTCTTTTTTCAAGTAGAAAATTGGGGAAGGATCATGTATGTTCTAAAGAATGTAAGGTGGAAAGCTTTGATCATAACCATACAGAATTGCGAAGAAAGACGCACGGAAAGCTCAAGATTCAGTGGGTGCATGTTTGATCTGGATCTATGCCTCTGACTCTGGTGCGCCTCTCGCAATGCCACTCACAATATCGCCTTCCATTCCAATTTTACTTACATCAGAAAGAGAGTTTATTCTCACCGAGAAGATCTTCGTGAAGGTTTACTTTCTTTATATAGAATGGATTTTCTCAGCTTGTCCCTTTCCCGTCTAAAAAGAAAGACAGAGGTGGACTTCAGAGTTGCGTCCTTTTCCTCCCCCGGGAGAAATTCATCACGATCCCGATTTTGTTGTTGGTGTTCCTAGAGTCTCCGCAAATTGAAACACGAAATGAGCTAAAATCTGAGTTTCTACTTTGAAGACCGTGAGCGAGTGATTGTTTGATTTGGTTGTAGAAGAAACCTATGAGCTGGTCGTTTATTACCCGTTCTCGTCCACTCATCAATATCTCTCCTTCATTAATTTGACTTTGATATCTTCCAAAAGCAGAGAGATGGCTGTTGTCTGTGTCCTGACGCTCCTGATAGTCGGCCCCGCCAATTATGCATGCAGTAAACTTGGCTGGCTGGGTCTGGGATGAAGGGCGCGGACCCCGCACCCTACTGCTTTTATCTCTTTGCATACGAGTGTTGAGTGAGCGTCTAGTCATACAACTCCCTCCTTCCTCGACCCGCTTCTTCTCTTCGTGCTGATAAATATATCAAAGACTAGAAGGGAGTACTTCTCAATCTACATTTTGTTCTTTGCACTCGTTTTCTTCGATGTGGAGTTGTTCACTTGCTCATGTGTATTTTTTCCCGATGACAACTCTCTAACCCCTTATTTTGATTCTTGATATCTTACGAGGAAAACCAATTCCAAGACCTCTAACTACAATTCTTTCAATGAATATCCACATCCCCTATTGCGCAAGGAACATACAAGATGAAGATGTTTGCGGGTAAGATTCGATACCTGACGGGGCACTACGAAGTCGGATGTGAAAATGGGGAAACAGCTGAGGGTACGCCCTACCGACTTTTCTTTCCGATTTGCCTGCGAGAGGATGCGGCTACTAGTTGTAGTGCGAAAGTCTCTGGATCTGGAAATGAAGATATCAGAGTCGAAGGAGGAGCTACGTCTATGTTGAGCAGTTCTACTTCTAGAGTCGTTCCTGCAGTTTCAGGCCTACTGCAAAGAAGGGAAAGGCACGTGCGTGACTGGCGTCAGTTCGCTGACGGTCAATACAACGTTTTTACAGCTGGTGCAGGGCGCTTGCAACTTCGTTCAGGATACAAACTTCCGAAATCGGTCCACGATGGATTTCGAATTTTTGGCTTCTTTCTAGCGGTATTGTTCAACGTTCTGACGACAATCAGCATCGAGCTTTATTCGTTTTGCAATTGGACCGGCTTCCCAAAAAACTTGAATTGTTGGGATGTCCTCGAGAAGCTCTCCATGAAGTTGAAGATATCGTGTTCTTCTTCTTCTACCTCGTGGTCTTTGCGGCTTTGCGAAGCAGTAGCGCAAATTGTGCACTCAGTTTTTCGGTTCAATCAAATGCCAGTCTGGTGTGCGGATTATAGACATGTAGCAGAAATCATGAGCAACTACACATCTTCTTCCGAAAGTAGAAGCACGACCACGAGGACGATGAGCAGCTTTCCAGTCATCGTCTACAGTCATGGTTTTATGGCAGGATCTTCTTTTCTTGTTAGAGTACTTCAAAAAGTTAGTAGATAATCGGAGTGGCGAGTGCAAGTGCAGCTGCAGCTTGTCTTGGAGACACAGGGTCAAGAACAAGTGTGCGCCTGCCCTATTTCTCTTTCTTGTTCATAGAATTGACGGCAGCAATGGACGAGCATTGTATGATGTGCGCGGAGTGGGCATCGCATGGGTATCGCGTGGTGGCTCTCCAGTTCCAAGACGGCTCTTCTTGTCAGGTCTTTCAGTATGGTAGGGAGCCGATTCAATATTAAGGCTTCAAGAAATCCATCTTAGCCAGCATCGTGGATCCGTGTCTTAGGGAAAAACGGACACCAAGATTCACCTCAAGACGGATTTCTGGCAGTTCTAACGTTGCGAAGTTTTCCCGTTTCTTGCATACGTGCCCGAACGAGACGAAGGGAAAGCCCCACCACCTGTGGAGATTCTAAAAGACGGCGGCAAAAGCGGTGGCAAAGAAGGATTAAGCGAAGACGATAGAGAGAAGCAGATAGAGCGACACTCGATCAACATGCGCGAGCAGAGGGTGGAAGAGAGAGCCGCCTTTCTCTGGAAAACCTGGCTGAGCCTGAAAAAGCGCTACTTCATCCACGACTACGATCAACATCAGCATAGCAAATCAACAACAACAATATCCTCATGCACTTCCACTTCTACCCGAACTAGTACAAGCACCACCAAGAAGGTTTTGGATGTGAAGCCAACGTTAGCGGGTTTCAGTTATGGAGCTTGTACGAGCCAGTTGTGTGCTAGGGATCACGCGGACGAAGTTGATGGGGTAATCAGTCTAGATGGCTGGTATCATCTGCCTTTCAGCGTCAAAGGCATCAAAGGGCATCCTTTCCCAAAACGCGTGGTTGCCGGTGCTGTGTTCGAAGACGAAGAGGAGAGTACTGAAGATGGTGATTCCTCTGTGTTAAGAAGTGGACAAGGAAAGATAAAGGAGGAGAAAGAAATCAGCAAGGGAGGTATGATATTAAGTGGAGTTATTTTTGCAGGAGCGGAATCCGAAGCCACATCCTCAGCCAGAAGGAGAAATAGCAACACAGAAAAGTCAGCATTTGACACAAGCATATCAAGTGCGGCTTCTAGTGCCGACGTTGCAAGCAACGATGCCGCAGATGAAAGTACGAGTCAACCATCTGAAGACCAAGTGGACAGAAAGTTCGAGTCGACTCAATTCTGGTGTATGTCAGAGGATTTTGCGCGCATGCGACCAGTCCGGGAAATCCACGATAAGCTTGCAACTTCGGTGAACACGCCGGATCATATATTCTTAAGGCGCCAAAAAACCTGAGCATATCGCTGCTAACATCTTTGGTCACGTCGATTATTTTCATTTTGACTTGTTCCAACTCCAAGTACGCGCTTGTATTTTCTTAATGGAGACGGATGAGAAGATTAATATGCCAAGGATGTTGTCGATCTCAGCACGGTGTTTGTCATTCTAATGTTGGTTTACAGGGGCATCATCCATATGGAGTTGTGCGAGTTTCCGAATTTTCTCTTCAACGGTTTATTTTCGTACGTGGTCGTGGACTTCGTACTCTTTTTGGTCCGCGCCTTCACGATTTTAAGAAACCATTACAATGTGGTGATAGAAGCGGAGTACTCCGCGATAAAGACAGGGACGAGTTCGTCGTCGTCTGTCAGTACAAGTCGCAGTGGTAGGGGTGGCAGGTCTGAAGCAGGTTCTGGGACGAAAGAGATAATGAAACAGAAATCGAAGGTTGTGGCAGAGTTTTTGAGAAGATTGCCAGGCATTTTTTGGGCGGCGATGGAATTGGGCGCAGAATCGTCACACGTCGGTGGAAACAATCGCAGCACTTCTAGAGAATCGGCGATGTTTGACCGAATAATGAGGACAGAAATCAAATTGAACGAGCTCCCAGAGGACGTCGAAGACTATCCTTCATATAGATGGTGGCTCGCAGGGAACCCTGATCGATGCAATGTCTACTATCAAATGGTTTACAAGACTGTGGAATTTCTCACGCAAACACTACATCCTAAGATGAAAAAGGAGTAAGGACTGAGCGAAAGGAGTTAGGACTGAGCTGCTAAGCAGAGCAATATTTTTCCCTTAATAGCTCTCCCAGCTGATAAGTATTTTCCGGCTTTCCGAATACCCACTACAATTTTGCGGTATTGTGAAAGCCTCGCCAAGTTTTTCAACACTCTCTGGCAAGCAAAGGCACGACTGGCTCTTTCGATCTGCTCGCAGAACAGGCAAAACTCATATTTTTGATCGCTCGTTCTTGTTCTTCATCTTCGCGTTCTAGAGTCTAGATCTAGAACTGGATGAATTCTCCTGCTAAATAGATGACTTAGTTATCAAACGTAAACGTTTCTCTCTATCGTATCTGCCAATTTTAATTGTCAACCATCGCGTTTTGATGGGAAAGGGAAGAATGTAATCTGTCCTGGATAACCTTTTCAGAGTAGGTTTTCTGTGAGTTGTCTCGCGAATTGAGAAGCTTCTTCTCCTCATCGGAATTGATGTAGAAAAGTTTTTGGTAAGTGCTTGTTTTTAGGCTATGAGAGAGCATATGAATAGCCTTAGCACCTAGTGCTTCGGCTTCGTTCCGCGTGCAAGGCGGCTGAATACATATCATATCATGTAACCAACGTTTATAAAATATTGAGCAAACAAATTTTACCAGTGAATCGCTTGTCAGTTTCCTTGGGACTCGAACCTGCTAGGACTACCATTAATGTCCATGAAATGTTGATTAACATGCCTCCCCAATTGTTTATGATCATCCTTGTTCCAATACGAATACGTACAACAACATGTTGAATGTTCTCGTGAAGCTAATACGAGGAGAGTGGACGCGCAGTCAGGTGGTCATCTCGTATCTTTTGATCACCACAGAAGATAGTTTGACCACAAACATCAAATCAAAAAACAAGTAACAAGTAGTTCTTTTTTTTCTAGCTGCGTTTGTTTCTCCTATAGTCGACGTTTAGTTTACAACATCAACTGACAAGTAAAATCAAGTAACCAACAAGTACAAGATCAAGTCAGCAAACAAAATGAAACTGTCTGCGAAAACTCGTTACGGTGCTTCTTCTGTGGCACCCCGTTTTTCCCTTAGTTGGTGCTTGAGCTTGTTGCTGGTTTCTTTCAGCTCTATGACGTCCTCTTTTTTTTGGATCGCTACAACCTCATCTTCTCTCTCTTTCTCGCCCTGTGGAGTTTCTGCTTTGTCGTTGAAGAAAAAGAAGAAGATGTTTGGAGGTGGCGCTGGTGGTGGTTATGCAATTGGCGGACCTCATCAATTAAGGCTATTTTTTCACTATCTCAGGGTCAGGTGATTGAACTACGCTGTCTGAGCGGAGTCCCTTTTGGTCTTGACTTATTTAGGGGAAAGTAGGGGGAAAACGGGGAACGAACCTACTCAACCCGGCATAGTAAAAAGTAGCGTTAAATCAAGCAGGACCTTCGCAGGAGGGAGGACAGTTCCAGCGATATACGCAACTCCAGGATAGAGATGGCAATCCCATTATCGTGCAGGCGCCGTTTGATCCGACTAGAAAGTTCGTGCGCGATGCAGCAACTGTTGTCCAACCTCCACCTCCAATCATGCAGCAAGGTAACCAGCACCAATTCATGCAGAATTGCCCTGTTGCGGCCGCCTACCAGTCTCCATCTCCAGCGAACGTCGCACTAGATATGGTGACTTCGCAGCATAACCAGCAACAGCAAGGACATCTTCAAGGCGGAGGGGTTGCTGGACCCGAAGGCGCAGGAGCTGGTGCCTCATCGAAATCGACATCATGTGCTGGTGGGATTTCCTCTTGTTGTGGTGCTTTTCGAGGTAGTACTCTTTTTAAGGGTAGGTTAATGGTGCTTTTGTTACCGTTTGTTGTGGCTCTCCTAAGGGGGACAGCCATAACAAACGGGACATTAAACGAACACCAAAAACGAACCTACCTCTAATACTATACAAATAGCTCCTACTAGTGCGACGAGATCATCTTCTCCAACCACGACTGGGACTGATCGCTGTTCGTTTCAGGCGTTTTCGGCGCTGTGCTGTAGTCTCGGAGGTGGGTTTTGTTGTAGTCCTAAACAAACAGCCGAACAGTATGAGGAAGTTGATACGCCGACGCATCCAGGAGATGAAGAACACACAGTCCAAGGCAGAAACATGATCAACTGTGGAGCTATTACTGCGATGTGTGACAGATCGAAGGCGAGGAGCAATGGAGCTTCCTGTTAAGGCTGAAATGAAGAATTCATCCTCCCCAGCATATTCTGGTTCCGTTTTATATTTCTGTTGTATATAATAGGTAAGAGTGCTGGTAGCTGGTGGTGAAATAATCCACTCCCCTGACGCAACATTAATGGTGAAACAGGGACCAAGAAATAATAATTTGTGGCAGTTCTAATCTTGGGGCAGCTGTGCTAGTGGCGGTTCTGCTGCCTCTTTTCTCACAAAATGCTGCGCAGCTGGAAAGCTACAGCAGGATCAGGGTCAGGCTAACATTAAGGGTAGTTTTTCATGAAGTCCTGTGTGGCGTATCCTGAGTTAAAAGCTGCTAGAATGGGAAATCTGGGGAAGACAGCAACACGCTCGACCACGGATGGTGAGAAATACTTAACTACTACTGCTACTAACATTAGCAATCCCGTTTCTGCTGATCCCGCAGGAGTTGCGTACTACTCTGGTACGACTCGTCCCGGCCAAGGAGGCCCGCAGATGATTGTCCAATTACGGATTTGTTGATCTTCTTGAAGATGCATGGATTATAATCTTCTACCTCTACTTCTACTTCTACGTCTAGTTAATACCTCTCTGTCGTGCAAGCACCAGCACGAAGACCTGTAGAAGGTTCTTCATCGCCTTCGCATCTTCTAATTTACCGTGGTGCAGCTTCTCATTCTTTCGTTGGTATGCCAGCAGCCTATGACGGCACTCAGGGTACTTTCGCTGCCGGCATCCCGACTATCCTTAAGGTTACAATAAATCCATCTTGCTTCCCGAACATATTGGTCTCGTTTTTCAAGGGAAAACGGGGACTAAGATGCTCAGCAAGATGGATTTACTCAAGGTCTAACATTCAGGGCGCGCCATCACCTTATGCCGTTGGCGTCATCGCACCTTCTGCGGGATACGCCGGACAAGGGGGACCAGTGTTCGTTGGTGGAACTGGCAGTGCTGTGAATCAGTAATGATTACTATCAACATCAATTATACATAACTTCGATAGGGATAGATAATCATATTGATTATTAATGTCAAACTTCTTTTCCACTTTGAAGCTAGATAATCATATTGATCGTGCCAAAGAAACTTGAAGAGCCTCGCTCAACTCTCTTGAAGATAACGACGAATTACATTGAGCTACATAAAGACTATTACGACAAAAAAGTTTTAGACGTCAAATAAATTGGTTGCAATTCCTCATACGTGAACTCATGATAGTCAAACATGTCCTCAATCTCAAATAGTCAAAATTATATTTTTATTGTTCAATTGCTGGGTCAGCAGCAGCACACAAATCAATACTCAAACTCATGCTTGAAATTTAATTGACTCACCTATTGTTTTCAGAGAATACAGGCGAAGACCGTCGTGATCTCTTATTGTTTTTGGATTACATTAGTGTTAGTGGTACAAGAACATGATGTGTATGTCAAAAGAGAAGCAGCACGGCCAAGGTATGATGCTTTCTCATGAACGAAGGCGTCTTCTTACATGATGAAGTTGTTGCGAAGTGACTGAAAACATACGTACCGTGAAGATGACGATGAGTGGTTCTCACATGTGTCTGTTACTGTGTGGAGGTCCACCTAAGTAAAGAACATTGCCTCTAGCATGGCTAAAAATGTGACCTCCACCACCTTCAATATTCTATTGTCGCCCCCTCAGTGAGCAAAATCACTCAACACCGAGAGAGCCCAACTTGTGTCTTTTCATTCTCTCGTGCTACTCAGGTGCCACGCCTGGGCCTGGCCTATCTAATTTGCCAGCCAGCAAGACTTACAACAGGTCATCACTCTGTTCGAAAGTGATGCTTTATTTTGCAAAAGATCCTCGATACAAACGAGCTAATGTCTGCAGATCATCTAGTGAGGGATACGGTGTTCTTGTGGTGTTTCGGTAATTGTACCGCCATGCGTTGTATGTGCGAACTTCATTTACAGAGATGGATTCTTGCCACGAGATGAACAGCAGCAGCACACAAATTCTTGACGTAGTACACATGAGAAAGCGAAAGCCCGAATAACTCAATTTAAATAGCCGCCCGCCACTACATCACCACGAGCGTGCGCGTGACCTTTCACTCTGCCTGCCGAGACAAGATGAGGCACCTTCACACAGGGCTGTCTGCTTGCCTTCTGGGCTTCCTTCTCTCCTCCTTTTCCACCAGAACGTCCTTCGTGCTCGCCATTGAAGTAAGCATAAGCGTGTCATCGAGATTTGTGTCCTCCGATATTACTGGTACTCCTAGTAGTACCCGCGTTGCTAGTGGGGCTCCCGTTCCGTCAGACGCGTTGCGCGGGTCGGCAGATGATACTTCTCCCTTTTCGCCTTCCTTCGCCAAAAATCTCAAGCGTCTTGCCCAGGCGCACCGGCTCAACGACGATTTGGTCGTACTTCCGCGTACAACCGCTTCCTCTACCGCTGCAGCTGAGCAAACTACATGTAAAAATTGTTCGACGCATCAGATTAGCAGCACTTCTGGTTCAACATCATCTACAACCGCTGGTCTCCCACTTGCAGGCTACACAGTGGAGCTTCGCCCGAAGTCGGCTGAGTACGATAAACTCGTTTCGGATGGCGGTGACGATATTGGTCCCGTGTTTCCTGGAAGTGCTGACGTGCTGCTTACAGAGCGTCAGCGGGCAGCGCTCCCTTACCGCTTTCTGCACGAAATCTTGAAGTCATATGAAGATGATCAAGCAGATAATGGTAAAGACAAGAACAACAAGGGCGGAAAGCAAACAGGGAAACAGGATGCTCTCGAGAAGTTTGTCACGATGGTGAGCAACTTCCCACAGTATCGTGGCGCCCTAGCGGGTGTGGGCACGCACGGTCTTGAGCGCGAAACACCTATTGAGAGCGAAGACGTCCTTTGGGTCGCGGGGGAGCCAGTTTCTCTAGTGCCGCAGGAAGGACTCATGCGACGTGTTTTACTGCGACTTCAACGTCTCCAGCGAGGGTGGGAGGAAGTAAACAAAATCTTTGGAAAATCCTCCTCGTCGCCGAATAGAAGAAGTTCACTAGATGTAGTGGACGAGCTACGTCAGCGTGCGGAACGAGAAGACATGAGTGCACCATTGAAATTCGACGCAAGAGGATTGTTTTCGTCCTCCTCGGGTGGAAATGAAGATGATGAAACTTCTGCTACTGCTGGTAGCTCCAGCTTAGATGTATCTTCTTCTTCTTCAAATGCAGATCCAGATGCGGCACCGGCACAGTTGTCTTCTATCAAGCCGATCGTCCTGAAAGTTTCGTCCGACGACATCGAAGGCGGTGATGGCGGCGACGATGGTTCTGATGAATCTGACGAAGAAGAAGAGCGACGTCGAAGTAGTCGAGGAGAGAAAAATAGAGGGAAGGACAAGAAGCGCTCTTTTTCATCTTCTGGGAACAAGAACAAGAACAAAAAGGATAAACGGGATGCTGCAGTTGAGGTCCTCGGAATGGACTTGGCGGACTCATCAGGCAGCAAAGCCGGGAAGGAATCATCATCAACGACGCCTGAAGTCCATATAGTCTTCGATCCCAGACAGAAGGATCAAATGGATCTGGTGTTCGTGTTCTTGGAGAATCGTGGCGTTTTTCACCTCGTACCATCCTACGGTCCTGCATATGAGATGATGCGTATGCTAACGACGCCCGCTTCCTCTGAAGGAGGTGGAGGCTTTTTTTCGGGCGAAAAGTATTCGGAAAGAAAACGTACCTTCTTCTTACGCGCATTCTTGGAAGATCTCAAAAGCATGAAGGACCGGAACAAGATATCGGATGTATTCAAGTCGGGGACGAAACTGTTCAAACAACTGAAGGCGCCACTGGCTAAAAGCACCCTAAAAAAATGGAACACACATGTACAAGGCTCGAAAATACTCGCTGAAGATACCAGTATCACTTCTGGTTCTGACACGACGTCGAAAACGAAATTAGTAGCAACTTCAAGTCCCACTTCTGCTCCTGGCTCAAAGAAATCTTCTTTCTTTGATACAGCCTTGTCGAATGTTCTGAAGAGCGCTGGCTTCTCTACGCGGTCTTCATTGCCGCTGGTTTTTTTTAAGGCTTTTCCCAATTGTTCATCTTATCAAAAAGAAGCATCTTTCTCTTTGTAGTCTTTTTCAGGGAGAAAATAAAAAGCTCAGGGATACCTTTCAAGATGAACAACATAACCAAGGTCTAATTTTTGCTACGGTCTCGTTTTCGAAAATCTGCTGTCTGGTCCGTTAGGGAGTCCGCTTTTACCCCCACGCAGCATCCTGAGCATGAAACCCGCAGAGTTGGACGCAGATAACCTCTCGGAGAATGAAGTCGAACATCAAGGTCGCGCTGTAGGTGAGGGTGTTGTAGCTAGTAGTAAAGTACAAGTACAACAAGTACTAGATCATCATCAACATGATACAACTAGTACTAGGACAACAAGGTCAAGGACAACTCGATTTTACCATCCCCTTTTGACTCCTCATTTGGATGGGCTTCGGTATAGTCGAGGGGCAACAACTGTGGATGGAGGAGGAGGGCTTGACTTCTCCTTCCCACAAGAAGAAGCTGCACATGGCATTGCGTCGTTCTTGTCGCCTCTTGACGCTGAGGCGGCCCAGAAGACGAAAGACAACATCTTTGTCATCGGGGACTCGACAAAGGATTGGGCAAATTTTCTCAACATGACTGTCCTTCCTGTTGGTGTTGCCACTGCTACACCAGAAAAGATGTCTCCAAGTGAGTATAACGGCTACCGCTATGTCATTCACCATGAAAGCTTAGCAGAGTGGGAAGCCTCTTCCGGAGGAATGTCCTTCAGTAGCAAGTTTCCACTCTCAAGACTCTCTGCGACTGCGAAGGCCAAGCTCGCGGATGCCCGTTTTGTCGTGTGTAACGGTGTCGTTACTTCACTCGGGGCCGCCGCTCCTCAAACGGGTCGTGGAGCACGCACTTTTCCAACAGAAGGAAGTGGAAAATCGACATCTTCCTTGCCGTTCCCCTGCACACCTCGTATCTCTGCCATCCATGCCAACGCGCCGAAGTGGCGCCATGGCATGCGCACGAAGCGACTGACCATGAGTTTTTTCCCACCAAAAGTGCATGAACATGAAGCTGAAGGTAGCTTCTACGAATCGGAAAAATTAATGAGCAGGGAAGGGAAGGTGCAGGAAAACAGAGTAAAGCATTTCCCCATCAACGAAGTATTGGCCATTCTCGATCCTCTCGCCGCACACACACCTATTGTGGCGACGGCGCTTCAGCTCCTGCGCGATGATTTTGCACTGCCCGTTTTGCTACATCTGCGTCACCAGGACAGCTCTACTTCCCTGGATCATGCAGGAGCTTCATCTGAAGGCGAACATCGAGGGTCTGACTTGAGACATTGGTCGCGCACCAGCGTTTATGGAGAGGATATTAGCTTCGCGGGTATACGCACAAACGGTCGACTCCGCGTTGAGATAGTCCCGCCGCATCCTGCCTGGCAAGTGCGGTTGGTAAGCGGCACTGGGGACTTGGATAACCTCCGTGCGGCCGAGGCAACCCAGCTAGATGAAAAATTTCGAGGTGAATACGAAGTCACAGGAACACATGTGCCGGTCTTACTAGTTGAAGATGACAAGAACAAGAATCACGATCGGAATGAACAACAAAAATTTTCATCTTCTAGAACTAGAAGTGGGAAAATCAAGAATAAGAAAAAATCGAAAAAAGAAAAGAAAGCAGCCGCAGCAGCAGTTATGAAGGACGAGCCTCATGTTGTCGACCTGAACGCGGAAGCATTCACAAAGTCCATACTTAGTGCAAAGCCCCCAAAGAATGCTCAACCAGAACTAGAACCAGGTAGCGGCTCAAGTTCCTCTAGTATTAAAACTGACATTGTGGTCGATGAGACAGCTCTCGCGACAAATGCGAAGCGCCAGTCTCCCATCGGAGTCTCAAACTACGTTTCCATCTACGATGAGCGACATGACTACCACAAAATACGAAGCCAAATGTTGCCTGTGCCTCGGGACATCCTAGTGGGGAACAAATGGCAGGATAACCTGAGTCGCAAGTGCCTGCTTGTTGGGCACACAGTCTTCAACCCAGACCATGCAGATCAAGATGCTGTCTACGGTGTCGTGTCCCGGAAGCACGTGCTTCCAGTGAATAACATTCATAGCGTGAGTGTCACCGCGGATGATATTGCTACTGCTCGTTCTCCAGCAGAACCGACAGGAGAAACAAGTGGTAGCAATGCAGCTGAAGAACACGAAAACGAAGTTTTACCACTTTCTCACTCTTATGCTCTCGTCCTAGAAAACGAAGACAACATCACGTCAAGAAGAGCTCCTTTGTTCCTACAACAGAATGAAGAACAAGATGGGAGTACAGCTGCGAGGATATTTCCACTGCCTACAAATACCCTGTTTCCGGAACCTGTTTACGTACCACAAGCGGCCTACATGCACGTTTGCCCAGGCTTATGGGATAGCCTCTCGGCATTAGAAGAGGACATTGACGCGGACGATGCACAGGTCAAGCGAGCGCTTGAGAAGCTAGAGCAACTCGAGAAAGAAGGAACTACGCTTAAGGCTTGGGAGTTGACATCTCTATGCGCGTCTCTAGGTCTTCTTCCAGTAGGAAAGCCACAGATATGCGAGCTAGAGATGCCAACTTTCAACCCCTAATACGCCTGTGCCGGATCTACAACTTGAAGATGAAAATAAAGTAAGAGATGAAGACCACAACGGCGAAGTCGAAGATCATGTTCAGGATGAAATTGAAAATAATATGCGCAGGCATTCTACTCTTCCTAGTAAGGAAAAACATGTAGAAAACGGAAGGCCACAGTTGAAGATTGACATCAACAACCGGGATGCTGCCGGAAGCAAAGCGGAGAAAAAATTACTGCAGAAGGGCTTTGAGGATTTGATGGCTACTGACGCTAAGCTTGCGGCTGAGATGGAGACGGACGAACCATCCGAGGCAAGCTTACAAAAAATAGTCGACATGGCGCATGAAATGAAGACGTCTTCACCAACCAGAAGTACTACTACATCAACAGACCACGAAGGCGTTGAACCTGAAGTCTATGGCTCTGGTTCTGCTTCTGTGGAACTCTTGAAGCCCATGAAGACGAAAGACGAATTGCGCTCCTTAAAATCGCAAGTGTATCCGAACCATAACGAGAAAACAATCCACATTTTTTCCGTCGCAAGTGGGTTGCAGTACGAACGATTGCTAGGGATCATGATGGCCAGCGCACGTCATCAGACGCCGATGGATTGGAAGCTCCTTTTCCATGTGCTCGCGGATTTTCTCAGTCCCGTTTTTCATGCTACGAAGGACGACCTCGAGAGAAAACTGCCAAACACGGAAATCGACCTCCTCTCAGTGCCAGCGTGGCCCGCAAGCTTGTACATGGGTCAAAGCGAAAAGATTGGAATCCGGAATGACAAACAGCGTCTCATCTGGGCCTACAAGATCCTTTTTCTCGACATTCTCGTATGGCAAAAAGATGACCAGAATCAATCGTAGTACTATAAGAGAGCTGCTATTATTTGTTTCTTGATGCGAGGGCCTTTGTAGCTGATGTGTACGCCTTCCATGATGTTGTTTTTTTCCTAAAGATGAAAACAACGGAACAATTCTTGAGGACTTTGTTCCCAGTAGAAGCTGTTCATCTTCATGGTGGCTTCTCGGCTTTCGTGTTTCAATCATTTTCTTGCTGCTCACCATGTTGACGTAGTTTTGCGATCGTATTTTCTCTATATCACCCTCCTATCCTCGCTTCATCCCCCTTCTACGGCAAGACGGAGCGCGTGATCTTTATCGACGCCGATCAGATTGTGCGGTCGTCATTGGTTCCGCTCTGGCGAGTGAAGACAAGGCCCCTGGACGCGTGGGCCTTCACACCGTTTTGTCATGGGAACAGCTCCGTAAATAACCAAACACTGGGCATGCGGTTTTGGGAAGCAGGGTACTGGGCGAATCTCATGAACCCCGGTGAAACGGTGACTCGATCCGTGGACGCAAATGGCAATCTCGAGACGGAACAAAAGCGTTACCATATCTCAGCTTTGTTCGTTGTAAATTTAGGATGACATTGACATCAAGTAGAGGAAGAATATGTTGATGTAGCGATAACATCAAGTGCTAGCAACAGCAATAAAACCAACTCCAACTCCACCAAGAACCTTATAGAACTTGAAACAGCTACTAGTACTAGAAGATGACGATCATGAGCAATAAACATGCTCGTAAATATTTTTGATTAATAAATGTTTCAAGAATATCTTCTACTTGCGGTTTCGGATACTCTTACGTTAGTCCCAGGACCACCTAGTATCCGCATCCCGAAGATATCTTCTTCGATTCGCCCTCACCTTTTTCTAACCCTCGTGAACATCCTCACCACGATGTATGCGGACACGATACGGGAGACCTACGGACAGATGGGGAAGGATCCGAACTCATTGGCGAATTTGGACCAAGATCTCCCTAATTACCTCTACGGAAGCGGCCAGGTGGCTCTTTTTAGTCTGCCGCAAGATTATGAAGAGAGTTGAGGTTTTGAAATTCTGCACCTTGAAGTGAACAACTTTTTCTTAGTTGCTTTTGGTAGGTTTTCCAGCTGTAATTAAGAAGTGTGAATAAACGGAGAAGAGGGCCAGGGCTGCTGTGATCACTGAAATGGAATCACTGCCTTTTTTGTAAGTAAGCGATATTGAAATTATCAAAAATTTTGAATTTTTCGTCATCTAATCCCAATACCTGTGGTGCGAGAGTTGGTGTGCAGGTGGTGAAGTGAAACGACGGGCGAAGACGATCGATCTTTGTCAGAACCCGCTTACAAAGGAACACAAACTCGACATGGCGCGACGCATCATCGGACCCATCTGGGGAAGGTATGACGACTACATGAACAAAATTAACCAAGTGGAACCACTGGGAGTCGGAGACATCAACTCAAAGTTTTCGTCGGTCTTTCCACACGGAGAAGTAGATGACTTTGAAATTGATACTACTGCGGATGTGGAGGCTGCTAGTACAACTACAACAAATGGGAATGTAAATGAAGACGATGATGAAAGTGAGAAGTCGCGCGAAGATCTGTGAGCCACCGAGAATGCTTGTCACTTTTATCTCACACTTTCGTCGTAAACTTCAAGAAACTTATCAACCTGAAGATCTATTTTATTCGAATATTTGAAATGTGAAAACCGATCACGAGTCGTGATTACAGCTAGGAAACGAATAGAAGAAGGCTTGGACGAAATGTCATCTCGGGCGCACTGTTTTAGATTTCTACTTGTCCGACGCCAAAAGCAAAACAGTCGTAAAGACAAAAACGAGTGATCTTGTTTGGCCGATGTGGAGGATGCTCGTTAGCACCACGTAGATGATCTTTTCTACAGCAGACGCTTTTGATCATGTTTTTTCAACGAGGACTTACTTTTGCTTCATCATCAGCCGTGCGCTCATTCAGGTTCTCGTCCGTATTCGTGCGATCAATAGAAGCACTCTACTAGTACAACTCCTTCCAGCTCCTGCAGTTCTACTAGGTAGTTGTAGAAGTAAATATTCTCTCGTGCAAGAAGTCTACTGTCATGCATTTTTTTCGTTTCTTTGCTGGAAATCTTTATGAGTAAGGACGCTTACAATACGGCAAAGATGCAGAAGGACCGAAGACTTATTTCAATAAGAAGTCTTTGGTTGGTAGGTCGATCTCTTATCAGACTTCTTCGAATGTCGTCGGTTGGTTACTGAACTCACTTTCATGTTTTTGAGCTCGCCCTCGCTCGTAGTTCTTGTATCGATCGTAATCCCTGGAAAGGAAAGGAAAAGTGTCGTCGCTATTTTCATTTTCTTCGTTTTTCGCCCGTTAATTCTGGAGAATTTTATGTAGTTATTGATCTTTTTTTTCATGATCTCCACGCACCTCTCTCTGGAAGTGACATCAACGCAAACAAAAAGATGCTGCACAGTGCCTCTTCTTCTTCCTCCATCTTCCTCGACGAACAGCAACGAAGTGTTCCGGCGTCGCACGGAAGTAACCTACCATGCTTGTGCGGCTCACCAGTAGGGCAGATTGAGCTAAGGAGTGCCTTCGTCTGCCACCTGTGCCACACCGCATTCCACAACTCTTGCGTCCGCTCGTGGTATGCGGGACAACCGTCAAGACGGCTGAAGGAATGCGAAGAGGCAAGAGCGCGCGACCTCTTCGTATGCTCACGGTGTCGCCTGAAACACCTAGACCAGTTTGACTCCGTCTTATGGAAAACAATTGAAATTGACAATTTCAATATCGAAAACGAAAAAGAACTTACTAGATGTACTAGAAACGAAAAAGAACTTACTAGATGTACTTCTACTTACTTGCTTTCGGAAGAACATGATCATGATCATTCTAGTACTTGTTTCAGAATCATGATTATATTAGATGAAGATATAGTTATAGATATAATATAGTGGTCATAAATAGTACTTACTTGTTAGGCCACAGCTAGACGAGCATCTGTCATCTCGTCTCACCGGTACTACAGTTTCGTACAGAATTACCAAGTAGAAGTACTTATAGTTATATACAACAAGAACTTCTGTTGACGGCGCCAAGCAAGATGATGACTCGATCTATGAGGATCTAGAGGTCGGTGTGTATCCTTTGCTTTTCGTGGCTCTAATCTGTGTCGGCGCTCCAGCTCCCGCGCGATATTTCGAAAGAAATCAGCCTCGTTGTGTGGATGTGAATTTGGAGTTTGATTCCGCGGAAGAGATAGCGCAGAAGCGCGCTCAGGGTTTTAGGTACCTGATTCGGTGCGTTCGCTGCGACGACTATGACTTTAATGGACCTTGCTGGCCTTATTCGGTCCAGCTGTATGTCAACGGCCTGGAAAAGAAGGATCCGAAAAACCGGCTACAGTCGATCATCAGCCCGCCTGCCATGGGCCACTGCCGGAAAGAAGAAGTAGGCCTGGACATAACAAATTACCTGCAAGCAGCGGCAATGATTAAGGCTCTTCGTCTCGATAATTCACAAAGGTGGTCCATTAGCGTTCCTTTGCTCACTCCTGACAAGTCACATCTGGAAAGATCATTCTCCTGGAAGATGAATCATGATCATTCTACTAGGACGGTGCAACTAGTACTAGTACAACTAGTACTTAGTACTAGGAGCAGGTCGTACTCTAAGTAAAATATACCACCGAAAAATTGTCGTGATCCTTATCGTCGAGGTCGACGTCGAGAGTAGTTGTACTACCTCAGCCTCTAATCTTGGTGTTTCCGCTTCTTCTTCAAGTAGCCCCCCTGTAAACCGAATTCGACTGGTTTGCCGTTTTTACAGTGGAGGGGAGAAATTGGAAGGCGGCGAGCCCGGTCGTAGCTTTTGTGTGGGCATCTTCACGTGTCGACCCATGAGCGTGCAGGATATTCGCAGGCGAGTGCTGGAAAAGATGCGGCTAGATACCAGGAAGAGCCAGGACCTCGGCAGAACCTGCTACAACAGGGTACACCGACTTATTGCTAACACGCATTACGGACTCGTAGGCGGTGGTAGAAATAGAAGTATTACAGATGGAGGCGGAGGAGCAGGACACGACGATGATGACGAGGTGATAATTCAAGGGGAAGATGTTGAGGCGCGCTCGATATCCGCAGCATGTCCTATCTCAGGTGAGGTACTGCAGATCCCCTGCTTAGGACGGTTCTGTGAGAGCGAACATCTCCAGTGCTTTGACTTGGACGCTTTTTTACAGATCCAGCAGCAGATCAAGAACCACGCGCAGCGGTGGCGATGTCCCATCTGCCAGCGACGTTGCCGCCCGTTCGATTTGCGCTTCTGTCGCTTCACCAAAGAGGTGATGTTGTCAGCAGAGAAGAGAGTGAAGACGGAACTAGCTTTGAAACATTTGCCAGAAGAGGTACTGGCGAAAGCTCGACCCCCTGGAGGTGGAACAGACCTAGAGGACATCGACGTCCGCAAAGTTGATAAGGAAGTCAAGGATCTCTCCTCTCAGGCGGAACGGAACGACCTCATTCTGGAGAACTACCAGAAAATTGTCGTCAACATTAAGGCAGATTATACATATTTTCGATACAATAATAATTTTTGATTTTCTTGTTTAAGAACGTTGGTTTAACTTTAAGTGTAGTTGTAGTTGTAAAATACTAGATCATAAAATTTAGAATAAAGTTCTTAATACAACTACAACGCACTTAAAAAATGTACGCGAGGAGATAACGATAGGGGAGTTATTTCTGAGGAAGTTCTTTTAGTTGCTCTTCTAATCTTGAAGATGGCACCTGGTCTTTCGATTATGCTCTCCAGGTCGAGAAGGAGCGGGAAGAGAAATACGGCGAGGTGGCCGCTATTGTCGATGATCATGCTGTCGTGCCAGGAGGTATAGCTGCTGTTGTCGATGATCATCCTGTCGTGCCAGCAGGTAGTACAGCTGCTGGTGTAACAACGTCTCGTACTAAAAACTCAAACTACATGACTGGCCAGAGCGGGTTCGGGGATGCAGGAATCGGGGCTGTGGGCAGTGCAGGCAAGGGAAGCCCTAACATCAAAGGAGCAACATCGACGAGGATAGCGCCAAGTATTAATGGAGGTACTCACGAGCCTGCTTTCAGTGGAAGTGGAGCAGCAGTACCAGGAGGTCCTTACGGTGTCGGGGGTTCTCTTGGTCGTCGTCCAACCCACGACCACATGCTTGGTGGCTTCGATGGAAGAAATCAGCCCAGCAACGGACTCGCTGCTGGTGCTCCAGCACTGCAAAACAAGAGGCCAGCTTATTCAGCGCCGCTCAGTACTGGAATGCACGAATCACAACCACGACCTAGCAAGTTGCATAAACCGCTAGCGCCTCCACCTGTCGACATTATTGAGCTCGATAGCGACAGTGACTGAATCTCCTTGAGATAAAGTTCATCTCCTGTAAATGAACATTTTCAACATGAAAGTCAAAATGGCAAGTCGTTCATATGGTCATCGCAGAACTGACAAATCTAGAGAAATGATTACATTGCTTTGTGTAGTGGGACCACGCACAGGGAGGATTTGTTCTTTTCGTCACCTGAACAAGCTTACCCTTATTCTTATGATATATATTTTACTTAACAACTTAAGCAGCTAAAGCTTGAGCTTAAGCTTGAGCTTAATACGCTTGGTATCGGTTTCCATCTATCTAGTAAAAATCCTCTTGTATCTTCCCCGTTGTTGCATCGACCTATCCCAAGCCCAACAATTTATTCCAAGAAGAACTTCATCTTCGATTAATTAATCTTTCGAGCAGCTACGGGTACTACAGCATGTTCTTCTAGAATGCCTAGGTGGACTACCACTTACCATGCAGTTATGAGCACAAGGACAACAATGCCCACAAGGAGGATTAATGTCCTTGATGACCCGAATTACGCCAGCACTAGCACTACTTTCGCAAGAACATCTTCAACGCACTCAATCCAAACTGATGTAGCTTTCCTGTTGAACTTTGGGGACACGGACCACAGAGCATCTATTTTACCCTCTCGGTGGTTCTCTCTTCCCTGGTGCCTAATATGCATGTTGCAAAAAAAATATTTCGATTTTCCCGCATAGAAAGTGCGACTCTTCTGGACGACGATATGCTGCGTCCTTACACGACAAGGACCTTGTCCACCGAAAGGAAGGACGACCACATAGAAGGAACTATCTCTCTAAATCTAGAGAAGAGAAGGGCGACCTTCTTTATGACGTCCGTCATCGGTAAGAGAGTGATGTGTACTAAATAGATACACTTTTTGATGCTTGCACTCCCATTGATAGATTATAACGGAAAAGGTCATCAGATTCAGAATCAGTATCCGAGGAGAAGTGCAAGTCGAGATCGAGAATATCAAGCGGAAACCCGCACCCGAGTCTACGTAGTTCTTCATCTAGTCGTCTTCATCGTGCTGCTCGTGTTAAGTGGTGGTATTGATTGTCACTCGAAGATAGAACTCCCCTACCTCTTACCCGTACGCAAGAATTGCAGCAGACTTGTATTCTAGTGCAGAAACTAGTCCATGTGCTACTACGCCAACTGATGGTCGTGATGTCCTATTCCTAGTTCCTCTTCTACGACTCATAATTTGTCCCTATCCTAGTGGTCATATTAGGGCTCCATTTAGATTCTTTCTTTTGCCATCGACAATGGGATATCGTAGAAGCAAGCCTGCGAAGTACTAGAAGACACAAAAGATGATCAAGCTCTATCCGGCAATTATCATCAATAATCTGTACATCGCTGAATTTCAAGTGCTTTACTCAAGGAAGTGAGGACACTACATAGGAGCAGCAATAGCACTACGTTGGAAAAATGTTTCTTGAAGAACCTGCGCTCGCTCTCGCTGAGGACAACCCTAGATAGTGCTGGTGCCGCTTCCTCATCAATCTGATGAGAATCTCCCAGAAGTAAGAACGGCAAAAAGCTGTCCAAGGAAAGAGAAGATGGATCGTCTGTCCCGGTTTGTTCCTTCGAGCGGGGTTCTGCAGTGCTGCCGTGAAGGAGGCGGGCCGACGGCAGAAAGCGTACTAGACGTGGCGCGTGGGAATGCCGATGTTCGCTCTTTTCTCGCCACCGTCTACCACGCCGATTTTTCAGGCAGTTCAAAGGAAAAAGTTTCGCTCCTCTCGCAGGAGGATGAAGATAAGGACCACTTGGGTATGAGTATCGCGGTCCCGTTGCGCTCCTTATCGCTTGCAATATGGTTTCCGGCGTTGCAGGTGAGCACTTGTTGTCTTCAGAACAAAAGAAGATGAATTTAGATAAGTACTATAACAAACCATGCACAAGGAAGAGGCTCCTGCTCGCCATCATCAAGCAGGCCCACAAACACAATATAGAGCATAGTCGGTGGTCGGATACAAGACAACTCTCTTTCACTTGTTACTATGAAATAGACACGACAAGCACAAGGGTGCACCTTTACAACGACTCACTACAAAAAATTTCAATTTGTACTTGTAATTTGAACCATTATGATACTAGGTTCTCGCGATGTCCCATGCGGGCATCAGGAGTATCGACGTTTTGGGCATTCACAGCGCGTCCTTCCGGTGCTTGCGACGCCTGGTTTTGAGTGACAATTTGATACAAGAGTTTCCGACAGAAATCGATGGAGGTGCTGGACCTGGCGTTGGTAACGATGCTGTAGGAGCTGCACCTCCACCAGACGTCATACCACCACTCTCCCAGCGCTTTCCGGTGCTAGAGTATCTAGATTTGAGCGGGAATCGGATCGTCTCCTTCGTAGAAACCGGAAAATTGGCGACGTTAGACCGATTACGCAGTCTGGATCTTAGGAGGAACCCTATTTGCGAACTAGATTCCGCCCACCTCAAAGTTCTCTACCTTGTGCCGCAACTTACGACGCTTAACCAGTACTTCATAGTACGTCCACTTTTGTTCGAAATTTGTGACTCATTTCTTGAAGAATACATGTACTCATTCTCATCTGTACTCACATTTACTACATCAGCTCCTTTTATTTTCTTCATTTTTCACTTCCACTTGCACTTTTTTTCAAGTACTTACTTTATTCAGCACGATCGAGATTGACTGCACCTCTGCTCTTCGATAATATTAGATTGAGATTAAGAACCTCAAAATTTGAATCGTCAGGACTGAAGTCGATTCGGCGACGCATCATTCAGTCATGAGCGGCGTGCTGCCTGTCGCGCTAAAGTCCGACGACCTTGATGGACACATAGAATCTTTAGAGCGCGAATTGCTAAAAGAGGTATCCGCCTCACCTGACAAGACTTCGTCATCGCTTGATTGGTTCGGAAAGCGCGGCATTGAGGTTCACGGTGGTAGCAGCAGTAGCACCGCACCGCTAGTATCTTCCTCTTCATTTGTTGCTTCTGGAGGTGGAGGCAGTGCTGGCGCTAGTACACGATATCAACATGGTACGTCATCTTCATCCACGAGGGCCGCCTACAAGCCTTCCTTTGCTTCGAAAAGAGTGCTTCAACACCAAGAACAACAGCCTAGTATCCTGGAAAGCATGTCTTTCAAGAAGAAGAGTGCTATTTTCAGTAGCTCTGCTTCTACGACGAGTACAACGCGAACTAGAGGTGGTTCGTCATCGTCTTACCGGTACCCCAGAAAACTGGGAAGATCCTCCGAGGACAATGGAGGAGGATCGTCAGCGGGCCTGAATTTTTTTGAACGGCCTCCACCATTGCTCTTCATGAACGATGGGGACGAACTAAATGAAGATGATATCCTCGGAGCAGCTGACGCTATGCCAGAATCCGATGACGACCAACACGAAGCTGCAGGAAGTGGCCTCAAATCAGGCCTTGGCTCCGGTCTTGGTTCCGGTCTTGGCTCTGGTATGGAGGACGGTTACCCTAGGTCCGGCATAAATGCGGGCCCGAGTTCGAGTATGAGCTCCTCCTCATCGAACTACTCGTCCGACATCGATTAAGGCTTACCGTATCCGTAAATCATCCTAAGAATGAAAGTAAGTAGCTTCTTATTAATTTGGTCCCTTCGTATCTTTTAATCTAGGGGAAAACGCCGTTACGGATGCTCAACAAGGATGCTTTTCAAGATGAATATCGGCAACAAGGTCTAAGTTGGCCGTCAGCTTGGCTCGGGAATGATCAGACCTAGCGTTGCGGAGCTCCATGAGTTGAAGCTTGTGTCCCATTCCGAACTAAGATCGAATATCGATTAAGGCTTACCACCCTAATCCACCATCTTCTGAGGCATCTAAGACTTGTCCCATATCCATAATGGGAAAACGACTATTTTCGGTCTTTCACGACGATCTAATTTAGGTTCAAAGGGAAATAAAACGCCGATTTGATAGGTCACCCATAAGGGAAAAACGAAAATTGGTCCAAGAAAGATGAATGATCCCGCGATGGATTACGATTAGGGTGAGCCTGGTGAGCTCTAAATCGAAGAACAACAAGATCAAGCAGAAGGACCGGCGCGACCTGCTTCATCAGGAGCCTTGGGTGTTCAATTATCGGAATCTGCATCAAATTCGGACTCGAATGAAGACGAAGCAGGACGAGATCAAGATCTTCATTTAAGGCAGAACCTCTAATTATACTTCAAATTCATGTTTTGGTGCATCGAGTTCGAGTTGAAAGATGAACTCAATTGTGGAGCAGAGTTCTAATTCATGTAGGAGCACAAGAATTAGTGCAGCACTCCTCGTCGTCTTCCTCCGGGAATGATGCTTCCGGGAAAAATGATGAGGATCTAGATTTCCTCATGGAGGAGATGCCCCCTGGAAGTAGACTAGATGGAGGCGGAGACCCCATTTCTAGCAAAGTGCAGAAAGTCTTAAATAGATCACGGTTCTGGTCCTCAGGAATCTTGATAATCTGCAAAGACACGCGTAGGCGTAGAGCATCTTGGTCCTCAGGAATATTGATAATCTCTGCTCTTCCACCTCCTGCCTCCGAGCCTTCAGCATCTGGCACGGTTTGTTACCTTCTTCAGCCCGGAAATCAAATAGACTCGAGGACAGGTGGAGGTGGAAGAGGAACAACTCGAACAACAGGAGAGATGCCCAGATCATGAAGACACAACAGCAAGGTGGATTGATTATATTCAAATAGTACTCAAGGAGCCCACATCTTCATCTTCCACCCTTACTAGAGTCTAATACTGCTCAGTACTGGTGCAGATGAAGGTAATGGTAGTGGTCAGCATTTGAAGTCCGCACTTCATCACGACGGTGAGCCGACGCATTCTGATATTTAAGGCCACAGCATCTCTTAACTTCCCACTCTATAGCCACTCTTTTTTTGAACGTCTAAGACGCCCTCAAGGCAGTCCTCACAGATCTGTGTGCAAGATTAATGGGATCGCAAACGCAATGCACTTAAACAGCAAACCTCTACTCTTGACTGATTCCTAATCTTGAATTTTTCATTTTTAAGTGTTGTGATAGAGATAGTAGTAGTAGTTACTGAAGATGCATACGCAGCGTTCTCGTTCGTAGTATGATTGTTAGATGAGAGAGACGTCACGCTGAGTGATGACATGACTTTCCGTAATGAACATAGTTCTGTTGTCGCCCTATGTCTATGGTTGTACTTGTACTTTTTTAGAAATGTGTAGTACTAGTTCTTGTTCTAATTAATTTAGTAGATCTCGTACTAGAACTAGAAGTACTAGGTAGAGAAGTAAAAGGATCAAAAGCAATGCTACTTATTCTGCGAATCCTTCCTCGTCTAATGGAAGCACGTTGCTTTTACCGATGCAGACCCCTACCCTAATCCGAATGACGATGACGACTACGCAAACGCTTTTGTTAAGGCTAGTACCACGATGAACCAACTGGAACTGCTTGCTCTCCTCCAAACCTTCTTTATATTAAGTTTGTTGATAGCGCCCTTACATCGACGTCCATAGTGACAGATGGTAAGAGCGCTCGCGAGCGCAGAACGTGCGAGGCGATCGGGTCCGGCGCGGCAATAATTAAAAGAGTAATAATGGTCAAAAGATTTCGGAGAGGTTTTTCGAGGGATTATCGGGGGGAGAAGGGGGGGTCCTAGGGGGGGGGGTAGGGGGGGCCAACCCCTGTCCAACCCCTG